ATGGCTATTAAAGAATGACTCAATTTTATGGCTTACAGTGGAACAAAAAGCAATTATTCACCTCATTCCAAAAGTAAGAATTTAACGTTTATCTTGCAAAAATGTGCACTTGTCTTAATGCTTCTAAATTTCACTTTCACTGGAGTGAGAATATTTACTAAATCTACTACAAAACAAAAAATTGGAGTTAGAAGCTGAAAAGGAACACTCATTTTTTACTCATCTGCTAGTAAATATATAATATATATATAAAAATATATAAATTATATATATTGTATATATTTAGACATATTTATATATAAATGAATGATGACTGCTAATTCTGAGAATACAGGTATAGATGCAAATATTCATGGATATTTTGGCACCAATAGAAGCAAACTAGAATATCCAAAAGCACTCACTTTATGTCACTAATTACTTAAATTTCTTTGAAAACCTGTTCTCTGTGAGCAAGTAACATTTAATTTGCTATGTTCCTTATCATACTCCTACTCTTTACCAACGTTTGGTATTTCATTATGAAATAATTCTGTACGATATATAAAAATAGTGCAAAACAGAATTATTTAAGTCAAGGCTTACTACACAATGATTAAAATCAGTTTACAAAATGGAAACTTTTCCTGATGAAGACATTAATTTCCCATTTGACTGAGAATGCTAAAATACATCACGTGAATCTCAGTATTTCAAGTTTTCCTGGTAAGGCCTCAAAATTAATGTTTTGGAGCTAAATCTCACTTCCCCTTCCCCAAGCTTACTTTGCTGCTGCTTTGAAACCATCCGTCTCCACAAAAGGAGGCACTTCACTAAGTTCAATCTCCATGTCCGGGCTGGACTTCATTGCAGAAACAACCATGGCATCGCGGAGTTTATTGCCTTGATCCAGAAGAGCTGAGAAATAAGTGGAAGGATGAAACCTCAGCATTCAAATGCAGTTTAAAAGCTGTGTGTAAACACAGTAAACGTGCTGGATACAGTCACAGACCTTCTATTTTATACTACTATAAAGAGATCTTGACATAATAGAGGTTCAGGGCATGCCATACACCATAAAACACAGCTGGGAGTGACAGCAATCCTCTGGCAGTCTCCCACTCACAGCTGTACAAATAACTCATCTGCACACACAAGGCAGGCATTAGAAGGGTGTTAATTAAGATACAGTAGCAAGATTAATTTATGGAAAAGTAGCCTGTCACCTTAGGATGCCTCATCAGCAGTGTAATTTAAAGTCTCCTTAATAAATAGATAAAATATAAAAAATCCAAAGACTATGCATATGGAAACTTGCTCATTTGAATCCAGTCCATGATTGAAAAGGGATGCTAATTAATTAGCAGGCGATGGAAAAGAAAACATTTTCCAACAGAAAATGCCAGAGAAACCCTCCCAATCCTTGTTTGAGCAGAAGTGGCACCTTTGATGGCCATCTCAGAAGATATGGCAATGACTAAACAGGCTGTGAAGCTGAACCTCCTTTTCCTTTATCCCTCCAGGTCAGGGCTCAGGCATGTTAAAATATTATTTTTTTTTACGTAAACATTTTTTTGTTACCCTTTTCTACTTGAGGTAATACAGCATGAGCATGCAAGAATCACTTTTCCTTAAATCTCTCTATGCCAGCTGCATACAAACCTGAGAGCAGGTCCTTTGTAGCTGGGTTATGCAAAGAGAACACCCGCGTGTTTGCTCCGGGAGGCGCGTCGGGATCAGCGCTGGTGGGAAACGACACTTGCTGCTTTAAAGGATTCGCTTTTAAATGTTCATCTGGTAAAATCAGACGGTGGTGGGAAGCAGGAGAGATGTCTTTTATGTTTTCAGAGTTCTCTTGAAAGAATAAATGGTCCTTTCCCCTATTGAAAAAGAAAACAGTATTTGATCCATTTGAAGTGGAGCAGTGAAAGGATTCAAACCTCTTCAAATTCTCCCCAGCGCTGCAGCTGCTTCCCTTTTGTACCCACTCCAAAAAGAAATGTGACATCTCATTTTACTGACTCCTCATTTCCCACTCATCCCATCAGCCAGACTGACTCAAGCTGTAAATAAAGGACTCGTGGCACCTCAACTAGCATAGATGGAACTAAGTCATTGCAGGATGCAATTTTATACCAGATGAGAAACTGTCCCTGTAGGCTCTTAAATGCTGAACGTTCTGGAGTTGATAAAAGGCGTGTTCAAAGAAAATCAACTCTTCCATAATCCACAAGTGCACTGTCACTGATTTAAGAGAAGTATGAAGTGCAAAGTGAGCCAGAATTTTGTCACGGCAAAGAAAAAATACCTGGGAGTTGTGGCTCTGCTACTGTCAGCAGGCTCCTGGCCAGCAGCAGGGATCCGTGTGTGCTTAGGTTGCGGTGACGGAGCAAGAAACTGGGGCTTGCTGCTTCCCTGAGCAGGAGCAGTATCTAACCTTCCATCTGGGGCTGGGACAGAGCTGCTGGTGTCACAGGTTTCTGACAGAGGTTCAAGAACCAGTGAAACCTGAAAAATAGAATGTGAAAATAGCATTTCGTCTTCTTCTTAACTAAGTGCAGCACATACTCTGTTTAATTTCACTATTCATGATAGGGAAAGCTCTCACTCTTTCACACAAAGTGATATTTGTATCATTCAGCTGTGTAACATCTTGAAACCCGGACATATCTACAGCTATTTATTTCACATTCCACGTTTCCAAACCATGGGCAACTATCTTTCAGTGTAAATTAGCCAGAGCCAGGGCTGCAGACCAGAACTGCACCTTCTTTTCTCCAGATTTCCAAATATTTTACAAATATCAGCCCTGTGAGGCTCTAGAGAAACATCAGAACTATCTAGAGAAACTATCCAGAACTATTTACTTTTAAATCCACTGTTAAAAACTCACCCTTGCTGTAGGGTCCATACATTGTCTTACTGAAATTGAACTAGCAATGCCACACATCCTTCTAAGGGAAACGGTGTCAACATCATTAATACTCATTTTTTTTATTTTCTACCTTAATCTGTAAATGTTTAGGGCAGGGGGCAGGTCTGTAGGATGTATACAGAGCACAACCGGGTCCTGACACCTGATTATTCTGCATTATAGCATTATATAGGACAACAAAGATGGGAGCAAAGACTACCTGCAGCTCTCCCAGTTTCTCAGATGTCGGTGAAAGTATGGTGAAAAAGCCCCCGATCGGGTGGCTGGGAGAGAGCTGGGGCAGTTCGGTGATCTGCACTCTGCCAAGCGGAAGGTGGTCGGGTTTGGTCATCACCTCGAGGCCAAGCACGCCCATATCTGCAAAAATCAGGAGGAGTTTCACTTCAGTGACACGGCAAGGCCACAATTAAACGCGACTGAAAGCTGTCGGGTAAAATGAAGGAGATGCTGGAGGTTAACATAAAGCTCTATCAGAAAATTGGGAAATAAGATCATCGAAGCAGTCAGGTTGGGAAAGATCACTGAGATAATCCAGCCCAACCTTTATCTAGTCCTAAAGTCCTCCACTAAACCATGTCACTAAGCTCTACATCTAAACATCTCTTGAAGACTGCAGGGATGGTGTCTCACCCACTTCCCTGGACAGCCTGTTTCAATTCCTCACAACCCTTCCAGTAAAGAAATTTCCCCCCAAAATCCAACCCAAACCTCCCCTGGCACAACTTGAGGCCATTTTCCCTCATCTTATCACTCAGCTACTGCCAGGGGACACGCACTGGACATCAGCCTTCCAATAAAGTTCCTGCAGATCCTTCGGTAAAGCAAGCGCCTTAATGACAGCACAAGCTCATCTGAATGTCTTTGTATTCTTCACGCTCTTAGAAATTAAAATGCATAATTAATGTGGGAAATATGCTACTAACAGCCGCCTGACCTCGAAATGACAGGCGGCGGCAGTGTTTTGGAGACCCGCCCAAACCTCAACCGCCAGCAGGATGGCTGCCAGCCCCCAGGGCGACAACAAAACCTTCCTGATCCAGAATCCCAGAGCCAGTAGGGTTGGAAAAGCCCTCCAGGATCACCTGCTCCAACCACCAATGTCACCACCAAGCCCTGTCCCCAAGCACCACGTCCAACCTCTCCTTGAACACCCCCAGGGACGGGGACTCCCCCACCTCCCTGGGCAACCCGTCCCAAGGCCTGAGCGCTCTTGCTGAGCAGAAATGTCTCCTCGTTGCCAACCTGAGCCTCCCCTGGCACAACTCGAGGCCGTTCCCTCTGCTCCTGGCCCTGGTTCCCTGTGAGCAGAGGCCGCCCCCCAGCTCCCCACCCCTTCCTTTCAGGCAGTTGCAGAGAGCAATAAGCTCTGCCCTGAGCCTCCTCTTCCCCACCCCAAACCCCCCCAGGTCCCTCAGCCGCTCCTCACAGGACTCGTGCCCCAAACCCCTCGCACCCCTTCCCTGGCCACCCTCCAGGACCTCCATGCTCACCCGTCAGATAGGCAGCGAGCTGCCGGGGCCCACAGCGGACAGCAAAGCGGCTGCTGGCCGCCCCCTGCCCCCCGGGCCCCCCGACCTTCAGGACGGTGCCTCCCGAGGTCTCCCCCCACCACCTGAGGCGGACGAGGGCCGCGCCGGGGGGCGCGGGGCCTGCCCACAGCAGCGGGCCCAGCGTACAGCGGAGGAAGCAGCGCGCCGGGCCCCGCACCAGCGGCGGCAGGCTGGTGGAAGCGGCCACCTCACGGGGGCGACCCTCGGAGCCCCCCCGGGTCCCAGCGGCCGCCCCCCGCCGCCTCCGGGAGCCCCCCGGGGCCAGGCCCGAGGCCTGCGGCCTCCGCGGCCCCATGGAGCCGCTGCCTAGCAACGGCGGCTTCCGGGACTACATCTCCCGTCGTGCCCCGCGCTCCCGTTGCCCCCTGTGGAAGCGCGGACTACATTTCCCAGAAGCCCTCACGAGGCGCACGCCGGGACTACACCTCCCGTCGTGCACCGCGCTCCCGTTGAGCCCTATGGAGGCGCGGACTACATTTCCCAGCGGCCCTCGCGAGGAGCTTCCGGCGGGGGCTGAAGGGGGACGGCGGGGCGGCGGGGCCGGGCCGTGCTGGCGGCCATGTCGGCCCTGGAGAAGCAGCTGCACCTCGGCCGCCTCCCGCCGCGGCCCCCGCTGCCCGGCGGCGGCCAGGCCGGCTCCAAAATGCGCATGGGGTACGGGGGGGTGATGGGGGGCAGTTTTGGGGGGCGGGGGCGCGATGGGGGGGTGCTGAGGGGGCGATGGAGGGGGCTGGGGGGGGCCTATGGGGGTTTGGGGGGGGGGGCTGAGGGCATCTGAGGGGGGGTTGAGGAGATTTGGGGTGTGGGCGGTGAGGCCTCGTTTTTTTGGGTAAGGTGAGGGCCTCCTGGCCTGATGGGGTTGGTTTTGGGAGCTGTCAGTGCTCGTTTGGGTTTGGGGGGGCTTTGTGGGGGCTCAGGAGGTGTTTTCAGGGGGGTTAGGGTGTTTTGGGGGGTGTTGGGGGTGTTCTGGGATTGTGGGGTTGCTTTGGGGCGGCTTAGGATGTGCTTTCAGAGGTTTGGGGTGTTTTGGGGGGCTTGGGGGATGATTTGAGGGGTTTTCAAGTCTGCTTTGAGGGATGCTTTGATGAAGCTTTTGGGGAGCTTTAGGAGAGGTTTGGGTGTGCTTTGGGGGGTTTGAGGGGCTTGGGGTGTGTGCTGAGGGGCTTGGGTGAGCTTTGAGAAGGGTTTTATGGGTGTTTGGGGTGTACCTTGGGGGTTTGGGGGTGTCTGCTGCGGGGGGGCTGGTGGAGGAGAGATCTTTTTGTGTGTGGGTGTGCCTGGGGGGGCTGCAGCCCCCCAGAGGTGGGTGTCCACGGAAGGAAGGTGAGTGATGAGGTGGGGTGGGAGCCCAGCGAGCCCCCAGGCCAGCCCTATTCCTTCCCAGATTCTCCCCAGGGAAGCCTTGAGCAGGCTTCTCCAGGCACCTCTGTGCTGAGGGGGCTTCTTATGGGAACTGGGACTTAAGAGAGCCAGAGCACACCCTGGTCTTCTTAGGCCTGCCTCCTTTTTAAGGGAAAAAGTGCAAAAATAGCCTTGTAATAACTCCCTTGTACCTGCTGCTTTACCCGGCTTGCGTGAAGCTGTGCGGAGGGCGAGTCGGTGCTTCAGGTGATGGCAATATTTCAGCTGGGACAGTGCAACACAGTAAAAAAGATGCGAAATCTTCCAAGCAGGAGTGAAAACGTCTTCTGGAAGAGTCAGAGAAGATTGGCTGGCGTCTGGCTGCGTGGACGGGAGCTGTCAGGGACCGGCTGGGCAAGGGCAGCCTTGGCAAAAGCTTTGCTCTTTAATTAGGAGTCAGACTCTGAGCCTCAAATGCTCACTAAATGCTCTCTTATTTTAATTTGGATTATTTTAAAGCCGTGTAGAAGGGCTCTGATTCCTGCTGTTGTTCTGTCTGGTAGAGATGTGCACGGGTCACTGAACAAAAAGTTCCCCCGCTGGTGTTGAGGAGGGTCTCGTGCTCCAGAGGAGCCTGCTGGAGGCAACCAGGTGCACACAGGGCTAGATTTAATGCTAAATATCTTATTTATTCCTGCTGGCTGCCTTTAAAATGGGACTAAGCAGAGAATTTTTCTGGTTTAGGTGAAGAAATGGTTCTTATTTCTTCCTCTTTTTACCCTGCCGAGCTCAGTCTCACCTTCTGTGGTCATTTTGTGAAGTTTTCGAAGCATTTTGTAGTGGTTTCGTGGGTTGTAAACCTCGCCAGCACCCTAATTCTTCCCTTAAAGCAGCGATGGCACTATAAATAGACGCCACGTCTCACTGCCTGTTCAATTAAGCATTCGTACTTCGTTAATAAATAGAACTGCTTCCCACGCTGGTGTTAAGGTGGCTTTCACCAGGAGGAAAATCAGTTCCCGGTTTGTCTTGCTGTCAGCTCCTGCCAGGTGCCTCCGCGGTAAGGACAAGAAGTCAAAAATTAATTTTCCTGCCCCGTCAGGCGATCTGCTGGCTGCTGCAGGACCTCGGGATGGGTGAGCTGGCAGATCCAGGCTGCTTTTTATTCTTCTAAACGAGTGGCTTCTTCAGCAAAACGTCGCTGTGCCGTGGGATGTGTTTTCCACGTCGGTGCTGCTTCTGGAAATCCGGGCTCCTGATCATTTTGGGTAGGAAACACAGAAAAGGCCGTTAAGGCATCAGCTTAATGAGGTGCTGACGCTGCATCCCTGATGCTTGTTGCTTCACTCCCTGGTGGCAGGGAAAGGAACAAAGCACAGCTGAGCAGTTTTTGTGCTCGTGTCTGTGGGGAGTGTCACACCTTGGTGCTATTTAGGCAGGTGGAGTGCTGCTTAGCAGCAATCCCATACAGTAATTCATGTAATTCTTCCTCATCTTCGGAGGGTTTTTGAGTGCTCTGTGTTTGAGCGGGAAGTGATGATGCAGGGAACTCATTTTTCTGTTGGTTTATGCTGTTACCAACCTCTCTTTTCCCATTCAAATGCTTCCAGAAACGTTGACACGAAGCGTGGTGTTGGGATGAGCATCAAAAATTCCCCTTTGAAGCAGCAGGGAGTGTTTTGTAGTCCTCTTGGAGCTGCAGAGTGCCTTTGTATCCTCGAGTAAATCCCTTTACAGGTGGCGTCCCGTTGGGCAGGCACCACACACCTGGCACAAGAACAGCCTCGCACGGCGATATTTGAAGTTGAAACAGGAAAAAGGAGGTGAAAAAAAGCACAACAGGCAGAGGAGAGCAGCGGTGAGGCGAAACTGCTGTGCCGAGGAGGGCTTTGGGGTTGTTACAGCAGAGCAAAGCAGATCTGGCACAGCTTTTAAATGTGTTTTGGACGTCCTAGGCGGATAACCTCTCTGCTCAGGTTGTCTTCTGCAGTTCTGCTGTGTGGCTGCTCGCATCTGTGTGAAGTATTTCTACGTAACTTTAGGCATTGGAAAAGCTTTGTGCGACTTAGAGCCCGGGCAAATACCCCCGGGTACGCCAAAATAGGCCTGTAAAATTCAAACTTCTGTGGGGAACAAAAAGAATTAGGATTAGAAGAAGATTTGTTTGATCTTTTTATCATCTCGTGTTTATAAATCCATTTTGTTCCTGGGCTCTGAATTTCTTAACGTGGAAGCAGGGCCATTGGTGTTTCTTTTCACTTAACACCCAGCAGCACTGGCAAGCTGGTTTTCCTGCAGATTCGCTTTGCTTCAAATACCCCAGGCCTCAGACTGGAGTTTTGGGTTCTCTTTTTTTTCCCTAATTCCATTTTTTACTTAATTCTAACCCTAACTTTAAAATTTTTCTCTTTTACCAGCCAGGCAGGCAGTGTTAACGTGGCTCCGTGGGGTGGCTGAGGGCGAGTGGAAAGGAGCAGGTGAGATTGCTTCGGGCACACAAATTTACTGCAGCACCGAGGTATCTCAGGCACCAGCCACCCCCAGTTTGAAGGGCAAATTACAGAGGTAGGCAAGATGCTTCCTTCAAAAAAACATCATTTTCCAGCTTCCTCTGGGATTAAAGGTTTGCTGAAGAAGTGCTGAGGACTTCTTAGCCACAATAAATCCTCGCAGCCTTTTTGTCGTGCCCTGTTAAGATTAATATTTATAGTGTGAGATAAGACATCACCCGTTGTATTACTTTTTTTTTTTGCCATTTTCCTTGTGTTTCTCTCCTGGGAAGTCTCATCCACGTCGTCCAAGAGGCTGAAACAGCTGAGCTGTGCCCACGTGGGGCTGGCTGAAGCTTTGCTCCTCCGCCAGCTCTGCTTGTCCCTGCAGGCTCCTCCTCTTTTCCCGTTGTATATCAGGAAATGATGCACGGGAAGATGCAAAGGGGCACGGCGAGGCAGTAAGGAGACCGAATCCTCCCTTTGTGTGCAACGCCGACGTGAAAATTTCAGCAAAACCACGGCTCTGGGCAGCTGAAATGGCTGCGGGGACAGAATTCAGACGGGTCCTGCAGCTGTACGAGGTGCACGCTTGGATTTTTTTGCATCTCGCAGCATGCTGCCTTGATTTCTGCCTCCTCTCCTCTAAATTCCAGCCCCCTTCCAGCTGCACGTGAGCTGCTGCCCTGATATATTCCTCTTTTAAGCGCCCTGGCTGCATTGTTCGGCTGTGGGGAGGGAGGTGGTGCTTCTCTTTCACTAGGGCAGTGCACAAAAAGCACCCCAGTGAGAGCAGCTCACGTTCCTTTTTTAGATCCTGCTTATTTCAAGGAGCACATCTCCCTAATTGCCTTCGTGTCTTGAGGTCTTGAGTTGTGTGCTTGAAAAGGAAACAAAATCCAACTTAGATTGACAAAACAGAGCTTATAAAACCACTGGTGAGGGGTCGAGACCCCCCAGAAGCAGCTTCTGACAGCTGGAACAGCTTCTGCGTGTGCATCTTACTCCAAGTTCTTCATTAGCTTCCTTCTAAGCCCAGCTTAATTGTGAGTTCTTCATTAGCTTCCTTCCAGACCCAGCTTAAGCAGAGCCGAGCATCCAAATGGGATTTGGAAACAAAGAGTGTGCTGCTGTTTTCCAGCACGGGAATGAAAATGATGCGTGTTCTCCGGGATCTTTTAATTAGCTGGAAGGCCTTGATTGAATCCGATCTGCTTAATTTGATCATGATTGTGACTAGTTTCTCCCTTTTTTAATCATTTTTTCTCCTGATTTTTCTTTTAATAAACACTTTATGCATTCAGTGCCCTATGCAGAACTTACCACACTGTTCTTGCCAATTTTTAGATCTTTTTTTCTTAAAATACAACTTGTCAGCCATGGCAGTTCCTAAATAGCTTATAATTAATTTATTTTGCCCAGGTTCAAATATACTGCAGGTGTTAAGTATCTGTATTCTGTAATTGTTTTCGTAGTCCTAAATACGGAGTCGAGGTTGGCAGAAAAGGGAATTAATTTCTAAAACTGCTTCTCCCTGCTTGATACAACTCTTATTTTATTTTTTTTTTAATAGCTGAAGGAAGAACCCAGTGCAGATTGGTGAGGAATTTGGGGAAACGTGAGCTCCTGGTGCCCTGGCAGACCGCACAGGAGACCAAAACCAGCTGCAGAGCCTGCCTAGAACTTGTTTTAGGATTCCAGGTCCGTGTGGTGGCTGCCTGGCTTCGAGTCTAAGGCTCGTTCTCGGAAACCAATTGTGGTGGAGCCGCTTCTGTTTTGGTCTGCCGGATGCTTTAAAAAGCAGTAATTAGTTCTGACAGCTTAAATATTTGGTCGGCAAAGTGCTGCTGCGGCATAGCAAGGTGCAGAACTGCAGCTGCTGCTTGTTGGGCTGGCTTCTGACATGGTGTGTGGCGATGTAGCCCTAAAAAAAAGCAGCTCTAGAAGAAGAATGAGTGGCAGGTACCAATTCTTTTGAGACGAGACCAAATCAGGCTCGGGTTCAGGTAGCTCTGCGCTGCCTTTTTTTTTAATTTTAAATGAGCCTTTGCCCAGCTTCCTGCAGTCACCAGCTGTCTCGTGGAAAACTCCACAGGTATTTTTACCCTATTTGGGGTTCGGGATTAAATCCGAGGCCCCTTGCATTTTCCCCAGCGTTATTTGGAGGGAAGTACTTGAGATTTTAAATCAGTCTGCATGGAGTTGCATCAGAGGTGACAACAGTTCTTGACTCCCAGGTCCTTCTTGCTTTCTGCTGTAGTTCCCATGCAAGCAGGAGTTCCAGGATGTATCGGTCCCAGACACTTCATCTCTCTGACACAACCCCTAATGTTTTCTCTGGAGGTGTTAACTCTTATTAAGCTGAATTTGGAGCTTTTCCTAACACCACAAAATTCAAAAACAGGACAAGAAGCGGAGTGGCAAGTACCCAGGTAGCGGCTCAGCTCTGATTTCATGTGCTCCTCTTGCAACCCGTGAGTTATCCTTCGGGGTTTTATCTTGGTATTAGCATCTGACTGCCTCCTGCAGGAGAAATTCAGCAGGAGGAGGTCTGGGGACCTTCCAGAGCTTTAGCAGTAGACCTCGTGTTGGATTTCTGCTACCAGAAATGGGCGTGGAGATGTTAAAACGAGTCTCTGGTTTCTGCCCTTGTTTTTCTGTTTTGTTTTTTTTCCTGGAAAACTGTTTCCGTTCTGGGCAGGAAAAACCACCCTCAGACCTTCAGATCTCACAACAAAAGGGGAGTTTGCAGGGAGTTCCTGCAGTTGAGCAGCTCTGTGAATTATTTGGGAAGTTGCAGCCGGGTAGGTGGTGGTATTTATTAATCACATGTATCTCTTTGGGACAATCAAACCTGAACTCAGCAGCAACATGTTTTAGAAAGGTCTGAAATGCAGCATTTTAAAATCATGATGGAATTTGTTGTCATTAACTGCACATCCTAGGAGAGGACGAATTACCCAAGCCGTGAGCCGCTCGCTTCAGCACAGCAAGTTCAAGAAATGGCAAGTCAGCAGGTTCCCCAATTAACCCTCGATTGCTGGCATCTCGGTGATGTTTTATCAAATGTGGCCTCTCCTTGAACACCTGGACACCCGTGCTTGGTTCTTCCTGATACGAGAGCAACTTTTCATCTCTGTTCTCTTGCGCTGTTCCTCCTGAGCTACGGCGTTCTTTGAAAGACCCAGGTGATTTGTAAGCTCATCGAAGAATGAGGTGAAGCTGAGGCAGAGATGAATGTTTTCTGGCTTTGTGGAGGTGTGTGACGTCTCGTATTTAACTGAAGCTCGACAAGAACAACACCGGAGTCTGGGAACCCACAGAAGCGAATTTGGAGCGTTCAGGGGGCGGTTGTTTTCTGTTTCATTTTCTAGAAATACCAGGGGGAAATCGGAGTTTTACTTCGACAGAACTAAAAAGCTGCTTTGTCTGTTCCTTCATTTCCTTAGGAAGCCAGGAATTGAGGGGAAACCTCCTTCAGCAGAGGAGATTTTCTTCTGTGAAGGTCTCTTGCCCCCCACGCCCGGGCCTGATTTCCATATTCGTGCTGATCGCCTCCCCCAGAAGCCGAGGAGCAGGAAGGCAGCGGAGCTCTGCGCTGCTGTTACTCATCCTGCGTGGTGCCGGGCTTGAATCGAGCTGATGGAACCAGAAAATGACAAACCCATTCATCGGGGCACCTCTGAGAGCCCTGATGTCTGCGGAATAGGGCTGTGCTCACCCCGTAATTCAGGGGGATTGTGTTCTCGGGGCGCCAGATCCGTGGTGCTAATTTCAGGCGTGCTCCTTGCAGCAGTTTCGTGATGTGCTCGTCAACGAGCTGTACAGCGAGGGGGTGAGCCTGCGGGTGAGGAATACCAGCTGGCGTTCTGGGGGTGTTACAGGAGGAGGCAGCACCTCTCCTCGATGTTATTCCCTTTGCCTGCAGAGCAGGGGCAGGAAAATGCCACAAGGAAGGAGGAAATCCCCCAGGTAGGGCACGAAGCGGGGTGGTGCTTGGTTTTCTGACAGCCCCGGTGCAGGTGGGGCAGCCCCCATCCCCAAATCATTTATCCCCGGTTGATTTTAACACGGCACAGCCCTGCTGCCCACCAGGATGATTTTTGGGCCGGTGCAGTGCTCTTTCATCTACGTTTGGCACACGATCTGATAGAAAAAGGAACCTGGCTTAAATTAACCGGGGAAAAAGTGCAAAGCCTGGAGCAAAGCGAAGCCTGGAAGCCCGTGCTTCCAAGGCAGAGCTCTCAGCATCCGTTACGCGGTCCTGTCATTACAGTCCTTAATTTAAAGTACAAGTTTCTTGAAAAAATCCTGCTTTTGGGGCAGTTTCACTTTGTTTGAATGATATTTTTGGAAGGGATCAGAGGGGATTTCTAGGAAAGTGTTGCACTCTCATGGCAAGTACTCATTTTGTCTTTAATCAGGTGCTTAATTTTTTATATCCTCACCAGACTGGCAGTAACCAACAGCATGCAGTGTCAAGGTGACTTCTGAGAGGGACGTGCTGCTTTGATTATTATTTTGATGATGATTCATGGGCTGAGTCATAAATTCGGGATGGCTTCCTGCGCTCCAGGCACTGAAGTGCTCCCAGTCGAGTGTGACAAACAAAGGCACCTCTGACTCTGAAGGCTGTGAGCTGCGGGTTGTTGCAAACTGGGAGGTTGTAGGGGGACAAAATCTCTACATTGCCCTGTTCTTTTTTTATTTTCCCTTGATTTAGGTCTTGTGTAGTCTCAGTGACCATTGTTCAGTCTTCCCTGGCATCGCTTTATGAGGAAAGCGTTCTCACTGTGTCTCTGTTAGTTTTCTTGTGCATTTTTGTGATCTCAACAGGAACAATTAGGAAAACCAAAGATGGATTTCCTTATTGACTATAAATTCATTAATATTATAAGAATTTCACTTACTTATCATATTCTTCTAATTCTACACTGTTCTGTAACACAGGTGTATCCTCTTCAGTGGATGCCGTGACCCCTGCGTGCCAATTTAAATGAAAGACTTACCAAAATATCCTTTTTTTTTCTTGCAGCCCTGGAAGAAAGCGTGATTTCTCCCCGGTGCTTTGGAGCCAGTACTTTGAGTCTATGGAGGACTGTTGTGGTAGAAAACGAAACCGGCAAGGATATATCCTTTTTTCCAGGTTGAGATTTCCGTAACGACTGGGGGCAGTGTCCTGTCTTTGAGTTTATCGGGGTTCTTTTAATCTTTTCCACGTATTTCTTCTCATCTTCCTTTGTTTATCCACGTATGTTTATTATTATTTATTTATTAACAGGTAGTTAACTGGCAGTCAGGTGTTCAGAATCAGCATCAGTGGTCCAAAACCTGACCCCAGCACTGAATATCTACACGTTAATAAACACTACAAACATCCCGAGGCCCTCTACAACTGTTCCTAGGAAGTTCTGTTCCCTTACACGTGCACAAACACACAAGCACAGTCGTGTGCACCCCCAAAAAGTGTGGGTTGCTACTTGTTGCACCCCAAATCCAAGCCCACTAGCTGCTGTGCAGCTGGGGGGGCTTCTCCCTCTGGCCCAGCTGGAGGTGGTGGTGCCAGCAGGGAGACTTCTGGCTGCATCACACCAGGTTTTAACAATTTATCTCCAAGATTTCTGCCCCCTTCACAAATATTCATGCTGCTTTTATGCCTCTCTTCAAGCACACTCCTTTTTGCAGGTCTTCCAGTTACTGATGTCTGTAATCCTCTTTAACAGGCTCAGTTTGAGGCAAAGACCATCAGCTGGCTTTGGGTGTGCCATTCACTGGTTATCTGTACCCACCAGCTCTGACAAAAAGTGTTTTGAGAGCTACTTCCAGGTCTTCTGAGCTAACTGCAAAATGAAAATGTTTTTCTGTGGTTAAATAACACAACCCTGTAACTTAATAGTTGCTTAGATTTTAAGCATGCATATCCCTAGCTTGCTGGAGGCCTGTTAAGAAAACCAAATTTCCAAGCTCTTTCAGCCCCAATATCAGTGATGATTACTTCCCTGCATTTGTTAATTTAAAATGAGCAAATTTCTCTCCCTTGTTTTATTCGCCTTGTCATTATTTTGTGTTCTCATTAATTGTGCCAACTGATGCTATGAATCTGGTCACTGATGTGCACCTTGTTTGTGTTCCTTGTGAAGTGCTGCACACACCCCTGAAGCTTTATAAATAATAAAAAGGATAATGGACCTGTTCGGGTAGGTGACACACAGAAATCTTAAGGGCACTCCAGTATTCAGCAGAACCACGAGGAACAGCTTGGTGAGTAACCTCAGCTAGCGTGGTGAGATTTAGGGGGGCACTTTTGTGCACCCTAAGAACAGAGGAAGAACAGCAGAAGGAGGTGGAGCGACTTGGCTGATCTCTTGGTCACAGTTTGGGGCACTAAATGCAGATCTCACGACTCCCAGATCTGTGCCTTCCCCAGTGCTTTTAGTGATAGTTCAACTGATTTTTTTCTGTGTCTAAATAAATGCAGTAAGGAGACATCAGCTGAATCTTCTTTACCAGTACATATTCCAGATAGTTAGACTGCCCTAAGAATCTTTTTTACTGGCTTACCTGACAGTTTTTTTCTTGGATCTAACAGGAAAATGTGCCAAATCAAAACTACCCACTCCATAGTGCTCGCTGGTAATGGTTTGTTTTTCTCTCAGTTCAATTCTCTGCTGCACAAGGAAGAGAAAGGTTGCTGGCAGGAGATGTGTAGGTTATAGAGAAGATGTGGACAATAGGAAAAGAACTCTTAACCTGTACAGAACTTAGCTTCTTTTATCCTTGCATATACCCATTGCTCAGAGGAAGAAATGAGGCCTCGTGTACACAAGGGTGGAAACAAAACCCCGTTGGCTATTGCAGACTCCAGAATACATTCAGCAAAGTGACATCAAATAACTCTCTGAAATGTCCTTAACTGTTCATACACTTTTCGAATTTACAAAAGTGGCTCGGAGGGACCTGTCTTACTGCTCCTACACGGTGGAGGCCATTCTGCTCTTTCCTGGGCTGTGTTTACTGTAAGTAAGCTGCTGACTTTTACAGGTATATGTGCATGCTGATGTGGTCCTCTAAGCATGGGAGGCAGCTGATGGTTCAGCTGTGTTAAGCACTGAGGACAATGAATTCAGAAAGCTGTGTCTTACAATCTCCTGGTATGTACCTGACTCAAGTTATTTAAGTGTAAGTATTAAATAGGTAAAGGCTTATCTTCTAGGCTTTAATTATACAGCAGTGGCCAAAACTTCCACACAGGACTTCATTAAGTGTTAACACTTAAAAGGTGTTTAAAAATAAACACAAACCCCAGAGCTAAGGAAGAAAAACTTTTGAAGGATTGCAGGTAAAAAAAAAACAAACAAACAAAAAAAACACTTGCAGCTCTTGATTTCTAGTTGGGACCTTTTATAATCCAGGGATTGGAAGTGAAGAGTGAAGAATTTCCTCCTAACATCTAGTCTAAGTCTCACCTCTCTTAGTTTACAGCCATTTCCCTTTGGAATATCCTTTCCTTGTCTGCTCAAGCAAAAATTTGGTGTTCATATTCTCGATAAGCCCCCTTTAAGTACTGAAAAGCTGCACTAAGGTCACCCTGAGCCTTCTCCAGGCTGAACATCCCCAGCTCTTTCAAGTTTTCTTCACAGGAGAGGTGCTCCAGCCCTCTGAGCATCTTTGGGGCCCTCCTCTGGACCTGCTCTAAGACTGTACTTCACAGTTCCTGGCTTTTTTTGTTGGCAGCTAACAAAGATAACACAGAAGATTTGCATCAATTTGTGCCTTGCACCTGCCTGCGCATCTGGAGAGAGCCACTGCCCCAATTAGCTCGTGCCTTTGCACGGCTGGTATTAAATCACTGCCTGTGCATGCTTTGAAAAGCAGGTTTGTGCCAAGCAGACCTGGAATCAGAGAATGGATTGGGTTGGAAGGGACCCTAAAGCCCACCTAATTCCACCCCCTGCCCTGGTCAGGGCCCCCAGCCCTCCCCCAGCCTGGCCTTGGGCACTGCCAGGGCTGGGGCACCCCCAGCTCCTCTGGGCAGCCTGGGCCAGGCCCTCAGTGCCCTCAGAGGGCAGAATTTCTTCCCAATTTCTTCCCAAAGCCTCCCCCTGCCAGGCTCCAGCCGCTGCCCCTCGTCCTGGCCCCCCAGTCCTGACCAAGAGTCCCTCCCCAACTTTCCTGCCCCCCCCCTGCAGGCCCTGGCAGTGGCCTCCTCTTCCCCAAGCATCTTTGTGGCCTCCTCTGGACTTGTTCTGAATAGTCAAGATAAATGAACCAGAGCTTAAACAATCTTTAAAATGCCAAACAAACTATGGCAAAACCAACCAGAAACAACAGCAAAAGAAGAATCTCTCCAGTTGGGAAGCACTGAGTGCAGCCATCTAATAATAGCCTGCAGAGGGAGGGGTGCTGCTTTCTTCTCTTTATTGGCCTGCTAAATGCCTGGATGATGTGCCTGTGCTTTTCTTGCCCAAACTATTTCTGTTTGGCTAAAACTCAGAGTACTGGAAGGTTTCCCATTCTGTCACATCACGCTGACGACCCTCTTTCCTTGCTCTCTGCTGACAGTGGGTTGATTTTTTAGCAGTCATCTGTTCATCTGACTCGGTAAACTATTGCTAGGTGCATAAGCACCTTGCAAAATGAGGTTTCAGGGTGACTTTGGGGTCTAAAATATTAACTTGTGGATTCAGAGGTTGTTGGGGAAGCAAGTGCCTCAGTCACTAAGGATTTAAATAGTTGAACAACCAAAATATGAGAACAGGTAAGCTTTCAGCTTTTAAGCTTTTACGTAGGTGGTTTATTAACAGTCCCTCAACAAATTCTCCCAACCCTGCGGGGTCATTATTTAAATCATCAACGATTCCTTAACACAAAAGTCTTCCTTTCAGCAGAGAGAGCTGGTTAATCATTGTGATGCCTGAAATAACTTGTGCAAATTGAGCTGTCAGGGACAAATAGAGGCATCATCCTATGGCAGCCTTGCCTTACTTTAAAAAGATTCCTCGCTTGTTCCCTCCCAACCTCTTTGGACTAATCAATTTTGTATGTTCCAGCTTTCCTGTAAAATTCCATTCTTTAAGAGCAAATTGAATCTGTGCTGCGAAGCAGCTGCTTCATCTTCATGTCTGCTGTGTAGCCGAGGCTAATTTTGGAACACGTTGGGTTTGGGGAAAGGGGGGGGCATTGCTTCAGCATCTGTAATCCCACTGCTGCGGTTCAGAGGTGCTACAGAGCTGGAATTCCTGATTCGGTAGGAAACACACGTAATATCTTAACACACAATGAAATAAACGTCCTTGGAGATGACGTGAACAATGGTAGAAAGGATGGAGCTTTGGTTAATTAAGGATAGCTAAAATGGAATATTCTTTGAGGGATCTGAACCTCCAGGTTCAGCCCCTTGTTGACAGCGGAGGGTTTTGTTAGTCCTAGCCTTTGCTGTCCTTTCAGTGGGTGCTTAATGTTGCTAAACCTTTTGTAGGTGAGGTGTGTGGCTTTGCAAATGATCTTGTCTTTGTCCCTTCTTGCAGTCTGCAATCATTAGCAGGATTCAGTGTAGGATTGTGGCTTTAGATCTCCGGGGCCATGGTAAGTATGATTTAAAACCACAGAAGCGCATTGCATGCTCCCTTTTTTTAAAGGAGATGTAACGAATCCCTCCCAAAATGGCTGAGAAATCATCCTTAAGGCATCCTTATTTTTATTCCAAGGCAGGGATGGGAAAGTTTGGGTTTGTGGAGCTCTGCAGCCACCTGACCCCACGTGTCAGCAGCTGAGACTCCCTGTGCCTTTATTTAGGGCAGTGGTGGACTTGTTCCTTCCTACCTGTTGGCCTCACCCCCCTCCTCTATATTTTGATAACCTAAAAGTGTTTTTTCCTGGTAGAAACAAGGTGTGGTGTTCAGTTTTAAGATACATTTCTAATAGGGAACAATCACAAGGAGTGTTTCCTACCCCTAAGCTATAATGTGATAAAGTACCAAATGTTTTTATTAATTCTGGGTTTCTTAATTATTCATGTTAACTGAAGTGGGCTCTTTGTTCATAACTGTGCCCAAAAGCTTTGTACATTTTCTGCTCAAAGTCCTCAGGGGTCTGAAGGTTTTCAGCTTAAGTGAATTTTGCTTTTTTTGTTCTTTCAGGAGAAACAAAAGTTAGGAATCCTGAAGACCTGTCTGCAGAGACGATGTCCAAGTAAGGAAGCTTTATGCGCTCCCCTCAGTATTTCACTTTTCACACATCTATTTTTATTTATTGATTGCACTTCCAGAGGGCACACAACCTTCATTCAAGGGAGCTGGAAGAATGGTTTCATTTCATGTAATTCTGGCAGCTATCACTTATTTTCCTTCCATTTTAGGACAGTTTTAAAATTAATTTGGAATAAACTATCAGCTCTGTCAGCTGAGTCGTGTTCCAAAGTGGACTTGTTCTCTAGGTCCCATCAGTTTTAAACCCAAATTACAGATCAGTGACTTCATTGTAGTAAACACTACACCTGTAACACTCAATGACGCTTGCCAGAGATTTCTGAATAGAAGGGAGAAAGCTTTCCCTAGGCATAATTTGGGCATTTTACCGTGAAAACACCAGTTTGGTCGTTCTTCTGCTCTTTCAGTGAGCGTTCAGACTGCACCTGCCTTGGGCCAGCAGCATCCCCAAAGTGTGGGTCAAGAATTGAGGCTCTAGCACCAAGGGAGTTGTTTTTACAAATTCTCATGACCCGTTTTGGGATGCAAATCCTCTTCTGGCCAAGCTGCGTGAGCAGCAAATAGCTAAGTACATCCCATTGTGTCCACGTTTAACGCAAAGAGGCTCTTTCCTATGACTGCAATTAAAGCACGAAGGACTTTGTAACCTTCCCATGAACAAATCTGCTGGATTTGTTGTGGGGAGGCCATGTGTGAAATGTATCCTGACTCCCATTGTATACCGTATTGCTGCTGCTTACAGCTTGTCAGGTCCTGATCCGTCAGCGTCCCGAGGAGGTGCTGTATGAAATAATTGGGAGTTTGCAATCTGCAGCAGCACTGCTCTGGGGGAAAACAAGTTGCCTTTTGTTTTTAAACCTCGTTCTCCTCTTAGCAATGATCTCGAAAGTTATTCCTCATTAGCCTTTAAACGGGAGCCTTAAATTATAGCTAGTTTTCATCTTTTATTAAATCCTCCCATCGTTTTCTCCTTGACAGAACAAACAAGCTGGCTTTTCTTTCAACTCACTTTCTGTTTACTAGATGCAGTGCTGCTCAGGTCTTCAGTTCCTCTGAATTGCAAAGACAATTTTGGCATCTTTGAGGCTGTCTTAAAATACTGTGCGCTTCAGTAGGTTTCAGTCTTTAGCCATGTTGTTGTTTTATGTTTTTTTTTTTTTTTTTGTGAATTGTGCCAGCCAAAATTCACATACTGCGGTGACAGCTTCAGTTTAAAGTAGGAGCCTTACGAAAGAGAAGGGGAAACCTCTGCTTGCCTTTTAGTATCTGTGCTCCCGAGAGAGTCAATCTTTGCTTGTGTTCATGCTTCTTTGCCTTGGTTGGTAGGGCTTGGTTATTTTTTTCTATCTAATTGCAGAAGGTTTCTCCTTTCAGAACTGTGAATTTTTTAGTCTACGCTTCCATGCTTTTCCGTGTGATGCTTTTCTCACCTTTTATTTAAAACTCCCACCACCTAATGTCAATGTAAAATGTTTGCTTAAGGGATTTAAAGAAATAAAACACTTTCTGTTTATAAAAAGGGAAATGACACACTTGTTCAGTGAAGTATTAGCTTAAAAGGTTTCCTGTATTGGTGCCTTAATGAAACTGAAAGGGAATAAACTTGCCCCAACAATCTTTGGGTTAAATAAGCGTGCAGAGATGATTTGGAGCCAGACGTCTGTCTTGGATCTGTACGTCCTCCTCCCCTGGTCCAGAACAGTTTCAGAAACGTATGAACATAAATTTGCTGACCATGTTTTTATCTTCGTTTGGCAGAGATGTTGGAAACGTGGTTGAAGCCCTGTACGGGGACCTCCCTCCCCCCATCATGCTCATTGGGCACAGCATGGGGGGTGCCATTGCGGTGCACACGGCGGTCGCCAACTTGGTGCCGAGCTTACTGGGGCTGTGCATGATAGACGTTGTGGAAGGTAAGCCTGAGTACCCTCAGTATGGCTTTTCTTTTTCTCTTCTCCCCAAATCCCTGAACACAGGAGGTTTTACCCACAAACCTATGCTAATTCCATCCTCCTAACAGAAATTACCTACGTAAAATAGTCCTCGTGGTGGGACCCCTCCTTTTACTTCTCCCAGATGGGGTCTCTGCTCTTGTCCTCGTCATTTGGTTGTAATACTTTGGTGCTAGCTCAGAGGAAGGCTGCTTTTTTATTTAATACATGGTGCTGACGTGTGCTTACTGCTTTTTCCTCCTCTCTGAATGCCCTAATATTAATTCTCTGCTGGGGGAGCAGGTACAGCTGGAGGCTTAGGAATACTAAGCTATATTTCCCTTAACTGTGCATTAAATCCCTTTTGAGCCCCAGCTCTCTCTGATGGCACTCCCTCGTAGCCAGTGCTATGTAAATTATTCTACTACACGCCATAAAGTGAAAGCATTTGGTTTTAGGTACGGCCATGGATGCATTGAACAGCATGCAGAACTTCTTACGGAGTCGTCCCAAAACGTTCAAGTCGCTTGAGAATGCAATCGAGTGGAGGTAAGGTGTCAGCTTATGCAGACTCAAAATCTCTTGCCATTTTTGCTCGACTCCTGATAGGCACAAACTTTGTGACTTGTCAGTTTGCCTCCTTTCACTCTAACTTCTCCAGCTGTACAAAATAGGGGGAGTAGCAGATTCTCCAGAGGGCCCTGGGCAGGAGGGTGAGGTGGGCTGGGAGGAACCTCATGGGGTGCAGCAAGGAAAGGTGCAGGAAAGGCCCTGGGGGCCTGCTGGGAGCCAGGTGATTTGGGTAAAATTACCTGTTTTTGCTTCTGTTTCTGGGCTTGCTAGTCACTGTTGCATTTAGTAACTGTTTCTACCTTTCTTCACTTTTTTTTTTTCTAGTGTTAAAAGTGGACAAATAAGAAATCTTGAATCTGCTCGAGTTTCTATGGTCGGTCAAGTCAAACAGTAAGTTGCTTTTTGATATTTTTTTCCTAAATTCTCTTACAGTCTTCCTATCTGTTTTGCAATACCATCCCTGCAGAGCATAAATGCTCTTGAACTTATTTTCTACCAAAATAAATTTCTTGTTTTAGTTTGATCCCACTTGATACCCACAGCAGCAACAAATCATAGCCATAGCACTTGGATCAGTAATCCGTGACATACCTGGAACCTTTACAAAGGTTTTTAATACTGTGTTGAAAAGAGCTGCTGTTGCTTGTTTGACCACTTCTGTCCCTTTTTAAATAGCTGTTTGCATTTCTGTTTGCACAGGGACACACGTGCTGCAGAGGCACTTAGTGACTGTCTTTCATCCACAGCTATTTTTAACTGGTGGGGGCATTTTTCTCAGCCAGTGTTTAAGAAATTTCTTACCACTTTAGGTTTAAAACATGCGCTTTTTTGTTTGTTTTGGAAGGAGAATCAGTTCCTGGCTTTATTTTCACAGGTGCGAGGGAGCTGCTAGTCCTGAATGTCCTAAAGCCATAGTGGAGGGCATTATTGAAGAGGAGGAGGAGGAGGAAGAGGATGATGAAGGGGGTGGCTCTGTCAACAAAAGGAAGAAGGAAGATGACACAGAGGTGGGGAGTTTCTTGCTGTTTCAGCTCGTGTTTGCATGATATTCCCCTGCAAGAAAAGTAGCCAATAGTTATCCAAATATAAATATATTTGGATATTAATACATATAATTTCTCTCTGATAGAAATGAGAGCAATTCCAGTGGAAAACTTATATCAGGACTCTTGTTTTTCTTCTTGGTCTCATTCCACTGATTCCATCCTGGGTTGTCACTTAGAAGTGTGTGTTTGGTTTTCTTTCCTCGGATGCTCTCAAATTTAGTGCTTATTATCTGAAATGGGGATTAAGTAGTGAATGAGGACTGCTCTTTTCTGAGCCTTCATGGTATTTTTGCTCAGTTGCAACCTAAGAATGTAAATTCCTTACGGAAAATCATTGCAGCCTGCTTAGCCCCTTGTATTTCTGTGTCACCTAACTCTTGTTGAGAGGCAAATCTGAAGGCACAGACAGTGCATGAGCTATTTGTGCCAGTGAAAAATAAAAAATTGACTGCCCTGAAAGCTGCAGTCTTCTCTTAATCTGTAGGTGTAGCTCCTGCTGACTTTCTTGCTCCCTTTTTGTGTACTTTGGTTGTGATTTGGAGAGGAAATAAGGAGCAAGAGCTGCCTGCTGGCAGTGTGTAATCCACCAGAGGGAGCCAGTATTTTTTAGATGCGTTTCCAGGTGACACTGAGCTTCACTTCAGCTGTTTCACTGATCACTAATGCAGAGCTCTCTCCTTCCTCCCTGCAGACAAAGAAGGAGCACTTATACACGTGGCGAATTGAACTGGCGAAAACAGAAAAGTACTGGGATGGCTGGTTCAGGGGGTTATCTAACCTCTTCCTAAGCTGTCCAACTCCAAAGCTTTTGCTTTTAGCTGGTAAGTGTCTTGTTTAAATTCAGCAGTGGCTCACTTCAGTGGTGCCCCGCTTGTATTTTAGAAAACAAGATCAGCATTTGGCTAATGGTTTTGTCTGAGAACAGTGGACCTGTTTCCTCCACCCTGGCTTTTCTACGTGTCATGAAACAGAAACGAGTCCATTTGAACTGTGCAGATCTGGAATCAGTTCAGAGCCTCTAGTATCAAGATAGCTTCTGCTAATACAGTATTTTCCTACAGATGTGGGCATAAATTTTCACCTGAAAGTTAAATTATCAATATTCTACAGCCAGCCGTGGGCCCTTTTTGTGTCATGGTAGCAAATACAATGCATAACCAAGACAAACATCCTTTTAAGTTATAGAAAGGATGAGTTCTTACAGTTTTGGCTGGGATTCTTTCCTGTCACTTTACTCTCTTAAGGTGCAGCAGTGAAACACCCTAGTGAATGTCAAAGCTGATGTTTGGTTCACGTTTTTTTTATGCCAAATGTCTCTTTCAAAAAACGCCCAGTAAAGATCTGCTTAGACAGCCGTGTTCTCCCTGGCTCTTCTCCAATACATCTGTTTATTTGATTGTAGGTGTTGACAGGCTGGATAAAGATCTAACAATTGGACAGATGCAAGGTAAATATTTAATATCCTTACTGGAATGCTCCTTTGAGATGATAGCTTGTTGCTATGGGTACACGAACAAGAGCTGGAATGGCCTCTTACCAGGCACAGATTGTACCAAAACAAATGGGCATGAAAGACTTTGTGAATCCCAAAATATTCCTTAGCTGTGTGATTGTGGGAAAAGTGGAGATTTTGAGAAGGGAAAGGTTGAATTAGAAGCCACAAAGGGCTTTAACCATCCTTTTTGTTCAGTCTAGTGTTTGATGTTTCCACCAATGGGTCTGCCACACTTCTGGCGAATGTGTTCTCTGAGGCTTTCTTTTTAATAAGTTTTATCTTTTTTTTTTTTGCCTTCCTAGTGAGATTCTTGATGCTCCTAGCTTAGAAGACTTGGAACCACCCAAAACTGTCTGGTTTCCCAGTGTTTCTAGCAGCATCCCCATTAATGTAATTTTTTTTGTTCTTCTGGTCCCAGTTTTCATAGATTTCCGTGTTGATTGATTCTGAAAAGTAGTATTGGGCAACAGGATAAATTAGGGTAGATCTGATAACAGTTTGAACTGTGAAAGGTTAGTCTAACCTGTGTCGAGAACCTCTGAGAAGTTTGGCTTTGTTTTATCTCCTGGGAACCTGCTCTAGTTATGCCTGGGGAAGATGAATTTTGGCATCCAGTTCTTGCATTTTGTTGAAACTGGCTGCTGTGCAGATCGTACAATTTCCCTTAGACTCTGCCTTCCCTGCTCCTCCTTCACCAGATGGCATAGCGAGGTCGTAAAGAATGTGAGATCCTAATGAGAATTCCTAAATTCGCAGCCCTTTTGAGGTTTCAGTGCCTGTTTCCTGTACGCACGAGAATTACTTGCCTAAACCATTGCTGTTAGAAAGCAGGGCCACTTAAAAAGCAGCTCCAACGCTGACTCTCTTGGTCTGCAGGGAAGTTCCAGATGCAAGTCCTGCCACAGTGCGGCCACGCAGTCCATGAAGATGCTCCAGACAAGGTGAGCTCTGCTGGGGAGTGAAGCTGCTTGCATCATGCTCTTCACAGCCTAAATACAAAAAGGGGCTCCTGCTTACTATGGAGCAGGGATTTATACTGCAAGAACCTTTTGGGCATGATCCCATAACTGTGTTTTTTTGCAAAACAGCTTGGATTTAACCAGATTTCTTAAGCTAGCTGGAAAGCCTGATGTTAGATGAGATGCAGAGCTTGGCTAGGTCGTAGCTGTAACTGTCAGGCTGGTGGTGATGGAACTAACTGTTCCCACATGGGGCGTGGATCACTTTTAACCTCCTGTCTTCCCTCACGAAGCTTTCCACTCGTCCCAGCTTTTGGAGTCGCTCTGTTTGGCTGAGTTGGGGCGGCTCAGATTTTCCAAATAGGAACCAAATGTTGCTGAAGCAGCGTGCAGCCTGACAGAGCAGGGCTGCTTCTGTGACGCTGAAATTCCTGTCCTGACAGCAGCAGGAATGTGGCACAGCCAGGGCAGCCTGTGGTCGGAAACAGAGCTGGTTTTAAAGCTTGTTCGACGCTGACCGCTGTGAATACCAAACTCGGTCTGTCAGTGCTTCTCTTTACCAGTGTGAAATCAGTATTTTCATCTAAATAGTTGCTCTTTTTAATAAAGCTTCTAAGTGGTATTAATAGAGTCAGGACACTGATTTATCCTTTATAGGAATAATGTCATGATGTCACCTGACTTTTTTTAAGTGTTAAACTTAAGAGGTTGTTGTTTTCCTTTTTTTTATGTGATTTTTTTTGTTTTATTTTAGAATTACAGAAAAGTGGTGAAAATTTTTGTCACTTCTTCATTGTGTGATCAGTTTTAGAGTAAAAGTAGAAGTGTGGAAGCACGCATCTCCTTTTAGACCTGAGCCTGTGATACAGAGCTCTTAGTTTCAAAGGAGCAGGAGGGTCCTACAGCCATGGGCTGTAATTGGAACTGCTGCAGCCTGTGAAAACTGCCTGGATTTCTTCTTGGCTTTGCATCCCTTTGAATCCTGACTGGTTTTTCCTTCCCTCCTTTAGGTTGCTGAAGCTGTTGCGACGTTCCTGATCCGTCACAGGTTTACAGAGCCCATCGGTGGATTCCAGTGGTGAGGTTCTGTGCTATACAAGGCTGTGCAAGTCCTCGGGCAGAGCTCTTGCTCCTCCCGTGTGCTTGCGGCTTTCGGTGTGGGAGGCAGCTCGGAGTTTCAGCATAATGCTGAAACCACATGTAAACAAACAGCGTTGAATCACAGCCAGGAATTATTTGGTGTCTGTGTTCCCTGTAAGCTTTTCGGGTGTTCGCTTGTGTTAATGAAACCTCCTTCCTTGGAGGGAAGGAGGGAGGCAGATCTTACCCAGCTGATTCCTTTCTTTAGAACCTGCCAGAAGGCACAACTGCAAGCTTTGTGGGATTCAGAGTAAACAGGTTTTTATGTAAATAATCAAGGCCCCGTGCCCTGGAAGCAGCTTGTACCACGCTGCTTTGGCCAGGAAATGCTGGTGAGGTGAGGCAGGTAAAGCTGCCTGCTTCATTTTGCAGGCTTCTGATAATTACCTCCTGTCTTTTCTTATCATGATGAACTACAAACCAGCCCTCTGGCATTAGCCATGCAGCCACGAGCGAGTTTTGACTGATAAGGTTGCTTGGAAAGCTCCTAAAGTCCTAGCTACAATATCATAAAGGGAATCATTAAACCAGTGCTTGGGCCACGCTCACAGAAGGTAATAAACTGCTCCGAGATCATCCTTCAGGTTTCAGAGAGCAGTCCAGAAAAATCTTCCTGCTTTTATTTATTTTATTTATTTTAATTTTATTTATTTATTTATTTTATTTTTATTTATTTGTTTTAATTCTTCAACAGAAGCTCTAAGCTTCAAAATGTATTAATGCTGCAGGACTGGCAACACCAAACAGGTACTGCTGAATGCTCTTTTTCCCCTTTATCCTGTGCTTTTTAGGGATGAAACAGTAGAAATGAAGGGCTGTGCACTGCATGTTTTAAATTCAATGAAAGGAAATGGTGTTGGAGGAAGTGAGGTGGCTTGCTAGCCATCGCCAGCAACGTGTTAAGATTTTGTGCTTCTCACTATTACGTAGCTTACAAGTTATTGCTGAGTTTATCAGTGCTGATTTTACACATTAGGCTCCTTTTGGCTGTGTTTTACTTGGGTTAATCTACTAAATCAGAGCATCACAGAGCCAAATATCTTCAGGGAACACCTTGATTTTTAACATGTAACTTTTTTTTTTTTTCCCCACTCTCCTTTTTTCCCTCCTAGCGTGTTTCCTGCTTGTTAATACCCTGGTGTTCTCCAGCACTGAGTCATGTTGTAAATAAACTGCACCAGAGGCCACTGTGATGTATTCCATATCTCTTCATCTCTCCGGTTCAGCAGCAGTGAGAAGTTGGTGTGAGATTCGTCCCTTAGAACTAGTTCTCCAGAATGTGTAAGCGCTTCGGGACTTCCTTGCTGGGAAGCAGCTCGTCTTGAAGACCGTGAAAAGCTCTTCAGACCCTCGGAAGTGGGCTCCTCTCTGCTGCCGCAAGGAAAAACCTCCTGAAATCCCAAGTAGTCAATCGCGCCCAGCTCCATCCGTTCTCAGGCTTTCTTGGCCCCAACTGCAAAGGGGCTGTGTGGCCCAGATCCACCGAGGCCATTGCAGCATTATCCAAAGGCTTCGGGATTTCTCCATGGAATCGTCTAAATTTCTTTGAAGTGCCCCTTAGGTTTGTTTTTTTTTTTACACATAAAATGTTTCTCTCTAAAGCAGAGGAGGAATTGGCTTCGTCGGGAGCTCGAGTCTCCTCTCACCGGTGTCAGCCTTAAGGGTTAAGCTGTGGCAGGAGCCTGATGCTACTTTCCTGTGCCAATTTAGCCAGGACTGGGAAACAAAAAGGTGAGGGGGGACCCTGAGCTCCATTTCGGAGCCTCGCAGCTTTAACATTCATTTTCGAGTTCTCACTGAGGAAAAAGAGCCTGAATAACAGGCACTTTGCCTATTTGGCTGCTCTCTGCCTCTGGAATGTGTTTATGCTTCCCTTTGTGTAGCTGCCACACATGACTGAGCAGAGATCGGCATCTTTGGGATGAAAAAGATGCAAGAAGTGCAGTAGATAAATCCTGGAAGAGCTTGGAGTCAATCCTGCTGACGTGGATGCCGCCGAGGTGCAGGCAGCTGATGGCTGTGATGTGTTCCCCCAGTACTGGAGGAAAGATCTCGTGTTCCCTGTCCCTTCCTCGATCGTTCCACTGCCTGCTTCCCATGTTCCCCTGTAAATCAGTAGTTGTACCAAGAACTTTTCTCTTCAGGGCTCATTATCCACAGACAATTTCGTCCGATTTGCTTTCACCTCCCTTTAAGAATCCCTCCTGAGCCGAAGAGCAGGCGCGTGCTGGAGCTGTGACCTCGCTGCGTTGCTGGTGGTTGTCTGAAATCTTCTTTGGTTTGCTTCGTGTCCGTCGCCCACCCGTGCTGTATGATGGAAGCAGCATTTTGAAGGCTGTTTTGCTGAGGCGTGCTGCGGGTAGCGAGCCACGACGAGTTCCTGCTGCAGGTGGGGCACGGAGAAGGGGGTGAGCATCACGCCGTGTCCCTTCCCCAGCACACCAGGGCAAGAAAAGCAGAATTAGAGGCAAGAACACCCGATTCCAGCGCGCTCTGCTCTCTCCCAGGCCACTGGCACTGTTAGAAGAGTAATTGCTGGCTCCTGGCCTTCCTCTCTGTAAGTTTTTGTGTTAATTATCGCAGAAATTCACTGCGACCGTGGGGTTACAGCCAGCCCCGGGCTAGCTGGTGCTGGATTAAATGGAGCTTCGCCAGCCGAGATGTTAAATATCACTTTTCCAGATGCGACCTGAAGATTAGCAAAATTCCCAGTCCTTTCCTCGTTGCTCTGGTGCTCAAAATAATTGGAGACTAAAATACAACGGCGTGTGCGCAGAGAAAACCAAGCGTCTTGTCAGACTTGTGAGCAATGTGGGTGAAGTCGCATTCCTCCCTGCTTCGTGTCCTGGAGGAGCTGGCTTGGAGCACTTCGCTGAGGCAGCTCCTCACGTCTGCTGCCCTTGTTTTGATGGTTTGAGAGAAATTTTGGGAAAAAAACACCTCCATTTGAGCAGAAAAAGATGCGTTTGCTGCAGAAATACCCCTTGGAAGTGGCACGACTGTCTGTGAGTGCCGTGGGCTCCTCATACATTAACACCAAATTTAATTCTGAGAAGTGGATGAGAAATGAATACTTCAACAGGCTTTTAACGTGGCAACGCTCCACACCAAGCTCTTGGTCCTGACTGTCACAGAATTTGGGGACTGGCATCGTGTCCGTCTGGGGATGGGAACGGTGCTGGCCTCGGAGCAGGTAACCCCAGGATGGCAGCAGTGGGAGGGCTGGGAATCCCTTCCTGCTGTGCTGGGCTGAACATTTTTGAGAGTTTGCTTCTGTCTGAAAGATTTCTTGCAGCTTCTTCTCTTTTTTTTTCCTGGGAGGAAGGAGCGACAGGCAGTGATAAATGGTGTCTGGGTGAGGACCACGCAGCAAACAGCAGAAGGAGCTGCGGAGAGAAGTGTCCCGGACTCATTAAAAGTGGGGAAATCTGGAAAAAAAACCCTCGGTTGCCAGCTCGTTGCACTTTCTCACAGCCCTCAGCGTTTTTTCTCTTGGTGTTAGACCTAAACAACAGGAGGCTGAACAGAAAGGACGCGGGTTCCACGCCGGAGCTTTCCATCCCTCACAAATCTCCCCTTGCCCTTGTTCCAGCGGCTGCAGGGAGCATCGGTGGAAACTTTCACAATGGAAAAAATCCCCGGGTTTGGCAGGAGCAGCTGATGTGGTTTGCTGGAGGGTTGATTTCGTGAATTTTTCGGAGCCAGAACCGGGCTGGATCCTGCCAGATGCCTCGGACCAAACTCAGGGCTGAAGGGCTGGAATTTATCTCCAGGTGGCTGCTGCGTGGAGCTTGCTTCCCAGCCTCGTTTTTGGGGCCGTGCTGCTCGGCTTACCCTGGTCAGACGCCTTCAGGAGCAAAGCAGGGAGGAGATTTCCCGAAAAAAACAATTAAAAATCGCGGTGCTTACTGCAACCAGAGGTCAGTGTCTCTGCCACGCCGAAGAAATGAGCGCTGGTGGTGAAGAATGAAAGTGCAGAGGGCTGCGGGCTGCCCTTAGGGCTGTAAGGATCCCAAACCCAGCTGGATTTCCTCCCCCAGAGCCAGACAGTGGGTTTTGAGAATCCCAGCTGCTTTTCCTTTTTTTTTTGGCACAGGGGAAGGGCTGGGTGACCCCAAGCCAGCCTGGTCCTGCTCTGTGTGGTTTCAGCTCTCACCCTTCCAGCTTCTCCCGTCTCTGCAGGGCACAGCCACTGGGTTTCTGCTCTGCTGAAGCCATCCCAAGGCAGCAGGGCTTCAAATCCTACAAATTCTGCTGCCCTTGGGGTGAGCAGGGGCCAGGACAGCCCCAAGGGAGCTGCTCTGCCCCTTCTCCCCTTCACTACTTGCCTTTTAGCTGGGGTGTGGATGCCTCCAGCATCCCCAAAACAGCCCAAATCCTTGGGATAACCCTTTGGGATTTTGCTCCGAGCTCTGCTGGGGGAATGCTGGCCCCGTGGGAGGATTTCCAGCCGGGTGTAGCTCCCCGGTGCCCTCTTGTCATCGCTGTCTGTCCCCCCCCTGAAGGAAAACGTGTCCCTGTCCGTCGCTTCCCTGTCGCTATCTCGTTTGGTGTCCATCTCTCGCCTCCCAATAAAGCATTTGTGCAAAGCCTCGGCTGGGAGCTCCTCTGTTTTAGGGTGTAGAGCTGATTTTTTGGGACCAGCGCAGCCTCTGACCCATCCCTGCTCCTGCTTTTCCCCTCCCCTCCATGCCTGATCGCTCCCACATGGCCGGGAACAGCTGAAAATAATAAATGGTATCTTTTTTCCCATTACTGGGGTTGCTGCAGGTTTAGGGTCTGGAATTTGGGGCAGGCTCCAGAACAGGGATTTGGGGTTGAAATATCTGAAGTTCTGCACATTCCTGTGCCTGCAAGAAAGCCCGAGAGCCCCGGCAGTGAGACAGCTCCTTAATTTCTTCCACACGAGTCAGGGAATTCCTGGACGGGGGTTGACCACGATCCCAAAAACCGACTATCATCCTCCTCTGCCCTTTGTGGGGCTGTCCCCAGGATTAATTCAGGGCGAGGCGAGCGCTGTGGGGTCCCTGCCCGATCTCCAGGTGCTGCCGGGGAGCCCGGGCGGCTCCTTTGCCTTCCAGTCACGTCGGGGCTGCGGTCGGCCGGAGAAAGGGAGCTTGTCCGCGGTGCCCCCGGGGAACGGGGCCGAGCCAGGGCAGGCTGGGGGCCAGGGAGGCTGGAAGGCAGCAGCTTTGCACCGACCCCGTTGTGCTCCTACCTCTGAGCTGGTTCTTTTGGGTAAAACCTGACATCGGGGCTTTCCTCGGGGCCATCGTGATCCCTTTGTTCACTCTGAAGCCTACTGATTACCCTAGGAAGGCTGTGTCTGCGGGTGAGGGTCGTTTTAGGATTAAAAAGTCATTTAGGGTTTTTATCTGGGGCTGAGGGCGTGTTAATGGAGCTGTGCTGGGCCCTTTCGGGCTGGGGATGTGCCAAACCTTGCCCCCATCCCACACTGAGCTGGCTCCCCCAAACTCCACTCCAATCTCCTTCAATTTTATTTTCACCCCTTTTGGCTCGCGGGGGAGCAAAACCATCCTCCCCCCGGTGCTGCCACCCCCTTTTTCTCCTGGATAACCCCCCCCTGAGGTGACTTTTCCCCCCCGTGGTGGCGGTGACGCCGTCCAGGCCAGGAGCTGCGTCCTCGAACCCCCGACGTCCTCCTCAGTCCCGGGGATCGCGGCTGCAGGGCCGCCGAAATTCCTGCCCGTGCTCGTGGATCCACTTGTTCGCCACTGGAAGGGGACAAAGAACCCGGCTGCCCCCATCCCGTGCACCCCAAAGGCACGTCCCGTCCCATCCCGTCCCCACCAGCTCCAATATTGGTGATTTTTTTTCCCCCTTTTCCAGGATTTTTCGCTTCCCGACACCTCGCGTCCCCCTCCAGCCCCGCGTCACCCCACAAGTCTCACCCCATTTGTCCCCAGCCAGGACGGGGCAGCCGGCGTGCAGGGTGTCCCCGTCGCCGTCCCCGTTCCTCCGCAGGTTCCACCAGAAGAGGGCTGCGTTCTGCGGGGCAGAGAGGGGGCACGGCCCCGGGTTTGGCACCCCAAACAGCCCTGGGGTTGGATCTTGGCCTCCCAAAACCACCGCGGGAGCTCCAGGGTTAAGGATCAGCGCCCCAAAATGGTTTGAAGCTCTAGGGTTGGGGTTTCAGCACCCCAAAACAAGGCTGGGAGCTATAGGATTAGGGTTTCGTGCCCCTAAAACAAAGCCAGAAGCCCCCAAATTGGGGTTTGGCACCCCTAGAATGGAGACACAAGCCCCAGGGTTAGGTTTTGGAGCCCCAAAATGATCGGGGAGCTGCAGGTCAGGGTTTTTGGGGCAGCGGGATGGGCTCAGCCACGACTCCCTGCATGAGATGCGACCCCATAGAGCTGCGTGCGTCCCCCCCCTGCCCCGTTCCCCCCTCACCTTAACCACGGGCACGCTGAAGTTGGCGTAGATGAAGGCGGTGGAGCCACCGGCCTCCACGGCGCTCAGCTGGAAAAGGGGCACAAAGGTGAGCCGTGGGGCACAGCGCGGGGAAACTGAGGCACGAGCCCTCCCCTGTCCCCCCCCCCGAGGTGTTATCCACGCCCCAAATCCATGAGTTCCCTCCCAGCACCGGGTTTTCGTTTAACACCTCGCCACGATCCCATTTAGGGCCGCCCACAGCCCTCCGCCACCCCGTTCACTCTGAACCCTACTGACGACCACGCAGCCCAACCTCGCTCATCCCAAACCCCGGGGGGACAACTCACGTAGATCATGACCGTGGCGATCCTGTTGCCGGACTTCATTCTGTAAAGGGGGCTCTTCCTGGACTGCCCCAAGAGCAAGAAGGTGGAGAAGGTCAGGTTTGTGCTGAAACCCCTCAACCCGGCGGCTCCACAAACCCGTCGCACCCCACAGCTCCACGGTGTCCCCATGGAAGCCCCTCTCCCTCCTTCCACCTCCTTCTCCTCTTTCTCCTCTTCTTTCTCCTTCCCTTTCTCCTTCTCCCCTTTCTCCTTCTCCCCCTTCTCCTTCTCCCCTTTCTCCTTCTCCTATTTCTCCTTCTCCCCTTTCTCCTTCTCCCCTTTCTCCTTCTCTTCTTTCTCCTTCTCTTCTTTCTCCTTCCCTTTCTCCTTCTCCCCTTTCTCCTCCTATTTCTCCTTCTCCCCTTTCTCCTTCTCCCCTTTCTCCTTCTCCCCTTTCTCCTTCTCTCCTTTCTCCTTCTCTCCTTTCTCCTTCTCTTCTTTCTCCTTCTCCCCTTTTCCTTCTCTCCTTTCTCCTTCTCCCCTTTCTCCTTCTCCCCTTTCTCCTTCTCTTCTTTCTCCTTCTCCCCTTTCTCCTTCTCCCCTTTCTCCTTCTCCCCTTTCTCCTTCTCCCCTTTCTCCTTCTCCCCTTTCTCCTTCTCTCCTTTCTCCTTCTCCCCTTTCTCCTTCTCCCCTTTCTCCTTCTCTCCTTTCTCCTTCTCCCCTTTCTCCTTCTCTTCTTTCTCCTTCTCCCCTTTCTCCTTCTTTCTCCTTCTCCCCTTTCTCCTTCTCCCTCCTCCTTAGGGCCACCACCGTGGCTCCCATTCCACGCAGGACCTCAGCGCACGCCACGGGTCCCCCCAAAAAAACCTCCCTCCCAAACCACCACCCCGTTGACCACCCCGTTGACCACCCCAAACCCTCCTGACCGTGGCGTGGTCGAAGTGTGGCTCGTAGTGGCCGCCCAGCCCGTAGTTGACCACCTGCAGGTACTCGGCGTAGGGAGGCCTCAAATCCAGGCCGGTGACGGCCGCCATGCGCAGCTCCAGCGCCCGCACCACGGGGTCGGCCGTGTCCTTCAGCCAGGCGCTGCGGGGACACCCGGCCTCAGAAATCCTCCCCTATAACTTCCTTTAGGGACATTTTTGGCCCTGCTAGGGGATAAGGGGATGAGGTGGGCCTACCTCTTGCTGATCCTGTACTCGGCCTTCTGCTGCTTCTCCCCGGAGGCCACCACGGAGCGCTGGAGCTGTGGGGGACACGGGGAGGGGATGCTGCCGCCATCAGGGTCACCCCCCAAACAGGGACCACCTTTTGGGACCAGACTGTGGTGTTTAGACCAAAAATCCCCACCCAAGGAGTCCCCGAGGGTGATGCTGCCACCACGGTGGCCATGCAACGCGTTGGGTGCCACCAGACCAGGGAGGGAGTTCAGGTGCACGCCAGACCCTGATTTGTCCCTCAAAAATTTGTGGGGGGCTCCAGGGCAGCAGGATGGAGCCGAGCCGGGCTCACCACCCTACAGGAAGCGGTGCCTGAGCCCTGCTTTAAAACAAACTCAAATCCATTTCTGCCTGCTCAGGGTGGGCCACCAGCCACCACCTCTTGGGGATCCTCCTCCGGGAGGGGGAAACCTCATCCCCATCCCCTCTAGAGCTCACCCAGGGCCCCGCCAACCCCTTGATGGTCTCGGCCTCGGCGTCGCTGATGAAGTCGTGGTACAAGGCGATGTAGGGCTGGAGCCTCAGCGTCTCCTTCTTGGCGGGCTGCAGCAGGAGGTAGGGGCTGCCGTTGGTCTCGTAGGAGCAGCCGAGGCGTGGGGGCCGCTCCATGGCCGGCTGGGGAGAGAGGGGATTGGGGAAAAGGCTGGTAAAAGTGGGCTGGGGGCTATGGGATCCCCGTTGCCAGCCCTACCTGTGCCCCCAGACTCTGGCACAGCTCCTCGTAGGCGTCCCGGCTCTGCAGGCGGGTGGCATTGGGGCGCCGCAGGGGGCTCCCCACTCGGTCCCCCCCTGACGCCAGCAGCTTCTTGTATTTGGCCACGTTCCTCGTCACCCTCTGGTTACTGGGGTCTGCTGGGCGGGGAGGAGATCACCCAAAGCCACACATCCCCAGCACCGACCTCCTCGGCTTCGGTCCTTGGAGATTTCCCATGACCATGCCAAAAAAATGAGGGGTGCCATGCGGAGGTGGCGGGGACACCCCAAAACCAAGCTCAGCCCCGTACCGTAGTGGAGAAATTCCCTGGAGAGGGTCAAGGCGTGGGAGATGTTTCCAGCCTGGATGGGAGCGGAGAGCGTGTGAGGAGCCCCAGCCCCATAGTTTGGCCCCGTGGGGCTGGGGAGGGGGCCGGGGGCCGTACCATGAAGTAGGAGAAGGCGAGGTGGTCGAGGGCGTCCTCCAGGCTGCCCCGCTCCTCCTCCGGGTTCCAGCTGCCGTAGGACAGGCGGAAGCGGCTGACGGCCTCCTCCAGCCAGGCGATGGAGTGGTAATAGTCACCCGTGTCGTAGGCCACCTGCGAGGCAGCGCAGGTGGTGCTCGGAGATGCTTGTGGGGTCATCTTGGTCTGCCCCTGTCCCTGTCTCTGTCCCGGTCCCTGTCCCGGTCCCTGTCCCGGTCCCGGTCCCGGTTCTGGCCCCGGTCCTGGTCCCATTCCATCCCATCCCCTTCTTATCCTTATTTCATACCTGTTCAAACCCATCCCATCCCATCCCATCCCATCCCATCCCATCCCATCCCATCCCATCCCATCCCATCCCATCCCATCCCATCCCCATCCCCATCCCCATCCCCATCCCCATCCCATCCCCATCCCATCCCCATCCCCATCCCCATCCCCATCCCCATCCCCATCCCCATCCCCATCCCATCCCATCCCCATCCCCATCCCCATCCCATCCCATCCCATCCCATCCCATCCCCATCCCCATCCCATCCCCATCCCATCCCATCCCCATCCCATCCCCATCCCATCCCATCCCATCCCATCCCATCCCATCCCATCCCATCCCATCCCATCCCATCCCATCCCCATCCATCCCATCCCCATCCCCATCCCCATCCCATCCCATCCCATCCCCATCCCCATCCCCATCCCCATCCCCATCCCCATCCCATCCCATCCCATCCCATCCCCATCCCCATCCCCATCCCCATCCCCATCCCATCCCATCCCATCCCATCCCCATCCCATCCCCATCCCCATCCCATCCCATCCCCATCCCATCCCATCCCATCCCATCCCATCCCATCCCATCCCATCCATTATCATATCCAGTCCCCTCCCCAACCCTATTCCCTCCTATCCTCCTCCTCATCCCTCCCCCATCCCACCCCTTTCTTTCCTTCCCCCTATCCCCACTCCCCATCCCCATCCCATCCCCGTCCCCCTGCCCCTCTCACCCCCCCCATCCCACCCCAACCTCTGTGACTCAATCCTGCCCCCACAGTGGGGACTCTGCCCCGAGAATGTCTCAACCTCTCTCAAAACCCCCAAAATCCCTCTCAGAGACCCCCTTTCACCCCCCGATGGGGGTCTAAACACCCTCCCTATAACACCAAACCCCGAGGCAGCAAAAACCCAAGATCTGGGCCGGAGCCGCGGGATGCCTGTGGGCTGACTCAGAGAGGCCTCATCGCCTCCGTGCGGGAAAGGGGGGGGAAAAAAAACCCAAATCCTCCCCGAAACAAGGGCACGGCACCTCTACCTTGCCCACGTGGAAGCAATCGTCGGCGGAGAGGGCGACGCGGAGGCCGGGGCTGTATAGGGGAGGGCGGCCGGTGCCGGCGGGCTGGAAGACGCCGTTGGCCATGCCCTTGACGCTGAGCCCGTAGACGTCCTGCAGCCTCATCAACGCCCTCGCCGCTCCTTCCAGGTCCTCGGCTCCGGGCAATTCTTGCTGCACCTCCTCGAAACCATCATGGAGAGCTTGGGGAGAAGGTGAGAGGGGGTCTCAGTGGTGGTTGGAGGCTGCGAGACTTCTCCAATAGATCTTGGGGTGCTCCGCCGGACCCCAGGTGGAGCGGCGGTGCCGTACCCCGGGTGTTTTCGGCGGCCTCGTCGCTGTGGACCAAGCGGGGCCAGTCGGAGCTGAGGCGTTTGATGAGGCTGAAGGCCAGCAAGGGGTTATCCACCGAGGCGCCGGGGTCCTGGTGCAGCGCCCGAACCTTCTCGTAGAACCTAAAAGGGATGAGGCTCCGGGTGGTGCGCCAACTCGCGGCCACCCAAACGCCCCGATTTGCCCCAAAACCGCTGGGAAAAACGGGCCAAGACCCAAAGTGTCCTCCCTGGTGGGGACGGCAGAGCCTCCAGCCTCAGCATCTGGCCCACGTTTGGGATCATCCCAGCTCCAGGACCTGGTCTCCTTCCTTCTTGGGCCACCCCTGTGCCATGGCACCCATGGGTGCTTGCAGCCTCCTCCCCTCTCGCAGCCTCCACGTCCCAACCTCCCAATTTCAGCATCGCCTCGGCGCATCCCTGCCTTGCTCCTTGGGTGCCCTTCACCGGGGGGGTCCCTTGGGTGGGTGGGTGGGTTGGGGGGTCCCTACCTGCCCAGGCGGCGCAGGCGGGCGCTCTCCTCCCGCAGGTAGGCTCGGAGCCTCCTCAGCAGCCTCCCCTCGACCCCCCGAGCCTGCCTCACGCTTCTCAGAGCCGAGAAGGTGTCGGCAGGGACGGGGGGCAGCCAAGCCAGCAGTGCCCCCAGCCCCAGCACCCCCACAGCCCGCATCCCCCCCGCTCCCCCGGCTTCGGCTCCAGCCTCGGCTCCGCCTGGAGGCCGGCGAGGGGAGGCTGGGGAGGGACGGGGAGGTCCCCGGGAAGGGGGGGGATAAGGGGGAAAGAGGGGGGTTAAGGAGGGGGGAAGCCGGTGGTGGTGTGGTGTTGGCGGCCCCTCCTGGCTGGCCCCGGTGTGGTTGGGGCCTCCTGGTTGTCCCCAGGCTGTAAAAAGCTCGTCCTGGCCTCATCTTCCTTGTCCTCATCATCCCTGTCCTCAAAACTCCCTGTCCTTGTCCTCCCTGTCCCCGTCATCCCTGTATTTATCCTCCCTGTCCCCATCTTCCCTGTCCCCATCATCCCTGTCCCCATCATCCTTGTCCTCATCTTCCCTGTCCTCATCCTCCTTGTCCTCATCCTCCTGTCCCCATCCTCCTGTCCTCATCCTCCCTGTCCCCATCCTCTTTGTCCCCATCCTCCCTGTCCCCAATCTCCTCCTGTCCTGTCCCACCCACCTCCAGCCTCTCTCTCCCCCCACCTCCTGCTGGTTTCCATCCCATCCTGGCCTCATTCTGCTGCTCCTTACCATCCCCATCCCCTCCTGTCCCTAATCCCATCCCATCCCCAGCCCTTCTTGTCCCCATTCTCCCCTGTCCCCCTCCTGCCTGTCCCCATCCCATCCTTTCCCCATCCTGCTGGTCCTAATCAGCAGCACAGAAGGGTCGTGGTGTGGCTCTCTATATCAGAGAGTATTTTGGTGTTGTAAAACTCGAGGCTGGGAGCAATAAGGTTGAATCCCTGTGGGTTAGGATCGGGGGGAAGGCCAACAAGGCAGACATCTTGGTGGGGTCTGTCATAGGCCACCAAACCAGGATGGGGCACTCCTCAAGAAGCAAATCTTAAAGTTTCAGGAGAAGACCACGTGCCCGAAGACGAGCTGGCGTGGAAGAAGACTGGCCTGGCTGAACAGAGAGCTGTGGCTTGAGCTTAGGAAAATAAAAGAGGGTTTATGACCTTTGGAAAAGAGGGCAGGTTGTTCAGAAGGACTATAAAGATGTAAGGCAGTGCAGGGAAAAAATTAGAAAGGCCAAAGCTCACCTGGAGCTCAACCTGGCTGTTCCAGATAACAGAAAATGTTTTTATAAATACATCAACACGAAAAGGAGGAGTAAGGAAGATCTCCAGCCTTTAGTGGATGAGGGGGGAGACTTAGTGACGAGAGATGAGGAACAGGCTGAGGTGCTCAATGCCTTTTTTGCCTCAGTCTTTAGCAGCAAGAGCAGTTCTCTGGATACTGTCTCTTGAGCTGGTGGAAGGGGATGGGGAGCGGGATGTGGCCCTCGTAATTATGGAGCTGATTAATGGAGCAGATTATCTTGAGTGTCATCACACAGCACTTACAGCACAAGCAGGCGATCAGGCCCAGTCAGCATGGGGTTATGAAAGGCAGGTCCTGCTTGACGAACCTGATCTCCTTCTGTGACAAAGATGAGGGAAAGGCTGTGGATGTGGCCTACATTAACTTCAATAAGGCTTCTGACATCGTTTCCCACAATATTCTCCTCAAGAAACTGGCTGCTCAGGGCTTGGACTGGTGTAGGCTTTGTTGGGTTAGGAACTGGCTGGAGAGCCAGGCCCAAAGAGTTGTGGTGAATGGAGCCAAATGGGACAGGAGCAGAGGGAACAGCCTCGAGTTGTGCTGGGGAGGCTCAGGTTGGCAATGAGGAGACATTTCTGCTCAGCAAGAGCTGTCAGGCCTTGGGACGGGTTGCCCAGGGAGGTGGGGGAGTCCCCGTCCCTGGGGGTGTTCAAGGAGAGGTTGGACGTGGTGCTTGGGGACAGGGCTTGGTGGGGACATTGGTGGTAGGGGGACAGTTGGACCAGGTGATCTTGGAGGGCTTTTCCAACCTAGATGATTCAGTGATTCTGCAAAAGTGGGGAGGTTCAGGACTGTGATGGGTGCAAGTACACAACGGGTGTAGGGACATAACAGACATTGCTGTGAGCCTCTCTGCTCCAGGGTGTGGGTAACATGTCCCCTTCACCCCACATCCCATGGCCCCATCATCCCATGTCCCACATCCCCATTGCTCCATGTCCCCTTCCCCCTGTCCCACGTCCCTTCACGCCATCTCCCATGTCCTCACAGTCCCGTTTGCCTCCTTCTGCCACCCGAGACTCGTTGGATTCCACCCATCTCTGGAGGATTTTATTTGCTGGTGGCAGAGGGAGGTGAGCCCGTGCTGAGCTGCCACCATCACCCCCAGGGACAAAGCCACCGCCTGTCCCCTGCGGCTGGGCTCAGCCCTGAGTGGCCTCCCCTGCAGGAAAAAACTCAGGGAATGGAAAACTGGGGGAAAAAAACTAAAAAAGAGGAATCATCTCATGCCACGTGAGGGAGGCAGGAATTTGTAAACCTCACGTTTGGATTTTCCCCATGGTGCTTTTTGTGCCATCTTCTGCTTTTTTGCTACAATGAGGGGGAATGCTGATTTTTGAGGAGTGTTTCGGGTCCTGGCGCGGGTTGGTGCCACCTCTTGGTCCCACCGCACCCAGCTCCCACCAACCCCATGGCGGCCAACGATGTACATCACCCATTAAAAAAATGAATGCATCAATTAAAATCCACAAGACCCCGCTTCTCCTCCTGCGGGGTCATACCCATAAAAACTTCCTTCGAGGTCTCCCCGTCGTTTCCATCCCTTGGGGACAAAACCTCTAAAACGGGTCCATTCCCATGGCACGGCGCGTCGGCACCGCCGTCGGTGCTCAGGGCAAAGAGGCAGAAGGCGATTTCCTCGCAGGCACTGGTGGCCCCGCACTCGAACAAGCACCCGAAGACGCCTTTGGGGCAGGCGGCCAAGTCGGAATACCCACAGGGTCCCTCCTGCAGCACCCACGGGTGCCTCCAGCCCGCTTCGTCCGGCGGCGCAGTGTTGACGTAGATGCCCAAGTCGCGGCGGTGCCAGCGGTCGGTGGGGTGGGAGTAGAGCAGCCAGTGCTGGGTGTTTTCGGCACCGTCGGGCGCGTCGAAACTCACCACGCTTCCCTGGCACCCCTGCAGCGGCTCGCACAGCGCCGGGCATCGCGCCGGGAGCCCGAAGCGGAGCCCGCGGTCGGTGCTGAGCGCCACGGCCCGGCAGCGGCACGACGTGCGGGCGCTGCAGTACAACACCGTCCCCTGATCCCCGCAGCCGATTTCGGCCACTTGGCATTCGCCCGTCTCCATACCCCGCAGCAAGGAGCCCTTGCTCCAGCTCCGTCCCGAGTCGTCGCTGTAGAAGATGAAGGAGTGCGGGCGGGTCCAGCAGGGCAGCGGCACCCCGCAGAGCCGCCAGTGGACGTAGTAAGCGTAGGCGGGCACGGCCAAGCGCCCCGAGGCCAACTGCACCCCGTGGCCCGGCCCCACGGCGAAGGTAGCCCAATGGGGCAGGTCGGCCCCGATGGCCTCGTCGGTGAGATCCCGTAGGGCGCTCCAGCTCCGGCCCCGGTCGCGGCTGGTGGAGCAGCAGAGGCGGGCGGCGCTGCGTCCCGCTAGGATTTGGTGCCGCTCGGTCACCCGCCGCTCCACGCAGATGCAGAAGAGGAAAACGACCCCGCTCGACGCCTCGAACACCGGGCACGGGTTCATGGTGCGGCGCCCGGGCAGCACCAACCCCGACAGCTCCTCCACGGGACCCCACTGTGGAGGGGATAACAGGGTTGAGACCCCGCCGCCGAAACCCCAAACTCGCCGCGCTCAACACCACCCTGACAGCCCCAGTTTTTAATATTTTGGGCTGTTTTTGTTGTTTTTTTTTGGCTTTTTTCATGGTCTTACCTCAACCTCCTGGCCTCTGCGGAGGCCCCGCCGCAGCACCAGGTACTCGGCGTCCTCGTCGCGGGCGGACGAGCGTTTCTCGGCGAAGGCCAGGAAGGTGGCGGGGGGGACGTGGAGCAGCGCGGGGATGCGGTAGGTGACCCCCCCGCCTGCCTCCTGCCTGAATAGGGTCTCCTTGGGGGGGCTCAGTAGGGGCCCCGAAGGCTGCGGGTGCTCCCCGGACCCCCACAGCCGCTGGGGACAAACGTGGAGGAGGGGGGCGGGGGGGGAGGGAAAGGGTTTAATGGTTGTAAAAGGATGGGGCTGGCTCCTCGTGGCCCCCCCTCATTGTAGGGTTGGGGACAGGGCTCACCTTGAGCCAGGTGACGGCCTGGGCCATGGTGGCAGCTCGGGGTCCCTGTCCCCGAAGGGACCTGAGTGGGGTGGGAGCAAGGGGGGGGGTCAGAGCCCCTCGGTCCCATTACTTCAAAGCCTCCTTCCCCCCCAGGACGTCCCCAAGACCCCCCCAAACCCCTATTAGGACCCTTCACATCCCCCAGACCCCAAAACCTGCGTACGGCCGCCGTAACCCCTGCCACCCCCCAGCCCCACTCCCCTACAAACCCCATTCCTCCCTTTTATCCCCCCCGGCACCAAACACCCCCATGGGCAGACACCCCCAAAACCCTGCATCCCCTAATCTACCCCCCCCGTTTTCCCCAATTTCCCCCAATTCCCCCCCCTGCACCAAACACCCCCCAACCCCTTTTGGGTGAACTCCCCCCATCCCTACCCCCCTCGATCCCCCCCCAGTTTCCCCAATTTCCCCCAATTCCTCCCCAAATACCCTTGCACCTTCCGTGCATCCCCCAATCCCCCCCAAAAAACACCCCTGCACCCCCCTAACCCTCCTCCCAATTTCCCCCAATTCCTCCCCAAACAGTCCCGTACCCCCCCTGCACTCCCCTACCCCCCCCCCAATTTCCCCCAATTCCCCCCGATTCCTCCCCAAACAGTCCCGTACCCCCCCTGCACCTCCCTACGCCCCCCATTTCCCCAATTTCCCCCAATTCCTCCCCAAACACCCCCCTTTCCCCCCCCATTTCCCCAATTTCCCCCACTTCCCAGCCCCCCCGGCACCAAACACCCTCGCACCCCCCTCCCTGCCCTCTCCCCCCCCACAACCTGATTTCCCCTATACCCCCCTGCACCCCCAAACCTTTTGGCTCCCCCCTTGACCCCCTCGACCCCAGGACCCCCCCCCAATACCTCTCGGCTCCGTGTCCCCCCCCCTCCGCCGCTCCCGTCCCGGTTCCTCCGCTCCGAGCCCGCCCCGCTCCGCCCCCAGCTCCGCCCAGCCCCATTCACCGAGGGGGGGGGGCCCTTAAAGGACCTTCCCCGACCCCCCCCCAAAAAAAAATAAAACCCAACCCCAAAGATGCTCAGGCAGAGGCTCGAGGCGGTTCGACCCTTTTATTGCAAAAAAATCCGTTTAGAAAAGGAGCCGGGGTACAGCGGGAGGTGTGGGATGGGGACTCGGGGGGGGGGGGCAAAAAGGGGGGGCAGCTGGACAGCACAGCGCCGTTCCCAGCTCCAAAAACCCTTTTATTCCTTCTTTTATTCCTTTTATTTGCACCTCGCTTGCAAGCTTTCCTGCCCCAAAAGAAGCAGAGCGTTTGTTTCCCCCCCCCCCCTCCTTCCCAACACATACAAGGCTTTTATATAAAACAATCCCCATCCCCTCCCCACCCCCAATTAAATACAAAAATAAAGAAAACTCGTTTGCGGGTGGACAATTTGTTTCCCTACAAGGATTTTGTCCTGAATTCCTTCTGAGAGCTCATCAGGAGAAAGGCAAAAGGTGGCGAAAGGCGACGCCAACGAGAGAAAGCAGCCCCCGAACACCTGGGGGGGGGCTGAAATAGGACTGAAATAGGATTTCAGGACAAAACCCGAGGCAATTAGCTTTGCTTTTGGACTTTATTGGTATTAATTTAGCATGATCCGGGGAGGCAGGCGGCGGCGGCGGGGGGATTCATTTGGTTTTCCTCTCCAGGGCCAGGCTGTCGTGCAGCTTGGAGACTTCGGGCTCGTAGGCTTCCATCACCAGCGTCCCGTTGGCGTCGAAGAATTTGGCGATGGATTTGGTGAACTCGGCTTCTCGCTGCTGCTTGGTTTTCCCGCTGATGAAAGTCAGCTTCAGGGTGTATTTGTCATCGAACCTGCGGGCGGAGCGGGGAGAATTCGGAGAATTGGCTGATTTGGGCCCAAATCTGAGGTGAAGCCAACGGGGAAACTTTATTTTGGGCATGGGGAAATCCCCAGGAGGGGTCCCAGCACCCAGCACGGGCTTTAATTATCACAGAATATCCCGAATTATAACACAATTAAAGGGTTTTTATCCTCTTTGTGAGGGATCTGGCCTTCCCTCCCCATTTAAAAAAGAAGCAAAACACAAATATTCGTGGCAGAGAACTGCTCCAAAAACTCCCATTTTTAGGAACGAGATCTTCATGGGGTAAAAGAGATTTGTAGGTACAAACCTAAGGGACAATATCTGGATGATCCCACAGAGCCATGGATGGAAACAGCGCACACAAGACTGGCAGGAGCTTTACTCATCACTGCTCTGAGTAATTCTGAGTAATTTTGTGGCAAATATTAACCATGGCTTGCCTGGGAAGCAGCAAAGAGCACGATACAGTAGTGAGTGCTGAGAGCTTGCATCCCGGGTGCTGTGACACCAGAATTTTCCCCCATTTTGTTTCAAGTTACCCAAAAATGCAGCTTTCCTGCCCCGCCGTGGAGCACGGGGTAACTACAGGCAAAGCGGTACCGTTTGAGACTGGAGGAGAGCTGCCACACGTCATCGGGATCCATCCCCGCCGGGTCTTTCCTGTGAGCTACCAGGAAAATACTCTTCTCTTTGTAGGAGGTGTAGATGGTCAGGATGCCCATCATCACAAAATATGTTGGGAAAGGTTAAGGACATCGAGACGCTGAAGGAAAAGGAGCCTGGGACCCCGGAGGCAGCGTCTTTTAACCACCTCTCGTGGTGTTTTCATTCCCAGCCAGCTTTCTGGCTGATGTCCCACGAGCCTGGGGAGCTAAAGAATTATTGGGGCACATCCTTAGGATCTTTGCACTGGCACGAGGGCACTCATCAAGCAGTTTTTCTCATTTTTTGGAAGTAAATCACCCCAAATGCTGCGAGATGAATTATCCCAGAGCTCACGCCCTTGAAAGCAGGTCTGTCGGCAGCTCTGGCACATCCCTTTGTGTTGTAAAACCTCTTCCACATCGATTTATGTCGTAAAACCTCCACAGACATCTGTTTTCCTGGAGGAGCTGCAGAGAAATTGGTGGCACGCTGACCCTGACTGCCCAAACGTGCGTGTACACACCCAGCAGTGCCACGTTAGGAGCACTATTTTCATTTTTTTTTGGGTATTTTGGAGTTCAGGGCTGATTTCCAGTTTAGGAAACGTGCCCAGTGCAGCCAGGGGAGCGATTCAGCTGCCCAGGAGGCTGCTGTGTGCTCCGGAGCGAGCTGAATTGCTGCTCCACGAGCAGTTTGGATCCCCATCACACACAGATCCCCCAATTTAAGCGTGTGACACTCAGATGACGACCACCCAGACAGGCACGGTGCTGCCCGTCACATGGAAAAGGGCTGGGAATCAGCTGATCACCACGCCACAGGCAGCAGGATTCCCGTGGGAATACCAAGAAGGGAGGGTTTGTGGGGAAAACAAAACCCTTCTGGTGCAAATTCCACAGCATCACCGAATTGGAGGGGTTGGAAGGGACCTCAAGAGATCATCGGGTCCAAATCCTTTGAGATTGGACTCGAATTTGGAGCTGGACTCGATAATCCTCGGGGTTCCCTTCCAATTTGGGATATTCTGGGATCCTAAATGGGATCCTAAATGGGATCCCAGTAAGGTAAAGGATATGATACGACGCAGAATGCCAGGACCGGCTTGGATTCAGGGAAGGGGTGCAGGTAATCCCAGATGAGAGCGACGATGGCGAAGAGACACGAGATGGTGCAGATGATGAGGCGCCCGTCGATCAGGCGGAAGTTTTCGACGTATTTGTACTTCTCCAGGAGGACCTGAGGACGAATCGTGCAACCGGGTTGATTTTGTGCTTTTTAATCCGTTTTTTAATGCGTTTTTACAAACCTTCTGAAAGGGCTTTAGCCAAAACCACCTATTTTGTGCAGGTCAGCTGAGCAGAAACCTCATGCATAATTAATATCTGCTCAGATAATTGCTGTTGCTGCAAGCACAAATGCTGCTTTAGCAATTCGGATCCACGGGAATCAAGAAACAAACCACAGAATTAGAACTACAAAAAGGCCGGGGTGTTTCCAGGCAGGACGTACCTTTTTGGCAGAATCGTCCAAGGAGTTTTTCACAGCCGACCCGTCCCATTTGTCGATTTTGACTGGCTTGTCGTCGATCTTCCACTGCAAGGGGAAGCAAAGGGAGTTAATTGCCCCTGGAGAGTTTGGCAGAGGGGTTAGGGTTGAATTTGAATACCCTTGTTCCTGTCGGGAGCACAAAGGGAAGAGGAAACCCAAAGATCCTACAGGCCAGCTGCTGTTTGTGACCCGAGTCTAACCGGGACTTGCTGTGTTGCTGCTGTCACCCCCAGAAAGCTCAGCGAGGGCTTTCTGAGCAAAGAAATTAAAACCGGACCCTTCGGGGGTGGAAGACAAGAGGAAAACATCAAAGGACCCTCAGCAACCTGGGTACGGGAGACAAATACAAAGGCACGGCAAAGAAAGGAAGTTTCAGGCAGACTGGGCTGCAGAATCAGGTCCTGCAGCAACAAGGAACCCCAGACACGAGGGCTCAGGTGCTGCAAGGCCTTGGTTTTCCTCTGAAATTATTATTTTTGGAGGCAATTCCTCCTAGCCACAGTCAGACACGTGAGTCTGAGCCCTCTTTGTGTTTAGGGGTCCATTATTTCAACCCACTGTTTGAAGTTGGAAGCAGTTCCCAACCTCACTCGTGTTATTTCCTGCTCCTGGAGCTCCCCGCCTGGATTTACCTGTCAGAAAAGCTCGTTTCCTCCTCTGGAAATCAACACAAACGAACCCATTTTACCACCAGATGTAAAACCCGATCTGCTCCCCCCGCATCCACACAGGGAAGAGCGCGCTCACCTCCCAGGATCCGTGCTAGGAATGATGAGGGGCACAGTAAACACCACCAAGGGTGGTTTACCAGGGGCAAAAGAAACAGCCAGAAACATTTAAACAGACACCAAAAGCTTCTCCTGTCGGTGGATGTGACGAAATATTTCGGGCAGCTGCTGGGCTGCATTTTTCAAGCCACTTTCTGAGGTTAATATAACACACGGGACAACCAAAAGCCAAACCCTTTTCCATGAGAAAATACAGAAGAACTCCTTCAAATGCTGATTTGTCCTTCTAAAAGCACCTACAGCAGCTTCATGCCTCACCCTTTGGGATCCCCAAGGACAGAAGTATCATGAGATAGAGTAGGGAAAGGGAAAAATGCTGATTTTCTTCTATTTGCCAACGTTTTTCTCCTATTGCCGATGTTTTTTCTTGGGAAAACACCTCCCAAAGAGGCTTTCTAGCTGGTCAACTCCTCCCCCTGCTGCTTTTTGTGGAGAAGAAAGAACAAAATAAACGGGGAGGAGTTCCCAGCACGAGGAACCTGAGCGGGCCAGTGGCAGGTTCTCCAAACCAGACCTACCTTGAGGTACAGCTGTGTTTTTTTTTCCCCAAAGACCACTGAAAAAATCGTTTTGAAGAAGTAAAAACTGAGCAAAACTTTAGATTAACGTTTTCCTACGTTTCTAGAGCTACGAGAGGACAGCCTTGATGGAAAACGTCCCGGCACTCTCAGGCTTGCTCTTAAGGGAGAGCGAGAAGCCGGAGTTTCTCTGGGGAATTTAAACAAAAAGGGAGCTGCGTTGACACCTTCTGAAGTTGTCTGCAGAGCTCTCGCTGGGGAAATCACCCCCTAAAAACAGCCAGGGAGCTCTGGGACAAGAGGAACGGGCAGCTTGGATAACACCCAGCACCCCGGGAGCCTGCTGAGGTCCCGATGCGAGCTCCCAATGTCCCCGTGTCCCCTTTCGTGGCCGTGCCCTGATCTCCTCTTACCTCAGGGATGGGATTTTCGCGGTGTGAAGCCTCGCCTCCTGGCAACAGCAGTTTGCCCGGCATCATAGCCCGGTGCATCTACCTCATTGTCAGGCCTCGGGGGGGTTTTAATCTGTCTGCTGAGCTCTGCTTCTTCTCCCTACAGCCTGAGAGGATGGACTCAGTGCTGCCGGCTCAGCTTCCTGCCCTTCTTCTCTGAAATAAAGCCGACAGCTCGCTAGATTGGTTTGAAAATAGCTGGAAAATATCAACGAGATAAAGCTCAGGAGTTGGGAAACGACTCAAAAGAAAGCCCCGGGCTTGTTAGTAAAAGCCTGAGGATTTGAAAAGGGATTTTACAGGTGCCTGCAAACCATCCCCGGAGGCACGGGACCGCTAATGCTTCGCTTCGAGAAGGGATTTGTGCAGAGGGGAGCGTCTGATATTGATCCCTACCCGGGAGGAGAAGCAGGACTTGCAGAGGTGACACGTGAAGCCCTCGTGACAGCTTTTAGGATCTCGCAGCGGGGACACATCTGCAGATCGGGCCTGCAGCCAGGGAGAAGCTTTGGCCTCCCCTTTACCTCTGTCTCGGTGCTCCCTGAGGTTACTCCTCCCGCAGCACAGCTCCTCCCTAAAGCTTTCGGGCTGACCTGCGGGGCTGCGGGCAGCGCTCAGGGCCGAGGCTGTGGGAGAGGAGCAGAAGGAGGCGCTTAAAGGAAGCCAAAAAAGGTCCACGAGAGCACAGCAACACGGTGCGAGACGGCAAGCGGGTGGGATCCGACTCCTTTCTGTTAAAAATCGAGTGAAAAGGCACCAAAAAAGAGGCCTGACTTCTCCTCCCCACCGGGGGAAGCTCCCCAGGGGAAGCTCCCCTTCCCCTAAACCCCTTCTCACTCTTCCTAAACAGGAGACAAACCCTGGGGGAAGTTTTAAGACGCCTCGGAAGCGAGGCAGAGCCCAAACCTCACCTTTCTCCCCCCTGCCTCGTTCCTTCTGCTCTCCTCTCAGCCTCGTTTCACACCCCGTGGCTTTGATTATCACCCTGCAGCTTACAGCACGCTTCGGGCGTTGCACACGTAAACAATGAAGTCATAAAAAGAAAAAAGACTTGTTGCCACCGCAATACCAACACCCCTGAATTGCACCTGGTTTGTGTTTTCTAGTAGAAGGGGTAAAGAAAGCAGCTTCCCCTTCTTAAACCCCACAGTCAGGGACTTCTAACGGGTCTCGACGGCACATCCGCAGCGGCTGGGAACCAGGATGTGGCTTGCAAACCCTAAAAAGGGGCCGAGGCCCTGGTTAGGAACTCAGTTCTGAAATAGTATGGTGAAACCTCAAGGTGCTGAGGGCCTGAGGGTCGCTGCCACGCCACCCCGAAGTCAGCCCCGGGGTGGCCCTGCTTACAGGAGGAGCTGCCTGATTTTCAGGGACGCTGAAAGAACACGAGAAGGGAAAAAGAGAGGAAAAAAGAAGGTAATTAACGTGCCTGCCTCCCTAAACTCCCCCTGATTTAGCTTATTAGGGAAGTACAAAGAGGTGTGGGAAACAAGCAGCCTGCTGTAGGACTTTCAAGCCTTGGTGCTGTTTGTTTGAGGAAAACTTGAGAATTAGGGACTGGGAAGACAAATTTCCAGGAATATTTCTGCAGCGGACAGCCCAGTTCCCAAAAATGGCCAGTTTAAGTCATCGAGGGGAAGGAAACGGAGGCACCTGGATCAGAATTGAGAAGAAAGGGAGCTGAAAACAGAGCAGAATCGAGTGTGCAGATGCAGAAGCCCTGATTAAACTTCTCAGTGAGCTCTTCCAGAGCGATTCAGCTCCTGCAATCTTATTTCCTTCTGAAATACCCCCCCTTTGGGCACACAGCACGTGGCTGGGGTCATGGGGATGCCTCCAGAGCGTGACACTTCTTAAGCTCTTGCAGCATAACCACAAAACGCTCTCGTTTCAAACCTCTGAGCACACTTTTGGGAGATGTCCTGAGGTATTTCATCGGCGCCTTCCCCTGAAAGCATTTACCCAGGGGGTGAAGCGACCGATTTCAAGGGATGCCACCAGGTGCTGCATACGGGAAGGGCGACCTCAACAGATAACGCTGCGAGGGGGCCTTCAGCTTCATCAGACACGAGGAAACAGCGCTCGTTAGGAATTAGGAGTACGTAAAGATTAATAAAAATAAAAAAGATGAAAATAGGGTTGAAGTGTTTACGAGTGCAGCCATCCTTAGTTTGAAGTTGAGTGGAAGATGCCATGTGAACCACTCTGACAAGGTCTCAGAAGATATTTCTCGACACAGAGGCACCTGTTTTTGTCTTCTGGGGAATAAAATGGAGTAAAAAGCCCCCAGGTGTTGAGTTTGAGCTGCCAGAGGGGCCCAACAACCCAAAAACACAACAAAGGGGCTGTGCCACGAGACCTGAAACAGAGCTGAGACCAAAGCTGCTACTCAAAGGAGGATCAGGGAGGGGTTTGGGGTGGAAAGGAGCCTAAAATCCTCTCAGCCTGGGCTCCCCCAGCCCCTCAGGGGGCAGAATCCCCCCCAACACCCCCCCTCAGCCTCCCCCCTGCCAGGCTCCAGCCTCTTCCCCTCCTCCTATCCCCCCAGCCCTGACCGAGAGCCCCTCCCCAGCCTTCCTACCCCCTCTACAAGCCCTGGCAGAGCCCCTGGGGCTCCCCCATCCCTCCCCGCACCTTATCCAGCAGCCCGTTCCTGCCGCCTTTGGCCGCCATCTTCTCGCCTCCCTCCTCCTCCTCCTCCTCGGCCGACCTGGGCGCTGCTGATTGGCCGCGCGAGGCATGCTGGGACTTGTAGTTTTCTGCGCTCCCCCGCTCTATACTGCGGATTGGTCGCGCAATGCATGCTGGGAGTTGTAGTTCTCTCTCTCCCCTCCCGTTGCCATGGCGACGGGGAGGGGGAGAAAATGGCGGGCGCGGCGCGGAGGCTGAGGGGGGAGAGGGGGAAAAGGGCGGGCAACGCTGGGTTTGCGGGGTGAGGAGCGGGGAATGAGGGCTGTGAGGGCACGGATGGAAATGTCACCGTGTGCCTGGGACGCGTGTGGGGCTGTGGGAGTTGTGTGGGGGTGTTTAGGTGGTGTTCTGTGTGTTTCTGTGTGGGTTCTGTGTGTGTATGGGGGTGTTGAGGCGGTGCTGGGGTGTGCTGAGGGTCTGGGATGCTGTAGGGGACAGTTTAGGAGTGTGTCAGGATTGAGGGAGATGTGTGTGCAAGGTGGGGTGTGAGGGGGGTGTGCGTGGGGAGCGGTGGTGCAAGGATATGGGTGTGCTGGTCAGAGGCACACCAAAGCTTTTAGGTTGGAAAATCACAGAATCACAGAATTTCTAGGTTGGAAGAGACCTCAAGATCATCGAGTCCAACCTCTGACCTAACACTAACAGTCCCTCCACTAAACCATATCCCTAAGCTCTACATCTAAACGTCTTTTGAAGACTTCCAGGGATGGTGACTCCACCACTTCCCTGGGCAGCCTGTTCCAGTGTCTAACAACCCTTTTAGTAAAGAAGCTCTTCCTAACATCTAACCTAAAGCTCCCCTGGCACAACTTTAGCCCATTTCCCCTCGTCCTGTCACCAGGCACATGGGAGAACAGGCCAACCCCCACCTCGCTACAGCCTCCTTTAAGGTACCTGTAGAGAGTGATAAGGTTGCCCCTGAGCCTCCTTTTCTCCAGTTCTCCCAGTTCACCTCATCCGACCTCAAGCTGAAAGAGAAGCAAGTCTCATGTGTTTTTCATAAACACCCGAACCTCAGAAATATTCTAATGTGACCCACTCACCACAAGGCACTTCATGTCCAGCACACTCGTACCTTACCCCTGCTTTTGGCTGACTTCCCTCATGTTCCTGCGACGTCAAATTCACAGCCTCCTTCCTCTGTACCCCCGTGAAGCAAGACCTCAGAAATCCTGAGATTTAAAAGCATTTTGTCATGTGTCGCTGTGTACCCTGTGCCACCACCATCTCGCTGCTGTGACCCTGACAGTGGCAGCATCACACTGAGCACCTCTGTGGGTGCTGAAGCACCATCTTTACTCATACTGAGGGTGCTGTGCCTTATTCTACAGTTAATTAACCATGTAGCACCTCTGAACTTTAGTTCCAGGGGTTAAAAGGGGTGTGATTTTTTTCCCAGAGCTGCCTCAGATTGCAACGGAAAAGAGCTGGGGGAAGGAGGAATGGGTAAAGCCAAAATTCCCTGAGTCACTGTCCACACAGCCTGACCCCCACACTCTCTGGTGTCTGCATTTTGCTCTCCTGAGATGGAAAATAACAGACATATGCCTATCACCTCATTTTGTTCTCCATTTTAGAAGCAATGCTCTTCATGTGTCACTAACACTTCCTTTGCGTAGAAGCTGATACTTAATTTGTGACTACCTCTGTACAGCAAAGCAATGCTAGAGGCAGTCAAAATTTTAACCCATTTATTTGTTTCCCACTCTTCCCAGGAATACTGCGGTCGAGCTGGCTACAACGGGACTCTATAAAATGGGTGACGGAAGCAATTATGCCACTAACTGCTTTCCTGCCAGAAACATTTTGCACAGCAGTAAAGAAGGTGATGCTGAGTGCTGCAGAATTATGGCGTGCCCATAGGGCAGATCCACCAGCCACGCCAGATACATTTTAGGCCTAAGCTGGCCTAAAAAGTCTTAAAATTGTTTAAGACTGAAATGAAGAGGCCAGAATGTCTAAGGCATCTGTTCAGTGAGGGCTCCAGCAGGCATCTCAACATTATGGCTGGGGGGAAGCAACATCTAAGCTTCAGGAAAGGCACATGGATAGCATGGCATGGTTCTTCATCAGTTCTGAGCCAGAGCTTCTTCATCTCTGGGGTTTGAGAGTCACATCTGTGAAATGCTTAGGAATGGCAGAAATGCCTTCTAATATTTGAGAAAGAGTGGAGATGTCAAGGGGCTGGAACACAGAACCTTTTAGGAGAGGTTGAGGGCTCTGAGCTTGTGTTGTCTTGCCAAAAGTAGTCCAAGAGGGGACCAGATTGCAGCTTACAGCTGCCTGAAGCACAGCTACAAAGACAACGAAGCCAGACTCCTCTGAATAGTGGCAGATGGTACAGCGAGGCCAAAAATTGCAGCCTGGCAGGTTTAGGTTGGATGCTAGCAGAAACTTCTGCACTAGGAGGAGGTGCAGGCCAAATTAGCCTGGGAGGTGGAGGAATTGCTAGGCAAAGCTTTGATGTTGCTGATGATCCTGCTTTGGGTGGGAGGGTGGGTTGGAGACCTCCAGAAGGCTCTGCAGCCCACATTTCTATGTCTCCTCTCCTGTGGCTGCAGCTTTCATGTTCCTATCTTAAATATATGGTCACTCAGCATTTTATATCCGTGCATTTTCATTGTGCCAGGGGCTGGGCGCTGGCTGCTGGCACCCATCGCCACCCCGCGGGCCTGGGCTGAGCCAGGAACCACCAGGGAGACAGCACAGCAGAGGAGAAAGCCCCCACGTTCTGCCCCTGTGGAAGAAAATAATGAAGACAATGTCCTGGATGAGCCATTTCTGGTGAGAGCCTCTCCTTCCTCATCTCCCTGCTACTTTCTTCCCCCTTGCTGTGACCCAAGCAAGGCTCCAGGTGCTACCCTCACCTGGGGGTATTGCTCTGTGAGGAGGGGGACACCTGAGGTCTGTTTTTGGGGTTCAGGTCCCAGGAAGAGACATACGAGGTTGCTTACAGATGTGATGCAGGCCTTAACATTTCCTTTTTTTTTTTTAATTTTTTTATTTCCAGATGAAGCACCACTGTTTGAAGAACCCTTCTGACCTGTGTTCCGTGAACATAAGCAGCCAAAATCTGGTCTCTGTGAGTATCAGAGGCTCAAGAAATATTAGGGAACTGCCTTGAAAGTTGAAAAAAAATGCTACTTTAGTCCAGAAATCAGAGAAAACACCTCAGAACTTGTGGGCATCAGCTGTGGCCCATGAGCCCCGTGACCTGCAGGGGAGCAAGGTCAGCAGTGGGGGCACAGAGGGGGCTTTGCTTTGGGGCTCAGCTAATCCAGGTCTTCTGGAAGCCAGCCACCAACTCAGCTGTGCTTTAAATGCTCTCCTTAGACAGAAAACCAAAGGCAGACCTAACAAAGTGCTATGATTTAGGCATTACAAGACACGGAGAGACCCACTCGTTTCAGATCAGTTCACAGCTTTTGTTTGTTTCGTTTTGTTTTGCTTTGGTTTTAATATACGTATCTATTTCTTTTTCCAGGCTAAAGAAGATGATTTTGAGAAATTCGATTGTGTTGCTTTTATAAATGCTGCTGAAAACCTGCTGACATTAGGTAAGGTAAAAAATATTATTATTATTTTTTTTTTCATTACCAAAAAGCAAATACTGCTCTTCAAGCCAGGGCAGCTTATGCTTGTCTAAACTCGGGTCTAGAGCTTTACAAAGAGTTTTCAGGTGCACATACAGCTCTTTGCAGAATCGCTTCCTTTCTGTTACTGAGCTGAAATCCTTGCACTAATTCCCTCTTTAGTGATGATAATCGCGTGCCACTGTGGTACCCTTTTTGTTATTAGAAACAAAGCTCTTTACAAAGAAAATCCCCACTTAATATATAGAGACGTGGAATAATGAAACAATTTGTCCCAGAGGCTCAGAAGGCTAATGGGGGAGCTGGGAGGTGAATCCAAATCCAGTCATGGGCTCAGTTAATTTGAATAAGAAGGGAGGAAATCTGTTTATGGCTAGTAAAACATAAAAGCTAAACGTGCTGTCAGTAACTTTGAGCAACAATCCAGCTGGGGGAGGAAGGAAATGCACGAAAGCAAACCAGATGTCTAAGGAGTGGGCTGTTGGGGCGTTATATGTGGTAGGGACAATTGTCTAGTTGATTTGGCGTTTTGTTTCAAATCTGCCAACTGATAATTGTAGAATATTACAGAGTCCTGCTTGTTCCTGCTGGTTTTGGTCCATGACAGACCCGGATGGGACCCGGCTTGTTCTGTTACTGCTGGTCTTCACTCGCCAGACTGTTTCCTCTTGCAGAGCCATTTCGGAAGTTTCCGGGGCTGCGGGAGCTGGAACTTTCCTTGAACGGCCTAAGAAATCTGAAAATCACTGCTGGAGACTTCCTGCATTTAGAAGTAAGATGGGGGGGGGACCTGAGACTTTGTTCATCTCCTCCCTCTTCACATAGCACCAAAGCCTAACGCGGAGCATTAACGTGTGTCCCTGCAGTGTGAGTTCTCTTAAATTGCAGGGTAATCCTCTTGTCCTGCTTCCTTGTGAAACCAGGACATCTCTTCTGCTGTCTCAGGGACCTTCACATCTTGCTTCCTCTCACAGATGCCCTTTACTCCTTGTTTCCCCATCACGTGCCAACCCCCTTTGCTGTAGGATCCTCTCCACTCAGCCCATCGTAGACTCCCCACAGTAGATCTTGTTGTCCTCCTCACCTCCACCCTTCTTTTATTCCTCATCCTGGCAGTGGCAGGCAGGTTTTCAGTCACCGGTGTCATCCTTCACCCGATTTTGTATGATCCCTGGCAGATCCCCATCCTCCTCCATGCCCTGTTCTACCTCCCTGCATCCTGTCCTCCTCTCCAGGTAGGTTTGTGCAGTACCCCTGAGTTACAGGCTGCCTTTCTACAGCAAAAAAGTCTTTTTTTTTTGCTTGTTGGTTTAAAAAAAGAGTAAAAAGGGACAAAAAGGATCCTAAATACAAGGAATGTGCCCGGGATGTTGTCTTCTCCCTCCAGCTTGGAGTGGTCCTGACCTCACCGAGGTTTGCTCTCTTCAGGGAGGTGACCCTGCCTGGATTTCTCTCTCACTGTTTACAGTTTGTGATTGCTGCTGGCTGGAAAGTTCTGCCTTCAAAAGCTTCTTTTTTGGCTCATCCAAAAGAATGGTTTGTGGTTGGCTCCGCAGGCTCTGCCAGCGTGGCTCACCGCGCTGCTGTGGTCCTGGCCTCCCTCCTGCCTGCAGGCTTCGGGAGGTCTCAAAACCCACGAGACGTGGGAGAGCGTCTCCAAAGTGCCTCCGATGTGCTTTTGGTAGCTCGCTCAGCGTGTGACTCAGTCCGTGAGCACAAGCCCAGGTGCTGGAATTGAATTTCCAAGGCTTGTGAGGCCGGGTTGGACCCTGGCCAGCCCTGAGTGCCTCTGTCTGAGCAGCCTGGTCGCTGCCATCGGCCGGGAAAGGTGGGGATGGGCCCATTTTTGTGTCACTCCCCATCACATCTCCCTTTCAAAACTATTGCTGTTCAGCCTCAAGTCTCATCTTGTGCACGAGCTCCCAGCAGGGGCTGTTCCCTGTTTTTTTTTTTTCTGGCTGCTGTCACACGAGTGACCAGCCCTGAAGGTCCCATGAAGTCCCTGCACATCAGAGACCCTCACGGTGTCACCCTGGGGTGGGAGGTAGCGTGCTGGAAGGTTTTCTGTAAGGATTTAACATCCACCCGGGGAAAGCCAGCAGATAATTGTTCTTTTGCTCCAGCAGGTGCTCTTTTCTGTTCCCTTCAGGACCTGGATCTCTCCTATAACAACTTATCCTCTGAGGATATTTGGACGTTGGGGGATTTGTCCCAGCTCAAGACCCTTCGCTTGACGGCCAACGGGCTTCGGACGCTGCCTCCAGACCTGGCAGGCTCCTGGCAGTGAGTGCAAGCAGCAAATGGGGCTTTGGGAGCTCCTTTTCGGGTAGGATATCAGTTTGCTCTTCAAAAAATGCTGACAGCCCCAGCCCTGTCTCTCGGAGGAGCGAGAAGATACATCTTCCCCCAGCAGATGATGTGTTTTTCACCCCTCTTTGCCTGAGTATGCTGTTAATGAGCTATTAACGAGCCTCTTCTTGCTATTAATGAGCCTCTCTGTATTCACAGCGCTGCTCAGTTAAGGTTTCCAGCTCTAGAGGTCCTGGTGCTGGATGACAATCACCTGTCAGACCCGAGCGTCTTCGTGAGCCTCTCTAATCTCTGCAGGTAAACCAGCACCTGGCAGCAGCAGCGCAGGCTTTTGGGGGCTGGCGGCTCTTTCCATCAGCTGCTGCACAGCAACAACCTTTAAAAGAAACCCCAAATCTTTGGGATTCACTCGGGTCCTTCCCTGTGTACTCCCAAATGCTACTGAGTGGTGGTAGCAAACAGCCAAACCCAGCAGATGGCTGCTAAATCGGATCCTGCCCTGGCTGTCTGCTGATCTCCAGGTCCGATACGAGAAAACAGCAGTTGCTTTCTCCGTTTTCCCTTTTCTGCCCCAATTTGTCCTTAGTTCCAGCGCAGCAGCGCTAGGAAAGGCTGCGGATCAGCTCCTGTTCTTTAACATGGGCTTTCGTGGTTCAGCCAGAGAGGAGCCACTAGGAAAGGGGGCGGCTCGAGGGCCAGCTCCCTGCCCTGCGGCTGCCAGGAGGAGCAGATGGCTTTGTGCGTGTGCATTTCCTCTTTCCTTCAGCCTGAGGGAACTGAATCTGGACAGAAACGGGATTTCAGCGGTCCCCTACCTGCGCCAAGCAGAGAGCAGGCACTTCTTCCTCCACCCCGCGCTGGACGACGGCACTTTTAGGGCAGAGTGGTACCGGTCCCTGAGCAGCCTCCGGCAGCAGCCCCAGCACCAGGGCACGGAGGTGCCAGAAGAGCTGGAAGGGAAGAAAAGGCAGCTTGAATATTTCGTGTCACGGAACAACGGGGATCCAGCCAGGAGGGGTGAGCAGTGCACGCCTCTCCCTGCCCTCGCTGAGGCTGTTTTGGTGGCGGAGGGCTCGGCTGAAGCCTGGCTTTTCCAGGTCGGGGCCAGCTGAGCCCTCAGCTTCATGCACTGCACACCCAAACCTTCCCTTTGTGTTTTATTTCAGAGGTCCTGCTTAATTCTGGCTTTCAGGGATGCCCGGTGCTGGTAAGAACCATTGGCTGAGCTGTGGTTTGGGGTGCAGGCTCCAAAGCTTCCCTTCCCCACGCCTCTCTCTCAACCCCCTTTTTTTTAAGCTCACCAGACTCTGGGTGCTGCAAGTAATTATTGTCTGTCATAAAGAAGTTTTTCCTTAAATATTTGAGCTTAAACTTGCATTGCTTTCAAATGGGAGCTGGGTAGCTCTTTGCTCATGCAAACACACACACGTAGGCTCCCTGCGTGGGGCAGTGAGCTCTGCAGCTCAGGTAAGGACCAAAACTCAGGTGCCTGGAGTTCACGTGAAGGCTTCTGAGGGCTTTCAAGGCACACAGCAGGGAGCAGGAAGGAAATGAGAGCTCTTGGCTTCCCCTTGCCGTGTCCCTGCTGAGTGGGCACCTAAGGAAATATTTTGAAGTCCCTTTCTCAATCTGCCACCAGCTGTGGAATGAACAAAGCTGCCACCCAACTGCCACCAGCTGGCTCAGAGTCACCACCTTACCGTGGTTATAAAGGGGTTTTGTGCTTTGAGACACCATTTTCCAGCCTGTCTGGAGCCTTGGACTGATAACGTGCTGCCTCTCTCTGCCTGATTCCTGCCTCAGAGGCTTTCTCCACAAGCCCAAGCTCTGGAGCACAGCAGGCAGCAGTTGGGGAAGCACCAACATTAATGGTTTCAGTGCTCGTGGAGGTGTTGCCGTGTCTTGCGGAGCCTCTGGAGCTGTGCCTCACCCTCTTCCTCCTCTCTTTAGGGTGTTTCCAGGGACAGGGGAACCACCTGCCTCGAAGACTCTACCTGCTCCCCCAGTGCACAGAGACGTTTGTGCTCCATTTCCAGAACTGCAGCGCCTCAGCCTGGCCTTCAACAAGGTGATTTGGGCCCCGTGGCTCTGCGTGGCTGCACAGATTCAGCTGCCTGAGCCCCAGGTTGGTTCCCCTGGAGATATCCTGGCCCCTGAGGCAGAGGGGCACAGCTCTCCCTGGTGTCCATCTGCCACCGACGGGGACATCTCAGGCATCCAGCATCGCTCAGGTGGGACAGGACACCTGCGAGGCAGCTGAATTGTGCCCGATTGTCTAAACCCCTGCTTTATCTTCTTCCTCTTCTTCTTCTCTTCGTTCTTCTTCTCGTTCTCCTTGTCTTCGTCTTCTTCTTCGTCAGTCTTCTTCTTCTTCTTCTGCTCTGATACTTGTCTTTTCATCTTCATGGTCGTCTCTTGTTGTCTTCTTCTTTCTGCTTCGCTCACCTCGTCGTTGTTTCTTCTTCGTCTTCTCCCTTCTCCTTCCTTTGACCCCCTTCCTTCTTTAAATAAATTATCTGATGTCAACCCATGAGCTTCAAAGGAAGGCAAAGGCAGAATTAAAGGACAGAGGACCGGAACGAAAAGGAACGGAAAAAAATGCAAGGAGAAGCACTTAAAGGACAAGGACAGAACGTGACATGGAAAGAATGGAAAGAAAGGAAAAGGCACGGAAAGGAACGTTCCAGTTCAGAAGGACTCCCGGCCCATTAACTGCCCTTCATTTTCCACTGCCTTTCCTTTGTCCTTTTCCTTGTCCTTTTCCTTTTCCTTTTCCTTTCCTTTTTTTCTTTTCCTTTTCCTTTTCCTTTCCTTTTCCTTCCCTTGTTCTTTTCCCTTTTCCTTTTCCTTTTCCTTTTCCTTTTCTTTTCCCCGCCCACACTTTCTTCTCCCTCCCCTCTTCTTCTGAGGTCAGCTTTTCACTCTCTTTTGAGTGAGAGAGCAGAGTGAGTTGCCTCACTCTGGGCAACCTGGAGCTGCCCAGCAGGGTAAAACCACCCCAATCCCCTGCGGTGTGATCGTGCAGCTCTGCTTGCTTGCAAAACATCTCTATTTTAGGGATGCCACCTCCCTCCTCCTCCTCTCCTCCCTGCTGCACAATTCTGCCCAGTGCTGGGCTCCCCATGCGTTGAGGGGCTGTGTTTTTGTGGGAGGATTGGGGTGAAACTCTACCGATTTGGTGACAGCTCCTCAGAGCGAGTAATAATCCTTTTCTCTTGCAGATTGCAGCTGAGACAGCCCTCTTACCCGTGGCTTTCTTCCCGAGGCTGAAGGAGCTGACGTTCCACAACAACCCCCTCACCACCACCCGGAGCGGTACGGTGGGAACCTGGCTCCCTGGGGTGCTCCTGCCCTCCTGTCCCTCCTTCTGTCCCCTCTCTGCGACAGGGACCCCTTTGTCATTGTCACTTGGTGTTTGGATACCCCTGTCCTGCTGGCTCAGGGCCCCCAAAAATGTGCTTTGATTGTGAAAAAGCAACTCCACGAGCAGGGCTCTTGCAAACACCGTTTCAATGCCCTGCTGCTGCTCCTGGCCCCTAAAAAAAACCTAAAATCCCCACCAGGACTGCAACGATGCATTTTCAGGCTCAATTTTGCTCCCCAAATGGTGTTTATCCCCCGAAGATCCGAGGTTCCTCCTCCAGCAGCTTTCTGAGGGGATAAATCCTGATGAACCCCTGCCTCCAACAGGGCAGCCGCCTCTGCTGACCCGGCTCCTCCAGCAGAGGTTGGGGATTAAACTCGTTCGCCACAGGAGCCTGGCTGCGGGGCGCTGGCACTTCTCCATCCCTCTCAAAGCCAGCCGCAAGGTGAGGCAGGGAAAATGGGGTTTGTCCTAGGGCAGGGACAAAACCCTGGTTGCAATACGGGGCAGGGGGGGGCACGGGAAGAGCTTTCAGGACCCCGGTGGGGTTGGTTAGGGTGGAGGGAAGGATTGGAGGGGTTTTATTCCGCATCAGGCTGGGGTGTCCAACCCCCAGTTCCTCCCTCATTGCCCAGACGAGGTTTGTAACTGGGTTTTTGGGTCCAATCCTGCCCCTTGACCTCATCCGAGGGATTTTTGGGGGGCTGAAGCTGCTGCCGGGCTGTCCCCTGAATGCCTCCGTGTCCCTCCAGGTCTCGTCGCGTCTCCCCAAGGTCAAGAAGCAGCCGCTGGAAGCTCCTGCTGAAACCTTGAAGCCTCTGCCAGCCGAGAGAGGAGCTGGGCCTCCGAATTTGCCCCAAATGCTGCCTCCCCTCGGCCCCACACCTACAGCACCGAGCAGGGAGGGTGGCAGCAGCAAGCTGGGGGTGCTGGGGCACAGGGAACGCAGCTCCAGGCCTCCCAGCTCAGCCCTGGAGGACGTGGAAGCCTTTTTCATGACTCAGGTGTGTCTGCAGAGGATGGGGATGGGCCTTTCCCCCCCCCAGTGCCTGCTCCCACCACTGAGGTGGTGGCTGCGTGGCTCAGGGCCACCAGGAGACAGCTCTGACCCCAGCAGGGCAGGCTCTGGTTGATTTTTCCTTCTGAAAATGCTGCCGTGAACCCTTTGGTTTTTGCTTCTCCCAGGTGGAGGACGTGTCCGGGCCCCGGCCACGACCCGTGGCAGAGGACAGGCTGGAGAAGAGGAGCGAGCAGGGCGAGGAAGAGACCCCCTGGGCTGTTCCAGAGCGCTACAAAGGCTACGAGGAGCTGCTCGGGGGGGACACCGACCCCGAATTTATCGAGCCAGTTGGTGAGTGAGGAGAGCAGAGGGCTCTTAGCAGGCTGCTGAGCGCTTTGGTCTGCTCTGAGCAAGAAAAGAGCAGCAAAAACTGCTGTTGTCCCCTTTTTGGTTCACAGGGATCCAGAAGAACGTGCAGGCGCTCTACTACATCCTGAATCACCCCCTGGTTTACCGCGATGCCAAGCCACGCCTGGACAGCTTGCAGAAGCCCTACGTGCCTCGAAAAAAGGTAAAGGGAGCAGATGCTGAAGGGAGAACAGCTGCTTTGATGCTGTTGGTGCCCCTGAAGCAACGGTGCAGCTCTGGGATGTTGGAAAGCTGCTCCAGTGTTGCTTAACACATCAATCATCTTAGCTCAGTGTCTAAAATGGCCCAGCTCGGCCCCAAAAAATAGAGTCCATCTCACCCACCTCCTGCAGAAGCACAGGATTGTGTTAATTTGGGGAGAAGGAGCAGGAGAAGGAGGTGGAGGATGGCGTCCTTGGACATCAGGCACGCTGCAGCCTCCTGCTCTTCCTTCCCTGCAGCACGGGAGGATGCTCGGCCCTCCCGCCCGCAAGACGAAAGCCGAGGTGCTGGAAGGGATCCTGATGGCCATGAGGGACACCTCGACCGTCACCAGCATCCCCTTGGGTACGTGCCCACCCTCCCACTCTCTCCTCTTCACCTCACCACAGATTTTGGGGCAGGATCTGAGCAAAAAGGTGCCCCCCGAGCTCGGCGGGTATTGGGAACGGAGGCTTGCCTGCTTGCTGCTGCCTCACCCCACGTCCCTGAGCCCCTCGACCTCCCAAAATGTTGCCCCTGGTGCTCTAGCTGTGGGTTTGTGGAGGAGGAAACGCAGAGCAGACACTGCTGGAGGCTCTGGGCCCTACAACTGGGAGTAACCCTACAACTGGGAGTAAAACCCTACAACTGGGAGTAACCCATACCCGTCTCCGAGGGAAACAATCTTGGAATAAAAGTCTCCGAGGGCAAAAAATCGTGGAATTTGCCCCTGAGATGATGCAGGATTTGGGGCTTTGGGCACTGGCCAACTTTGATCTGTCCCAGCCCCTGTGGTGGCACGATCCTGAACCGCCAGCACGAGCCCACGTTTCCTACCTGGCTCCTCCCCCCTGCACTAATTGGGGAAAGAATGGTGGAAAAATGAATTAATTAGGCTCTAAGAGGCCACGCAGACACCTGTATTCCCTCTGGAATTGCTCAGGACCTCTCCCAGCCCCGCTCCCCAAGCCCCCTGGGTTGGCAGGGTGGGATCTGCTGGCAGGATCCATCGCTCTGCTCCCACTTTTTCCAGCATCTGCTTTGCAGAAGAGGAAATCCAGCCCCAGGACGTACCGGGAGGCGCTGAGGCTGGTGGAGGAGCTCCAGGAGGTGTTGGAGAGCGGCGAGGAGCCGGCCCCGGGCACGGCCAGGCTCTCGGATGAGGTGCCGGTGATCAAAGCTCTGCTGGCAGAGGCAGCTTCCAAGCAGAAAGCTGAAAAGTTGCAGCTGCGAGGGAAAAAAATGGCCAAGAAGGTGCCCAAAAGGAAGGCTGCGGCACAGCCAGTGCTTGAATAAAGCGCCCAAACCTTTGTCTTCTTGGATAAATTTGTTCTTTTTTTTTAATAATTTATTTGGAATCATTTTTCCCCTCCGGAGATTGGAAAATCGAGAGCGGGGAAAAGGTTCGCCCGAGGCTCTCAGCCAGCAAATTCCAGCTTAAAAGCACCCAAAACACCCGAAATGCTTCGATGGTGGCACGGGAAAGCTGTTTGCTCGCTGTCACGCTCTGCAGCTCCTGTAAATAAGGTTTGTGCTCCCCATAAATGCACCAACCCGACCTGTAGGAGAGCTGCTGCTCTCCTGGGGTCGGGCAGGTAATAGGAACGAGGGGAGACGTGGAGGATAAGCAGCACCCCCTGCCTGCTTAACTACACGATGATGATGTCATTATACTCACCTTTACCCCTTTTTTTCCCCAAAAATATTAACCAACAGCCTCACCCAGCCAGGACCACCCGTAACCCGCTCAGAGCAGCCCGCAGGAGGATGCTGCTGCTCTCCCCACCCAGCGACTCGAGCAGAAAGAGGCAGCTCGCTCTCACAACCTGCTTTTTATTCCGTTTCAACCTCCGCCTCCGTCCTGCAGCTTCGAGTCCACGGGGCTGCTCTGCACGCCCGCGAGCAGGATTCGCTCCGCTCCACGCCACGGAAGCCACGACGCCGCCCGCGTGGCGTTTCGCACCCACGTTTTACACATGCAAGTGAACGGCCTCCCGGTAACTCTTAAAACATTCGGGGGAAGCCACGGGGAGGGGGGGGGATTCAGCTGAGACCCCAAAAAACGACCGCAGTCTTTTACCGCAGCGGCGTTCCCGACGGCGAGCTGAGAACACCAAAGCACGACGATTGCAAGCGTGGTGGGAGAGAAGTGCAGCAACATCTAGCTTTGTTTTTTGTTATTTTTTTAACAGTTTGACAGGAAACACCGAGAAAAACCAGGCAGACGCAACCCCCCCTCCTCCCCCTTGGTCAGCAGTCGAAGATTTCCCTGTTTGCATAGTGAGGAGCTAATTCGAGAGCCGTCGGATGCTTGGCCGTGCTTGAAAAGGTGAGGGGAAAAGGTTTTTTAGGAGCTTTGCACTGTTTTTATCAGAGCTGCACCACGCCTGGAGCTTGCTGCCACCGCCCAGCTTCACCGAGCGAGGAGCAATCCCTCCGAGCCCCGAAAAGGAGCGAGGGGAAGGCTTTTTGTTGAGCAGCTACGGCGCGCTGCGTGTCCAAGAGCGGGTGGAGTTAAAAAAATAAATACTGAGCCTATAGAACAACGTCATACAATCATCTCCTGGGAGCCTTTTTTTTTTTTTGGCACTTTTCCTTCGCGTGGCTGTCCTCGCCGCCTCCGAGCATGAAATTTTAAGGGTGGTGTGGAGCTCTCCAGAGGCGCTTTGCGGAGTCTGGTGGTGTTTTTGGCAGATTTGGCCACCGGGTTATCGCCCCCTCGGGTCTCGGGGAGGTGCCTCGAGCCCCGGGGGGGTGCCTCGAGCCAGCTTTTGCCCTGGTTTTGCTCCTAGGATATTGGAGTGGGATATTGAGGACAGCTCCACGTGGTGGGAGGACGCGCAACCGGCGAGGACGGCTCTGTCCCGGCGAGAAGGCGGCTGCAGGAAGGAGGAGGGTGAGAAACTGCTGCCCAGCGAGCATCCAGAAACCCTCGGTGTCATCTCAGGGGCCTCTGCAGATCCTGAGCTGCATCCAGCAAGAAATATTTCGCTTCTCGGATGGCACGCAAAGGAAGCGCCTGCCCGTTGCGGTGCGCGAGGCTGGGAATCTCTGCGCTTTCACACGAAGTTATGTACAATTCTTTGTTTATTTTATTATTTTTTTTTGTGCAAGCTCCAACGACCTCACACGGCGTTAAATGAAGACATTCGTCGTCGCTTCAAACCACCCCGAATCCCCGAAGCTGGCAGCGATGTGGGGGGGGGGATTCGAGGCCAGCAGCTCGCCGGGAGCTGGATTTGGGAGCGGGACCTTGGCACAGCCTCTGCCTCCACCTTTAAGCAGCTGCCATCGAGCCGTGGTTTTCTCCGAAGGCTGAAGTCAGCAGGCTGGGATCCTGCAGGCACAGAGCTCCGCGAGAGGTCAAGAAAATGAACATAAAAAAAACCCTAAATATTTATATAACCTTTTTCCTTTTTTTTAAAAAAAAAAGATATTTAAAGACACTGGCCTGGTGCATTGGACTTCAAAATTGTTTTTAGGAGGGGGAAAGGATACATTCAGCGTGTAACCCCCCTTGTAAACGTAGTTTGGGTTGTGCAGGCTTGCTCAGAGAGCGCTGGCAGCACCGGCACGGAGGGAACCAGCACAGCCAGAAAGGAGAAAAACCGTCGAGGGAAGGCTGCTCGGGGCTCAAGGGATTAACCGCAGGCAAAGGGCAGAGCCCAGGGGATTTGTATGATTGATAATAAACCTGGCTGAACTCAGGAAGTGCACGCTTTAAGTTAAAATAGCAGGGGGGAGAAAAAATTAAAAAATTCTGGGTAAAAGCTGTGGGTTTGCATCCTGAGCTCGTTCTTCGGAAACCGCTGCAGAGGGCGAATTCGGGCCACGGCTCCTCGTCTCCGCGCCGCTCTCCTAGGTCCAGCCGGGCTCTCACGACTCCGTTTTCTCCCAATTTACCTCCGGGTACGTGAGCAGGATTCGGGTGGAGTCCGAAGAGCCGCGCAGGACGAGGCAGCACCGTGCGAGGGGGGCAGCGACCCGGGCTGGGTTCGGTTTCGGCCATCCAGTAGTTTGTGTGTAAGGAGATAACAGGTTTATATAGATAGAGATATATATTACGGAATCCTTGCTATAAGATTTCTCAAAACCAAAGTGTCGATCTGTTGAAATATAGTATTTAAAATATATAAATTTTATCCATTAAAATATAAGATTTCTTTTTTTCTTTTTTTTCTTTTTAAAAAAAAAATCCAGTTTGAGGAGGAAAACGCGCCAGGGTCCTTGCAGTTACCACGAGCGTGCTGGGAGAGAAAAACAAAACCAGTTCCCTTTTTTTTTTTTTAAAAAAAAGGGAGAAATCGGGCCGTTTTTAAGATAAATTTGGGAGGAATTTGGGCAAGGATAATTTTCATGCCGTGGACACGGGGCGTTCAATCCATGCTTCGGTTCCATGAATGTCCCTTGTCCCCTGGCACCGAGGGTCCCCAGCGAACACACTGCAAGCACTTTTAGAGCCCGATTCCCCAAAATAACCCAAGGAATCACCCCAAAGGAAGGGGAAGAGAGGTGAAAGGAAGCAGAGCCCGGAGGACGGCTGCAACCAGAGGCCACGTCTGGGTAGGGACGTGCCCGACCTCGTGCCCCGAGGTGGAAATCTGTAGTGTATCGCTCGCCTGAGCTCTCGTAGTGGTTCCAACCTGTGGGTGGCAAGCTCGGGGCACGGGGAGGGCAGATTTCACCCCAAAACCCCTGCCAGGAACTCGTTGGGTGCTGGGAGAGGGCTTGGGGTGCCGAGAGCCTGCAGGGCACCCACCACCTCCTCCTTAGGGCCAGCGTCCCCCTTCCTTTCTCCTCCCTTCCTTCCCCCTTGGATCCCTTAGCAGGAAGGGGAAGAAACCCTGGGAGAAAAGCTGCACGAGCTCAAGCTTCCTGCTCATCACCACGACCATAAAATGCCCTGTAAAATCCTGATTTTACCTCCTTTCTCTGCTACATTTTGGCCTCCTACTCGATGAAGCGATCTCGGCTTGTGCAGCCAGCGAGGCGCCTTCATCCGTCACCACTACAGCAGCACAAAGCACGGCCTCCCTCGCCAAATGCCCGCCTGGTTTAAGCTTAAATCCAGCCAGGATGCAAGAATATTCTGCTAATATTAAATCTGAGCACCGCAGCATCAGGAGAAAGGGGTAGGTGGAGAGGAGCTCGCTCCTCCCAGGACCTCCTTTCCTCCCCACGAGCTGAGCTCCGGGTGCTCCCGGCACACCGAGATGGAGAGGCAACGCCTGGATGAGGTCCTTGGTGTGAGAAAAACCTCAAAAACCTCAAAACATAAATAATAACCTCAAAAATTCGCCCAGAGGCTGAGGCTGGAGGCACCTCTGGGTCCGTCTGGTCCAACCCCTGCTCCCTGCCGAGGACCCAGGACCCCGGGGGCTGCCCATAAAACCCTTCTTGTTAGGGGAACCCCACAGGCACCCGCCTTGCAGTGTGTTCGGGGGGGCTGAGGGACCTCTTTCAGACCCATGGACCAGCCAAGGCTGGAGGAGTTTTTGTGTTTTTTTCTTTTTTTCCCCCTTTTTCTTGGAAATCTGTAAGGACTCCGGCGTCTCTCCGAACTGGACCTCCAAATGCCTCGCCACCAAAAACCGAAAAAAAAACAAAACAAAACAAAACCAAAACAAAAAAACAAAAACAGAAACAAAACAACAGCGTGGGTGGAAGCATGACAAAAAAATAGCTTTCCTCTAAGACAACCCCAAAAACCTCATCGTCCTCTAAGAAAAGGCAACGTCGCCCGGCGGCGCTCCTCTACTTGGCGCCCAGCGTGCTGCTCTTGGAGCGCAGCAGGTAGCGGTCCACCCGGACTTTCCTCCTCTCCACCGTCCTGTTCTCGCTGTCGAAAATCCTCTGCAGGTGCAGGGCCAGCCTCCTGTCCTCCTCCTCCTGCTGGAGTTTCTGCTCCACCTCCCTCACCAGCCTCTCGTCCGGGGCCAAACCGGCGTCCCCCGCCGCGTGCCGCAGTCTCTTGACGGTGCCGTTGTGCTCCAGGTGCTTCGTTTTGCAGCGCCTTTTCCTCCCTCGGCGCAGCCCCGGCGGCTGCTCGCCGATGATGCCCTCGAAGGAGCTGTTCTTCACGTGGATCTGCTCGCCGCCGCTCAGATATTTCAGCTGTTTTTTCCCCGCAGGCTTGACGGGGACGGGCAGGGCGCCGCCGTCGGGCAGCGCGGCGCTCACCCCCACGAGCCTTCTGCTCAGGGTTTTGGGGCCGAGGGGCAGGGAGGATTTCTCCATTGATGCTTTCATTTTGGGGTCGGGGGCTTCGGGCAGGCGAGGGTGGAGGGAGGCGAGGCTGTCGCTTGTCGGTAAGGCTTGGGGATCTCTGGGTTTCTCGCTCCCTCTGCCCGGCGTCGTTTGGCTGATGGAGGGGAAGAAATCCAGCTCGGGGCGAGGACCTCCGGATGGATCGGGGGGGAGCTGCTCATCCTGCAGCGCTGGCGGCTCTCGGTGGCACGGGTTGGTGCCATCGGGACCCGTGGGGTCCTCCCCGGGCTCCGAAGCCGAGGACGTGAGGGTGGCTTTGTTGGAAAGAGTCTTTTTCACCTGGCGCTCCTGGAAAATCTGCTCCCACTTCTTCAGGATCCTGGGGCTGGCCTCGTAGGTGGTCGGCTTCTGCAGGCTGCGGCTGAGATTCCTCGGGGTGGATTTAATAATGAGAGGGCTGAGGACCCGGCCGTCCGGGAGCCTTTTGGGAGGAGTGCAAGGGGAACAGACGATGGGTTTGAAGTGGTTGAGCTCCTCCGAGATGCTGTCGTTGCTCTCGGGGCTGATGGAGCGCTCGGGTTTGTGCAGGGCGGGGAGGGAGGAGGCGGCGCTGAGCACCGGGCGCTTCTCGGCCGTCAGGTCGGGGGCGGAGAGGCAGCGGTGGTTTTGGGTGGACGACAAAACGCCCAGCAGAGGCGTCGAGGCGCTGGTGATGGGGGGAACCTGCAAAGGAAGGCGGCACCGCTCACAAAGCTGCTCGGGGAAGAGGGTTTGGGCAAGCGAGGGAGAGGAGCGGCCACCGCCGCGGCTTAGGGCACAGCAGGGAGGATGTGGGGTGTAAGCAGGGGGCACCAGACCCCAAAATAACCCAGGGTTTGAGTTTGTTTTAGTGGAAGTTTGTTTTTTGGGCTGCTGGGCTCACACAAGCAGCAATCCCACCCAAAAAACCCACGCCTGAAGCAATGCGAGAAGCGGAGAGGCAGCTGGAGGAAGCCACGCTCCTCAAGGGAAGCTCCCCAAAGGGTTTTTTGTCCCCTAGGAACCCACAGGAGAGGAGGAATAAATACTCAGCCTGGGTTTATCTCACTCCTAAGCAAACCACCGGGAGGGAAGGGCTCTGGCAGAGCTTACGAGGAGCATCTCCAGCACCACCTCCTGCTGCTCCTACGCCCGGAACGCAGCAGAACCCAGCCACAAATACATTTATGCACGGATGGAAATGGAATTATTATTTTTTCAAGGTGAAATTATTTTATCCAGCTGCTAACCTGGGAGCCCTGCCCTGCTGCACCCAAAATAGGAATGGTTTCTATGATTTTGGGGTCAAAAGAGATTTGTGGAACACCCTCGCAGGGCAACTCTTCGTTGGCCAGGCCCATGAAACATCTACTTGAAGAGGAAAATAAAAAGCCTGGGGAGGCAGGGGAGTTACAGATCCCGTGCTTTGAGCTCAATTTATCTCCTGTCAACCTCCACAGGGATTGGACCAGGCTTTTAACACGGGACTGACCAAGGTCCATGCCCGAAACCTTGGGGCAGCCAGCCAGGTGCTCACTGGGGTCAACTTCCCGTACCGACGGGGATGTCACCAGGTCCCAAATGTCATCCCCCAACCAAGCTGACCTTCCAAAAGTGGTTGAGGGAGGAGAAAACCTCATGGGTGTCACGGCCTCATGGCCTTGGAGCATGTTGTATCCCCACATCTCCCACTTTTGACGTGGTGACACCCAGTGCTGGTGTTCCCTTGCTAAGCTGCGCTGCCCAAAAAGCCACCGGGACCCTTGAGAAAGCTGCAACCACCAAAATTCACTTTTTCTGTGGGATCTGAGGGAAGCAGGACCTGGCCGACTCTTCCCGTGGCAGAGAGCTGGGTGAAAGCGCAAAAGAAATGAGTTTTGCTCCTCTTAAACAGCTTTGGAAAGAATAGGGGAGAAAGAGGATTTTTTTTCCTAAACTTAAAAAAAAATAATAATCTCTAATTGTCTGGAGATTCAGCCTTGGCAAGGAAATGAATTAGCAAACAAAGGAGGGAAAGAGCCCTTCCAATTACGCCACAAAGCCAACAAAGAGCCCTGCCAGCCGTCTCCTGTTCTGTAATTCCCAACCTCGCAGGATTTTGCTGGGAGCTGTAGGGAGCAGCTCAGCCTCGGGGCAATAACGCAGCCCCAGCACCACCCCACAGCTCCAGGACTTTGTATCTGCAAATTGCTGGTGTTGGATGCGCTCAGATAAGGGCGGGGAAGACATCAAAGCCTTCTCCCGCCCCGCCACGCGCCCTGGAAGCGGCCGTACCTTTGTTTTGCTGGCTGGGGTTGATCTCTGCCTGCTCTTCGATCTCTCCTGGATGGTGTCCGTGCAGCTTCGACTCCTCTCCACCTTGGAGGTGAGGTTCCTGGAAAGCAGTTGAGACGAGATAAGAGTTGATAAGAGTCCATGTGAACTCCTCGTCTCGGCGCCGGCACGACAAAAAGTCCCCGGAGAGGTTGGGGTTGAGCACAGGGCACCCAAAAAGCCTTGAGTTGAGCACGTCCCCGTGGACAGAGCCCCAAATCCAAATCGGGGACAGCTGGGTGCTGCCCACCCCCGTGCCAAAACCTCATCCTTGTCCCCCACCCTCATCATCTTCATCCCCGCTGCCTCGTGGCCGTGGTTTGCTACACCACGAGCCAGACCAGACTGAAAATGGAGCCATTGATAAAAGCATTCGGATTATATGATCTCTGAAGGGCCCTTCCAGCCAAATTATCCCCTAATTAGGCAGAAATAGGGACAAAAAGGACCTGCCTGCATCGTTCCTTGGGGCTGCCGCAACGCTGAGCTGCTGAGCCCAGGGTTTTGGGCAGGGAAACCTTTGGGTCGAGGGAGCTGAAGCAGCAGTAGGGAGGAATTCTCCTGACCACGGCACCCCAAAGCCCTGGTGTGTGGTCAGGGTCTCCCCACTGAACCCCCCCAATGCCTCCCTTAATTGTAGTTAATTGAGGTCAGAGCTAACGACAGCACTGCAGAAGCCCAGAAGCTTGTGTGAGGTCTCACTGTTTGAAAAAAAGCTTGAGTTTAACATAAAAAATTCTGTTCTTCCATGATTTTTGTGATTTATAATGTCAATGACTTTATAATATATATATATTTACATTTTTATATATTTATTATATATATATATTTATTATATATATATTTATATTATTTATGTAGTCAATGACTTTTCTGCATCATGGGGTGAACACGAAATGTGTTAACCCCCAGGATTTTATAACAGGTAGGAGGAAGTCAGACACTTTCCCAACGCTCAAATTTGAGAAAAGTGATTGCTTATTTCGGATTTGGATCGGATTTTACTAAATTCAAAGCTTCTCAGGTCCGTTTAGAAGAACAGCAAGGAGAACGAGATGTTTACATCCGTGATGGACATTGATAAGCTCGAATCAAGCCTCGGCATCTTACCCTGAAAGGAAGGCAAAGGAGTAGGCACTGGTCTTGGACACGAAAGCCGAGCGATGCGGTTGCTTGCCCTGGAAGGGTTCTTCATTCTCCGAATCCGAGAGGCGTTCGGGAAACTGAAGTCAAGCAAGGAAGAGTTAGCTGACACGCACGAGAAAAAGAATCGCTTGGAAAACAAAGGTTAAAGATTCCAAAAAGCCTCTGCTGTGATTACACCCAGAGGAAATAAAGCAAGGAAGCAACCTCCCAGCAAGGTAAACGCTCGTGGATTCTCCTCGCTGGAGCCGTAACAGCTCGGAGGCTGGTTGTAGGAGCGTAAAAAATGGCAAAAAATAAGCACAGAGCTCCTGCAGAGAGCTGTGACTCACTGAACAAAGATAATTTCGTGATCAGACACTGGCTGGACAGGAAGCTCGAGAAAATCCCTCAACAAAAAACTACTACAGGAGGTGATTCAGTGCCCACATCATCCTCTGCCAATCCCAAATTCTTAAGAGCGTTTCCTGTGGAGTCTCAGAGTTGAAATGAGAAATGGGCAGCGCTCAGCAGGAGATGTGCCCACAGGAGTGGGCCTGAAGACCCAAAATATTTACCCAAAATTGAGCGGGCACCTCTGCAGGTTTAACCCATGGGTTTGGGAGAGCTGCACCTCTCAGTCCTGAGCGGGGTGGGCAGAAGGGGAAAAAAAAAAACACAGAAGAACGTCTGTAGTCATAAAAAACCTTGGAAAATAGTTCTCAAGAGCACGGATCTCTATAAACTCTTAGCTCATCCCCTTCGAGGCTCTAGAGGAGTCAATCCTGGAAAGCACCCAGCGTCAACATCCAGTGTCAAAGGAAGAAAGGCTTTAAAAAAAAGCAATTCTTGCCCCACGACTGGATCTCAGCAGTAATTTCACCCCCCTGACAGTGTCTCTGATGTGGACTGCCAAGTAGGAGCTTACTTACACACTCCTGGCTCGCTTTGAGCACCACGGATTCGTCTTTTTTCTGCTGCTCTTCCGTTTTTCTTTTCCCTATTTCCGTATCATCCAGCACGAGCCTGGGGATCAGCTCCTCCGAAGCTTTTTCTTCTTGTAGTTTTTCTTCCCTCATCTGAAAAAAAAAAAACAACGACAAAGGAGTCAGAATCATCCGAGTGTCACCTGGCTGTCAACGAGGGATTTTCCAAAAAATCCCGGCCCCATCATTTAATTTTGGTGTCTCCATCTCTCTGCTCAAGTTGTTGCCTACTCAGCAGCAATCAGGGGAAGATTGGGTTGCTCCTGGAATATGCAAGGCAAAGCACATGTGCAATAATTTCAGGTGAGCTACGCTCCTTTTTTAAGTCTTTTTTAAGTCTTTTTTAAGTCTTTTTTAAGTCGGTTACAGCAATTCTCCAATAAATTCGGGATGCATTGGGATAGAGAAGACCCAAAGCCATCGTCCAACCCTCTGACAGCCAACTGGGGGCCCGAAGTTCTCCAACTGGAGGCTGAAAGTTTTAATTCTTTCTAATTTTCACGTGGTTTTAGACGTTTTCAGGTTGATTCTACCACCGGAGCAATTCCAAAAGGCTACGAGGTGATGATATTTCGCCCACGTGCGCTGCACTGCCGCGTTTTCCAAAATCCTGACGGCTCAACAAGGCATCCCACGGGACATCACTGAACGAGGAATCCCACAGAACATCACCGAGTGCTTTCTGAGCTTGGTGCAGCCCGGGAAGAAGAGCAGTGGGGTTCAGAGGATTTCCAGCCCTTCCCCTGCCCTCCTGGCTAAAGCAGGAGCCCTCCAAGCGACCACCTCCAACTACCTGATGCCGACCTTTGTTTTCCAGCAGCTCCTCCTGGCGCTGAGTTTTCAGCCTTGCCGAGCCCAGGGGTTATCCCAACGTGGCCACGGGCTCTGCTAAGAGCCAAAAAAGCTTTTTTTCTCCTCCTTTCCACCACCTTTTCTTGATGAAGGAGATCCGCAGACGCCTCCGGCACCACCGCGGGGCCGAGCCCGCCCGGGGAAGCATCACCCTTTGCCTCTCCTCCCCTCTCTGCTCGGCTTCTCACCTCTCCCCGAGCTTCAGCTCGCACGTAACGCCGTGAATAAACCCCGTAGGTACGTGCAGGGACCTGCTCCTCCCTCCTCCACCCACCTCCGTGAAGGCTGATCCTCCTCGAACAACCCCAACCTCGGAGAGCTGCAGCTCCACCGCGCCGATCAACCCGAGCACCGACACCTCCAGCTCTCTTCAAGCCGAGTGCTGAGGCTCTGGAAGTGAGGAGCTGCCCCGAATTTGCCCTATTTTCTTCTGGGGGCTTCCCTTTTTTTCTTCCTGGGGCAGCGCCTTTTGGGCACGGATGGTTTTTGCTGGGAGCTTCGGGGTGCATCGTCCTACGGCGCGGCGCACGGAGAGCGTGGGTGACGCTGCGCCAGCTCCTCGCCTCGCCAAAAATACTCAGGGTTTTCGTTCCCTGCTGCAGGGGAAAAAAAAAAAAAAAAAGCACAGACATGCAAGGGAAGCTACCCTAAAATGTGAAAAGAAAGGAAACGGAGTTCACAGTGGGTTACATGAACAACGCAGTAGGGTTTGCAGACTAGGAAGGACCCAAACCCTACAAAATCCAAACCCCTAGGGATGAGGGAGAGAGGAGGATGAGAGAAGGCAGAAAGATGTAAAAAAATCATCATTTGGCGGGTTGTGGGTGTTCAGCAAACGGTTTCCAAAGCAGATTTCACTTCTGGTTAGGCAACGCTTTAAGATGTGTCTCGAAATTCCCCATCTATTCGCAAGCTGAAGCAAGAACTACAACACATCATCCGCTGAGGAGATTATCACCGCGTGATTTAGACGTGGGGAGAGCTCTGCTGCACATCTCGTGAGCTTTCATAAATATTTCTGTGCTTCCAGAGGTCTTCAGGAAGGATCTGAAGGAAGAGGTCGCATCGTGAGGATGACTTCTTGGGCTGGCCGGGTCCTACCCAACGCTGCTGGGGCTTTCAGCTTTATAGAATGAGGCTAGGTGGAAGTCTTCTGTTTTTTTTTCTATTTTTTCTGACGTCCAAAATTATACTCAGCTCCCAAATGTGAAGCCACAAGCACACATAAGAATGCACGGGAATATTTAATTTTAGGCAAACCTGTGGACAGACAGCTTTGGAGACAAAAGTGAGCAGGTCCTTAAGCAAGTGTCAGCATCCTTGGACATCTTGTGTGAGACTTGTGGCCAAATTTCTGTCCCTGCTGTTGCAAACGAAGCCAGGCACTAACAATTTGATGCGCACTAATCCTAAAACATCACTTCAAGCAGCCTCGTGTAGGTTGTACCCTGGAGAAAACGTGGAGAGGTGGCTTGGTAGCGTGGCTTAGTGGTGGACTTGGCAGCGGTGGGTTCGAGGTTGGACCAGATGATTGCAGAGGGCTTTTCCAACCTGATTCTGTGATTCTTTCCCAAAAGTACCTGACGTTACCTCCGTAGCATCTCCGAATTCCTGGGTGCTGCCCCATCAGCTGTTATCACACCGGGTTTTCACCTCCCGTCGCCGTTTCAGGGATCACATTTGGCACTTAAAAAATGCCGTACGAGCCACTGATTGATTTTTAAATGGCAATTTTTGCTCAAGATGTGGAAATTTCAGCGTTGCTGCTTGAAAAAAAGTCTGGTAGGCTCACGCCTGACCTCTCCTCCTCGCCGCACGAAGCCGAGCATCAGCACGCACCTCGGCAGCAGCTTCCCTGCTGCTTGTGACAGGACAGTGTAGCAGGACGAGCTCTGTTTGTAGCACGTGGAAATTAAATCCTCCTTGGGAAGCACGTAAAATACGAGAGCACCAAGAGAAAAATTATTCTTGGAAAATTATTCTTGTTATCCTGCGCGTAGGCAGCAAACCCTTCACCTTCCTCCGAGAGCCGGGTCACCCCTGGTGCCAAAAAAATCCCACCACGAGGTTATCCACTTTGAATAAATCTTCGGTGTGATGTTCCAGTGGGTTTTGGGTGCAAAAAGCTGGGCAGCAGGGCCAGGAAAACAACTCACACGTCTGGGGGATGCAGCTTGAAGGCTCAGGGAGAAATCCCCACGGCACCGCTGGGGGACACTGAGGGAAGCCCGGTTCCATGCCGGATTCAGTTCCCAAATCCGAGTCCTCTGCCTCATTCAGGTTCCCCAAAGCACCAGGAGTCTCTTCCTCCTGTGAAGCAGCAGCCAAAATTCCCCCTGGAATATAGGAGAAGCTGGAGCACATCGGCTCCTCTGAGCCTCACAGCACCAGGGGCTGGCTCCCAAAAGAAGTCTCCCACTTGGAGAGGGTTTCTAAATTGATAAATCTCCCAGGGAGATTTATAAAGCTGCTCCTGGAGGCATTACCCACACACCTGGCAAGGCAGCAGCTTTATTTCTTTGCTAAGCCAAAGACACCCCGAGTGCACTCATCCTCCGGGTCCCAGCGAAAATAAATTGCCCAATAGAGCAATCCACGTCCAAGTTAATTAATAAACCAGATTTTTGTCTCTCCGTGCCCACTCTTGCACCTGCCTGACCCACCTCTGCTTCAACAGAGAGCCTCGATGCTGGCAGAAGTGCCACAAAACCCCCCAAAAAACCCATCAGGGATGAAACCTGCTCCTTATCCTCTGCAGGGGAGGCTGGACCCAGCCCCAAAACACCACCACAGGTACCAAGGTGCTGCTCCATCAGGGCCACGCATGAGTCCAGGCACAGGATGGGATTAAGGATGTGGGATTTAAGCAAATTTGATTTAATTGAACCTTTATCCACTCTGCTACAGCAGCTGCATTGCTTTCAGTGCAACATTTCTCACTTAGAAAGCAGCCAGCTTGCATAAAGGACTGGATGATTTAGATTCAATCAATCCCTAGTTTAAAGATAGAAAATATTTTCCCAGATTCTAATTCCAAAATAGCTGAAAAGTTGTTTTCTCTCCCCCTTAATTTTTGCCTTTCCATAACGTCTTTTCCTGCCCAAGAACAGACAGAAAGCTTGAGTTTGGGACAGATGGTTAAGAAGGATGTTACTCCAGGAGCAAGGAGAAGCCGCCCTTTACTGCAAAACTTTTTATGGGATTGGCTTTTTATGGGATTTTATCCACAGGTAGGGATGCTCTGATAAATCCCTACACAACCCAGGGCTGTGTGAGGTCCACCACGGATGGTCCGTACCCATCTCCTGGCTCTGGAAAGCAGCTCACAGCACTAGAAAACATCTTCTGCATGCTTGATTGCTTTCAGCACCTCCCTGAACGATTTGAGCAGAGAAATGGGATAAATGGGACGTTGTTCCAGAGCAGGAATTGAATTCCCTTCATCATCCTTACAGGTTGGACGGTGTTCCTGCTGGGAATCCTGCAAGAAAAACCACAATGAAAAAAGGACCGTACCTTCCTCAGCTGGCTTTCGTATTCTTCCCGAAGCTCCCCCGGCTTGCTCAGCTTAATGGGCGCTCGGAATATGAAATCTGGAAGGAGAAGGAGAAAAAGGAAGGAGCATTTTAGTGGGGGTGGCTGGGGCTGCTCAGCCTCGCTGCCCCACTGCTCGCCCAGCACCTCCCGCAGCTTTGCCTGCCAGCCTCGTACCTACTGGCACCCCAAATCAGTCTAAGGTGGACGACACAGGCTAAAAGCTGATAAAACCCTTTTTGCCCCCATTTTTCTCCTAACTTCACCAACAGGAGCCTGGTAAGAGAGGGAGCAGGCGCGCCGCCAGCTCCCAAATTTAACAAATCGAGTGGTATTTCTGCAAAGTTCGCGTGCTCCAAGGGCAAACACCCCTCCTGCGGTGGAATATGATGCACAGGGTTTAGGGACAGTGCTGCTTTCCCAGCCCTCTCCTTTCCAAAATCCCCTTCTTGCTTTAGGGCCGGTGCCCGTGCCAGGGCAACCTCAGCTCCTGCAGCTGGCAGAGGGGCCTCATCCTGCAGTGTTCAGCCTCAAAAAGTCATCAATTCCTGCACCGTATGAAAGGACAGCACATTTCCAAATTATTTAACATCATTTCTCATGTTTGATGTGCAGCCTCAACACCCCTCAACGCCTCAAATCCTCTCGATTTCATCCCAAAAAAAGGGGGCACCGTGGCCAGGCGCTGTTCACTTGCACTCCTGAGCAGCGTGGGTGGAACAACAGATCCCAAACACGTCACCTGTTTGTGATCGTAGATTTTTTTGCGAAATAAACAGGAGCACGGACACCATTTATAAATAACGAGGATGTGAGAAGGGAAGGATTTTTGGAAGAGCTTTCCTGCTCGTTGTTTGCTTGCGGCACTGGTGTGGTTTCCCCCGGCTCCTGGTGGCTGTGAACAGGTCTTCTGCGAGGATTTACAACATTTTTGGAGTCAATCCCTGCTTTTCGTGCAGTGCTTCACCAGGAGTGTTGTCTGTAGGCTCTCAGGGCTGTGCCCTGGAGGGAAAAATAACCTGGGGACAGGCCACAGAAAGCAGAAGTGGAAGGAAATTCAGGAATCACCAGGAAACGCTCAAGAGCTTGACTGGTCTAGGCCAGCAGGACAAGAGGGAAAGCATGTGTTTAGGTTGTTATACAAACGTGGCTGTGAAATTCCTTTTTTTGGGGATGTTTTCCCAAATGTTGCAGCAGAACAACCTCCCCATGGCTTCCCAAAACCACCTGCAGGTCTCTTGCTGAAATGAGCCGTGTATTATCCATTAATTGCTGTATTATCCATGCCCCAGTCGAGCAGCTCCCAGCTCCTGCCCGGCGTAACAAGCCTCTTCCTTGCAAAACCGAATTCCTGCTTCGCTCCTCACTCTCCTGCCACGAATTTCATCCCCCTCGTCTCGTTTAAGGGCGCTCTGTCATCCTCGGAGAAATGTGAGCATCCTTATTTTCTTATTTCTCAGCCCGAGCAGCTCTCCAGGAAGGCAGCACGCGCATCTTTGCTCCTTTCGGCTACTTTTGCCCCAAATCCAGGCCAAGGCCAGCATCCAGGGGCACGTTTCCAGCTTTTCGGGGGGAGGAAACGGGAGCTCAAAGGGCAGCGGGCGCCTCCTCGCCGCTCACCTCCGTCCCCTTTTGTTTGGCAAGCGGCATGACGAGGACTTTGTCTTCCTGCGTATTTGTACAGCACTCGATCCCTGAGCTCTGTCAGGGTCTCCACAAGTCCACTGCGGTGTTCAAATCCCAGCAAAAGACCGAAATCCAGGCTCAAAACCGGTGCTGGTTGCCCAGTTTGAGCTGGAAGCTTCATGTAGCATCTCTGGTGTTTAAAAACAACAACAAAAAAAAAACAACAAAAAAATAACCAACCAAAAAAAAACATGAAAAGTATTTTTCTAAATCATTTCAAGTGATTTAATTGCGTCAGCTTATTCAGTGTTTGATGAGAGCTTGGCTGAGGCTGGGGGCACCCCTGGGGGATGCTAATCATGCTCCCACACAAAGAGTTGGCCAACGTCACGAGGAGGCCGCTCTTGAAAGGCCACGAAAATCAGGAGAGGGTCTTGGTGCTCTGAAAAAAGCCAACGTTGCCCCTGTCCAAAAAGGAAGGCCTCACCTCGATGATCCCTGGTGATGGAACAACTCATCCTGGAAACCACCTCCAGGCACATGGAGAAGGAGATCGGGAACAGCCATCGTGGATTTACGAAATGAAACGCAGCGACACCAAAAACGCTTTTTGGGATTCCTGCCGGGGTGGTTAAGGTGGCTGCAGGGCCTCCATCCATCCTCGGAGAGGGGCAAACCCTGGGGTGCTGGGCAGCCCCATTTCCACGCTGTTAGCCCAGCTCAGCACCTCAGGGTCGAGGCCTCTCGTCGTTCTCCCCAAGCCACTTCCAGAGCTTCAAAAAATTTGGGAGGGCAGCAAACATTTACCAAGGCGATTACCAGGTGCAAAGCTCACACATCTTGAGACAACGTGAGGCAAGCATGGAGCCCAAACTCATTTTTACATCAAATATAAGCGTTGCTGGACTGTGGATGTTCCAGGCAAGGGCAGACCAAGCAGGGCCAACAACCAGCGAGGAGCAAGGAGCAGAAAGTGGGAGGTTTTGAGGCGAAGAGGTGGGCTGGTGGCTGGCCCTTCTGTCCCAGTGTGGTGCATCTCCCCTCCAGGCAGCCCCTCAAAAAGTCATGAGAAGCACCAGGGCTGAGCTCATGAGGAAATTCATGAGGAAATTCATGAGGAAATTCATGAGGAAATTCATGAGGAAATTCATGAGGAAAATCATGAGGAAAACCATGAGGAAAACCATGAGGAAAACCATGAGGAAATAGCTGGGACAGGGAAGAAATTCCATACAAAAAGCTCAGCGATGACGGACTCGTTGTCAGCGAGGACCAGGACTTCTCCACGATTCCTCTCTCCAAGCACAAACCTGCCTGATGTTCGCTGATCCCTCTGGCCAGCACCTCCATAACTATTAGTTTTTTGGGCAGTGTTATGCCCAAAATAACCGCTTGTTGCCTATCGGATGGTCTGGTGGCACCTTGTGGGGATGTGAGGTGACCCGATGCTGTCCCATCCCTCCCCTTACCAGTGCCACCAGTGAGGGGCTCCCAGGGAAGGGGATGGGGTCCTGATGCCCTTCACCTTGGGCTGGTTCTCATAATGAAGGGGTGGTAAACCTGGTGTCCCATGTCCCCTGGTGGTGGTGAGGCAATCATGGCCCCTTCATAGCATGTTTTGGGTTGGAAAGGACCTCAAAGACCACCCAATTCCAACCCAAACCATGGGTGGGGACACCACCCGCTAGATCAAGCTGCTCAGGACCTCACCCCACCTGGCTTTGAACACCTCAAGGGCTGGGGCATCCACAGCTCCTCCGTGCCAGCACCTCACCACCCTCAGGGCCAAGAATTTCAGCAAACCCCAGGCAAGGTTGGAGGAATTTCAGAGAACCCTGCAGCCATTAGGGTTGGGAAGCCCATTGGGACCACGTACCACCCATGCTACCACCCCCTATCCCTTAGCAACACCTTCCTAAACCCCCTAGAACCTCCTCCCCTCACCTAAACCCTCCCTTTTTTTACCTAAACCCTCCCTTTTTCACCTCAACCCCCCACCCCCAACAAACACCCCCCTCCCCTCAGCCCCTCCACCCTCCAACTGCCCACCCCCCTCCCCTCACACCCTCAAGCCCCCGCCCACCCCACAAGCCCCGCCCACTTTCCCCACAAACCCCGCCCCTTTTCCCATAAGCCCCGCCCACCGCCTATATAAAGCCCCGCCCCGCGCTCCCCCTCCCTCAGCCACCGCGGCGGCGGTTGGCGCTGGGGGAGGGGCGGGAGCCGCCGCTGCCGCCGCCGCCGCACCTGGGTCCGGTGCCCGTTGCTGCTGCTGCTCCCCCCCTCCGCTTCCTCCTCCACCTCCTCCTCCTCCTCCGGTGCCACCGGCGGCGGCGAGGCGGCCCCGGCACAACGGGCAACGGTTCCCGGGGCCCTGCAGGCAGCGCTGGAAGCAGGCGAGGCACAGCGAGTGGCGGCAGGGCGGCGTCACCGCCTCCGCCAGCGCTTGGCGGCACGCCGGGCACTCCGCCACAGCCTCCTCCGCCGCCATCGCTTCATCCTCGGGCTTCTCCGCCGGCCCCGGTCTCCCTGCCGGTCGCCGCCGCCCTCGTCCTAACGCGGCCCGGCCGCCCGGGCCCGCCGCCGCCGCCGCCATCTTCTCACGCTTGGAGGGGACGCGGCCCCGCCCGCCCGGGGCTCATTTCCATATTCATGAGGTGGAGGCCACGCCCCCTCATGAATATTAATAAGGGAAAGGGATATAAGGAAGGGGGGCGGCCCCCGAGTTCTGTCAGCGGCCGCGGGGCCGCGGGGGGAGGTGGGGGGTGCGCGGCCAGCGGCTCGCCTCAGGGCGCTCCCCTCACGCTGCCCCAGTGATGAAAGCACCGCACACAATCCCTCTTTATTAAAAGCATTTTTCTGTCCCTTTTTCTGGTTGCGTTCCCTTTTGGGCTCCCCTTCGCCTCTCCTGCTGCCCACAGGCACCCAGGGGCTCCCCAGAGACCAGGTTATAAGCTCTGTGATGCACAGCACAGAGCCTTTTTCCACACAAACCACGCGGTTTAACATTTCCTGGGGCATATTCACTCATATTTTACCATTTTATACATTAGCGTTACGCTTGGTGCACAGGCAAACCCAAAAAACACCGTTTGCAAACCCAAATCCCAACCTGAGGTGGCCTGGCTGAGGATCGAGGGGACCTGCACCCAAACTGCTGGGCTCCCTCAACCCAGATGAAGAAATGGGGTGAAGAAATTAGGCTAAAAACCCCGAAAGCAGCCCCATGGCACTGAGCAGAGCCCGGCTCCTTCAGGAGGAGGCTGCCAGGACCACGCTGCCGCTGTCAGGGTTCGAAGCCTCAGTGGCTCGGGGTTGATTATTTCCATTAATAACCCAAAAGATGGGGCAGGACTCATGGAAAATGGGGCTGGCCAGGTCCCCAAGGGGTTGTTCCCTCATCCTCTTTCCCTGCAGCGGGATCAGCTCAGCCTGAGTCAGTCCCGAGCAATGCTTGTTCATCCTGTTCTTAAAAACCTCCCGTGCTGGCAACCCACCTCCCCCCGGGGCGGCTGCCGGAGCCTATCCCCGTCACCAGAAAGTTTTTTTTTTTTTTTTTTTTTTCCCATTGTCAGGCATAAATCTCCTGTAATTCAATTTTCCTGCTGGCCATATTAACCCACACCCCTCCCTCCTGCTGCCCCGGGCGAGTAACGGAGGAGTCCGGGCTGGCAGCTCCCCTGAATTAGCTGCTCCCCGAATTGTGCCCTGCTTTGGGGATCAGGTCCCAGGGCAGGGGGATGTGTTGCACCCCAGCTTTCCCTCCCATCCCTCTTCTTCTTCATGCCAGGAACCTGAGGGGAAATGGGATCTGTCCCAAGGGGATTGTTAAAAAGGTCCTGGGCACAGTTCTGGCCTCGAGCAACTGGCTCCATCCCGTCCCCGGGCATGGTTTTGGGGTTACCGAAGCCACAGATTATTTCCCCTAAAATATTTTGGATATGGCCACGAGCAAGGCTACATGCAGGCTTTTGAGGTCAGACCCTGGCTTGTCTGGATGTGCAATATCGGGTGCACTGCTCTGTCCTCTCCATAAATCGCGGGGGCAAGGAGGTTTGGGCAAGTCACTGCTTGGGTTATTGACCTATAGAGGGCCCATCCAGCAATTACATCCCAAGATTTTTAAAGGAAGATTCATCACTTCTAAGATCCTGGGAGATGAGTTAGCAGGGAAGGAAGAGGGGATAAATCATCCCTGAAATCTCCGCGTCCCTGAAACTTCCCCTGCTGTGAGCTGGCCCTTTTCCACCCTGGCTGTGGGGGCTTAGGATGGGGTTACAATGCTCATAGTTTAGTTTAAGACCATTCCCCCTTGTCCTATCGTTATCTACCCAAGTAAAGGGTCGCTCTCCATCTTTTTTAGAAGCCCAGGACAGACCCCTGAGGGACATCACTTGTCACCAGCCTCCAGCTGGACATGGAGCCATTGAGCACCACTCTTTGGGTGCGATCTTCAACCCAACTCCTTATCCACTGAATGGTCCACCCTTCAAATCCACCTCTCTTCAATTTGGAGACCAGGATGCCATGTGGGACCGTGTTAAAAGCCTTGCAGAAGTCCAGGTAGATGGCATCAGTTGGTCTTCCCTTGTCAACTGATGCAGTCACTCCATCTCAGAAGACCACCAGATCAGTCAGATCAGCCCCAAAGACTTGTACCGGTGGAGATTTGTTCTCTCTTGGCTCCAGGTCCCTGTGTCCACCATTTCTGGTCCTCTCCATCCTCCAGCAGCTCCTCATCAACTCCAACTGCAGTTGGAGCTCGTTTACCTGCAGCTTTATAATCGTCCTAAAATCCTGGTGCCAATAAATCCCCAACCCCGTTTTCTACCACGTCCATCTTCAGCTGAGTGAGAACTTCTTCCTCAGCCTTCAGCTTGCCCAGGGTGAGGTTTATTTATTTTATTGAGGCTGTGTGAGGCTTAATTCCATCAAACAGAGCTCTTCCATCTTTGGGTGCCTGATTTTAGGGGTGCTAGGGCTGGGTGCCACCCTGATGGTGATTGCGCTCAGTGCCCTGGGCGCGTGCGTCTGCTTTCAGGGGCTTGAATCAGCTAGAAGAAAAAAAAAAGCCTGTTTTTTTTGGTTGTTTTTTTTGATTTTTAAGCAAGTCTTGGTTTCAGCATCCCCCTCCAAAGCAACTCGGTGCTTCTGCTGGTGAAGGAGCAGAGGATTTCCGTGAGCCCATGCGACAATCAGAGCCCTGGTGCTGGTTGCTATGGAAATCTCTTGCGTTTTCTCTCCTGCTTCTTTCCATCTATTTACCGTGGCACTAAAACTATTTGTCTTTTTAGCCTTAATTCAAGCCCCTGGTGAAGGCCCTCAGCTCACCTGAGCGCTGGGCGGGCAGCCGAGAACGTGTGGAAGAGCAGAAAGGAGGAGGTGAAGCCTTGCACCGCTTGAAAAACCCAAGAGGATCCACAAAAAAAACACGGAGAAGCTCATCGACGGGGTGCAACAGAGCCTTCGTGGCCTTGTAAAGCCAAAAAGACAACCCGAAAAGCCAAAAGACCACCTGAAAAGCCAAAAGACCACCTGAAGGAGGTGGTGGGTTGGTGCTGGGAGTAACTCCTCGTGGAGCACCTGGAAGGAGCAGAAGATGCTTCCCCACTGAGCCACCCCGCAGAGCTCCCAAGGGCAGCAGTGGGGTTTGGAAAGGGCTTCACTCCCAGATTTTCTCCCAGATTTTCTCCTCCACATCCAACCCGACCTCGACGGGACTTGGTTTTTGAGTTTCCTGCTCGTCTTCCGACCTGCAACGCCGTGGCTGAGATGTGTGGAGCTCAGGGCTGGCCTGCAGAGGGTATCCTAAGCCTGTGCAAGGCTCCAGCTGCGCGTCCCGCCACCCAAGCCAAAATTTCTGCCTTGCCCAGCCTGCCAAGGACCAATTCTCTGCTCCTCACCCCTCCTGGGGCTCCTCTTCCCTCCTTTACATCTCTCCCCTCTTCCCCACCTTCTCTGGGACTCTCCAGGTGTGGGTTTTGTGCCTTCCAGCACACCCAGCTGCCCCCAAATCACCAAATTCCCCATTCCGGGTCACGCAGCACCGTGGGCAAATTCTCCTTCCGAGTCCCAACATCCCGAGGCTGCCCCAAACCCTCAGAGGTGCTTTTTGAGGGACCAGGGACACCCCAGCACCTTCCCAGCATCGTGCTGAGGTCTGGCCTTTCCCTCTCTTGCTTTCTTATTTATTTTTTTGGGGACCCTCGTGGTGCTCCTGGCTTCCCGCTGCTGTTCTGGGGACGAGCTGAAGGTGTTTTCCCTGCAAGCCAGCTCTCTGGGGGACACGGATGGAGAGCAGGTGTTGTAGGATCGCCTTCTTCCCCCCTTTCAGATGCCCCTGTGGCACTCCGTGGCACCAAGGGGGGCGTTTTACCAAAGGGGATTTTGCTCAATTTAGCCCTCAGAAGGCAGATTTTCTCCCCAATCCCTCCCCTAACCCTACACCCTTTTGGTTTAAAACCCTTTATCCTATCACAATATTTTTTCAGGCAATTCTGTCATGGTTTCACTCAGGCTCCCGTGCAACACCCCATATAAAAACCCATCCGAATCCACTCGTGGGGGTGATTTTTGCTGCCGGAGCCACCTCGAGCACCACACCTGGTGGAAAAAGAGCGCGGGGGCTGCTGTGGGGCTGCAATGGGGCCGTGGCAGCGCTTTGGGATTTACCTCCTCCATCCCCGCGGCCGGGCTCGCTCCTGCTTTTTGGCAGGAGGATTTCTGGGATTTTTCCCTGGCCCCACAGGTTTCCAGCCCCTCGCCTTCCTCCTGGCCCATGGGGCTGCAAACTTCCAGGGAAAAGCCCGGCCAGCTCACGATCCTGCCACGAGGCAGGGGATGTTGTTGGAGCCCCCGCTGTTTGCTCAGGAGTTCGCCGGAGGAGCTCGGTTTTCATTTGGGGAGAAGGAAAAAAAAATAATAAAAATATAAAAAAATAAATTATAAAAAATTAAAAATCCTCTCTGCCTGCTCGCCCGGAAAACACGAAGCGAATCTGACCGAAAGGCTCGGGAAAACCAGAAGGCAAATTAAAAAAAAATAAATAAAAAAAAGGACCCAGGTTTTATTCTTTGCAAAATAATAATTATATTATTATATTTTTTGGAGCCTGCCTCCCGATCGCAGATGGGTTGGTGGTATTGGCAGCACCAAGCTGTCAGCCGGTCCCAAATCCTTTTTAAGTCTCGTTAATGAGGCCGGGGAAGAAAATAGGGGAGGGGTGATAGGGAAATTTTTTGGGAGATGGAAATGAGAGGAGGGGTGGAATGAGGAGGTGCTGAGGTGGGAGAATGGGTAAATCTGGACGGTCAGGGCAAAGCTGCACCACCCCGAGGCATGGATGGGGGAAAATAGGGTGCCCCGAGCACCGTGTGGGACAGCCCTGTCCCAGAGGGGGACGTCCTAGTCCCAAATGGGGAAATTCCCATCCAAAATGGGGGCAACTTTATCCCAAATGGGGATATCGGTGTCCTAGGTGGGGAAATCCTCATCCCAAGTGGGGATATCCTTGTCCCAAATGGGGACATCCTCATCCCAAATGGGGACATCCTCATCCCAAATGGGGGCGTCCCTTGTCCCAAAGAGGGACATCCATGTCCCAAATGGGGATATCGCTGTCCCACATAGGGACATCCCCATTCCAGATGGGAAATTCTCATCCAAAATGGGGACAACCTTGTCCCAAATGGGGATATCACTGTCCTAGATGGGGAAATCCTCATCCCAAATGGGGACATCCTCATCCCAGATGGGGGCATCCTCGTCCCAAATGGGGATATCACTGTCCTAGACGGGGAAATCCTCATCCCAAATGGGGACATCCCCATCCCAAATAGGGAAATCCTCATCCCAAATGGGGAAATCCCCATTCCAGATGGGGAAATTCTCATTTCTTGAAATTCTCCCGCAGGGAGCGGGGCGGGAAACTTATTTTTAGGGCTTGTAAGCAAGTGGATCTGTGCACGATGCCGTGCTCTTCGAGGATCACAAATATTCCCAAACCAAGGTGGGGCCAAGAACCTGTCCTACAGGGGGTGCTTGGCTTGGGACAGGGATAGAGACAGTCAGAAATAAAAGGGAGGTGGAGAGAAGAGCTTTTGTTGCCGAATTTCCCCTTGACTCTTTCTTCTCCGTGGCCTAGGGTGATCAGGATTTAGGGATTTGGGGTCACCCTGGAGCTGCTGGCACCGGGTGCTGGTCTCGGGTGGGTTGGTGCTGGGCACAAAGACCTCGGCTCCTGGAAAACCTGAACCTGAGCTTGAATTAATGAAGGAAAATAAATAAGAACGAATAAATAATAATAGATCTGCCCAGAACAGTGGCACGAGGAAGAGGAGGGAGACCCCATGGGGGAAAAAAAAAGCTGTAGTCGGAGAAATTGGGTAAAAACAGACAAAATCCAACCTTGGGGTGTGAGGAGGCTGTGGGAACACATCCCTGTGATGGACCGGTGGTCCTGAGCTTTTTGGGGTATCTCAGCGGGGTGGTGGGACAAAGGAGAGGACCAGCATCACTGGGAAGGGAACTGGGCTTTACTGGGAAGGGAACTGGGCTTTACTGGGAGAGGAGGTGCCGTGGGTGCTGAGCCCAGCTCCTGGAGCACCCCAGGGCAGTGGGCGCAGGGGTTAAAGCGTGTGGGTCTGCGCCCCCCCCCCCAAAAAAAAATATATAAAAAAAATAAAAAAGGAAAATTGCAATAATAAAAATGAAAAAAATCCCAAAAAGCCACCCTGCGGGTCTCCCCCCTCCTCCTACTCTTCCTTTCCCCCCCCCCCCCTCCCCAAACCTCCGCCTTTAATACCAACAAACAAACTCTCGGCTCTCCAAAAGGAGGCGCCTTTGATCGGAGCGAGGCGAACCCCGCCGGGCACCGGCACCGGCACCGCCGCACCCCCGGGCACCGACTCCGGGACCCCCCCCAGGGCATCGGGACACCGGTACCGGGACATCATCGGCACCGGGACATCCCCCCCCCCGGGCACCGGGACATTTCGGGACATCGATCCCGGGACACCCCCGGGCATCGGGGCGCTTTGGGACATCGGCACCGGGACGCACCGGGACGCACCGGGACACCGGCTCCGGGACACCCCCGAGCACCGGGACGCCCCCGAGCACCGGGACAGCAGCAGCAGCCCCGAGAAGCAGCCCCGGGACCCCGTCCCCCCCCCCTTTTTTTCCTCCTCTTCTCCACCCCCAGCCCCGAGCCACCGCCGCGCAGCGCCCCGGGAGCGGCACCGGGACATCGCGCACCGGCACCGGAGCGACCCCGGGCACCGGCACCGAAAAAAAAACCCCGGTACCGGCACCGAGACACCCCTGAGAACCGGGATCGGAGTTTCCCCGAGCTCAGGGACCGAGGCAGCCCCCGGGTACCGGCAGCGAAGCTCCCCCCCGGGCACCCACCGCCGGGCTGCGATGCTTCCCGGTGCGGGTCCCCTCGCCTTCCTCCTCCGGTGCCTTCTGCTCCTCTTCGCCTCCGAGAGCCGAGCCCGGGCTCGTAAGTAGCCCCCGCTCCCCTCCTGCCTGCATTCGTGACCCTCGCGGTGTCCCTCCGTGCCTCAGTTTCCCCATCTTCCCCCTAAAAAATAAGGAGCAGGGGGGGCTTTGAGGGCAGGGCTTGGGGAAATTGGGGTCGTGCGCTGGGTGTCGCGCAGGGCAGGGGGCTCGTTTGCAGCCCTGAGCAGGTCCCGTCTGCTTCTCACCTCCAAGATTGATGGAGGAACGAGAATTTGGGGGAAATGACCCCCCCCGGAGTGAAGCTGGGGGGATTTTCTCCTCGCCCAGCGATGATTTGGGATGGGGAAGAGAAGAGAGGCTTGGATGAGATGTCCCATCATGACCCTACACTTCTTCTCCCCTTTAAGCTACCCAAATCCCAGGAGAGTCCATGGGGCCGGTGGCTGTTGTAGGGTGATTTATGGCTTGCCCGGTGCCAGCGCTGCTGTTAGGCTCTCGGGAAAGTCGCCCTCCTGGAGCACAGACCCCAAAATGTGGGCGCTGGGTTCCTCGTTTTGGATGTGGGGTGAGCTGGGGGAAAAGCAGGTGGATGGATCGGGATGCGAGGGAGGGGCACGGGTACAAGGGAACGGGGTAAGGTTTCCAGCCTCTGCTTCCCAGGGCTGTGTGGAGCCCCAGAGGGCAAAATCTGAGTGAGTTTGGGTCCTTTTCCCTTCCCTGCTCTTATCAAAATCTGACGAGCTCGGTCGGTGGCATCATTTTTTGCACGATGGGTCTGATCCCTCGCTCCACCAGGGCTCTGCCAGCCGTGGTACCCACGTTAGGAGGAGGATGGGGACATCCCCCGAAGGTGACACAGATGCTGCCGAGCTGTTTGCTCTTTGGAGATGGCAGCAGAGCCCCCAAATTGGGCACAAATCGGGGATTTTCATGAGCAGAACCACCTGGGCACCGTCCTTGGTACCCAGAGGGGATCCAGGTGTGTTTTATGACGGACCCATCCTGGGGGGGAAGCTGTGGGGGTTTTGTGGCAATGGTGACAAAGAACCAGGGCTGTGGGACGGGGACGGGGTCTGCTCACCTCCTCTGCTCGCTGCCTCCCATTTCTCTCGAGGCCAAGCACCGGGGCCAAACGAAGGCAGGAATAAATTGGTTACAAGCAGGCTCATCAGCCAAGAGACCTACAGTGTCTTGGCTAAAAATAGGTGAGAAAGCAGAAAGGCTCGGGCTTCGAGGCAAGTCAGAAAAGAAGAATTTGCCCATAGAAACAGGCTATTTTAGGGGATTTACACTCTCAGCTGAGAAAATATTGGAGGCACAGGTTACTGGGCTGAAAGTGCTGCAGCCCGTCGGCTGTGAGTAATTCAGCGGCAACAGCTTAACGCAACGAGGTTTTGGCTGAGGGCATTTAAACACCAGCATCTCTGGAGAGCGCAGGGCAGCGCTTTTCCCCAGGAGCTTGGAAGTTGCTCTTTTCGTTTGTTTATCCCGGTGGCTTCTGGAGAAAGGGGCTCTGCCCGCCCTGCTTTTCAACTTCGCACCGCGTTTGAATCCAGGGCGGTGAGGGACGGAGAGCTCCAGGATGGGAGGAACCGGGAGGAAAAGCAAAAATCCTGCTGGTGGCCACGGTAAGGGAGAGGTGAGGGCTGCACACCCTGATTTGGGCATCCAGGTGTCCCTCCTGGGGAGGAGCAGAGGGAAACGGGGCCAAATCTGCTGCTCCTGGAGCCCCCGGGGATGCTTTGGGTGCGGGGCTTCCCTTGGGCTCCTCTGCCCTGGCTCTGGGCAGCTTGGTGGTAATTCACGAGGCTGTGTTTGCAGAGCTGCGAGGATTTCTGGGCTCCCAAAGCCCTGAGAAGAGATGTCCAAGCCAGGGCTGAGTAAAGCAAACGTGTGGGAAGTGATCTGGACACGAGCGGAGACGTTAGGATGCAACATGTCAAGCGCCTGATGTGTTTTAAGCAGTTCCTTCGCAGCTAAGTTGCGTTCTAAGCCCTTCATAAATACCGGGCTGTCACGGGAGCGCCTGGACTTTCTGTACCAGACAGTGCTTTTTTTTTTTTTTCTTTTTTTTTTTTTTTTTTTCTCTTTATTTATGGCTGCTCTTAAAACTTGCGCTCTGCTTTGCACAAACTGCTCGCCTGGCGTGGCAGGTGCCTGACATCCCAAATGCTGGGGTCAGGAGCCCGTCTGAGACGTGCCCCGCATGGGGTAGGGCTCTGGGGAGCAACGGGGGCTGTGGGGATGGGGAAATCCTGCACCGGGGCTGGGGAGAGAGGCATGGGGAGAAGCAAGGTGCGTTTTTGCTGAAACCTGCGGTGTTTTTTGGCAGCATCCTTGCTGGGAAAGCTGGGATCCAGAGGGAAACTCCCTGCTGGGGAAACTGAGGCACGAGGCTGGGGGGGTGAGCAGGGTGGAGTGGGTTTACCCTCGTTTTCTGGGCTTTTGGGTCTTGTGGGTGGTTTTGCCCCTTTCTAGCCATGGTTCTGGCTTTAGGCTGTGAGCCCATGCTGGGGATAGGTGCAGGGGACGCAGTGAATTGGCTCAAACAGAGCACTGGGGAGCTTCAGGGGACAGCTCTCTTGGGCTGAGGGGACTTGTTTGCGTTCAGGATCTGTCTCAAAGAGGCGTCAGCGTGTTTTTTGGTGGCGTGAGGGAGATGTTGGTGGGCACCGAAGGCAGCACAGGAGAGGGTTCTCCATGCTGTTGGGTTCATCACCTCAGACTGGTGTCTCTAGATGGTCTCATGGAGATGCTGCTCCAGACAGCATCTCAGAGCCTCCTCAACAGCCTCATGTGGTGCTTAAATCTTCTGGCAGCCAGAAAATGTCCCACAATGTCTGTCCTAAGCCTCCCAGGCTTTCCCCGGGCTGATTGCTTCTTTCTGTCCCCGCCGTGGCCAGAGATCTTTGCGCCAGCCCTCTCTTGCCTCACCCCCTGTCAGACTTCCCGTCTATCACACACTGGCCTTGCTGCCCAGGATGCAATTAATGATAATTAATGATAACTGAAGGTAATTAATGATAATGAGAGTAAGCCAGGGCCTGGGCACAGCCTCAAGCATTGCCTGGGAGGTGTCGGGCTCCTGCTCCTGGCACGTTCCCCAGCGTGGTGTTGGCAGTGCCTACGGGGGATCTGCCAAATGCGTGGGCTCTGGTTGGGGACAGCCTGTGCCAAATCGCTTCCAGACATGAACAGGGCTGGGCCACTGGCCCCAGATCCCACCTGGGGCATTTTGAGGTTTAAGCAGATGTTCCTCACCCAGGACAGGGCTGGAGCCACCTCAGAAAGCGGCTGGTGGCCAGGGAGGCCTACTGGCCATAATGGTGCTCTGAAGGGCGCAGTCCCGTATCGGGATCTCATGTATTTGGTCAGAAATTGGTTGGATGGGGCCTGTTCATGAAGTTTTAACAACCAGGAGCTCACCCCTTCCTAAATATGCTCCCTCATGCCGTGAGGCCCCCTCCAGGTGTGGGGTTTCCAGGTTTAGGATATCGCGGCCTGGTTGTGTCTCGGAGGTGGATGGAGGAGGATGGCTCCGCCTGGATTGAGGTCCTGCAACCATAAAAATGCTCCACGGGCCAGGAGTCCTCCCTGGAAAGTGAGAAGCAATGAGAGAAGCCTCATCTGGAGTGCTGTGTCCAGTTCTGGGCTCCCTGCTACAAAAAAGACAGGGATCTCCTAGAAAGAGTCCAGCAGAGGGCCACAAAGATGATATGGGGTCTGGAGCATCTTCCCTGTGAGGAGAGGCTGAGAGACCTGGGGCTGTGCAGCCTGGAGAAGGGAAGACTGAGAGGGGATGTCCTCAATGTGCCTAAATACCTGAGGGGTGGGAGGCAGAGGGATTTGGCCAACCTCTTTTCAGGGGTCTGTGGGGACAGGACAAGGGGCAATGGCCACAAAATGGAGCCCAGGAAGTTCCTCACCAATATGTGAAATAAATTCTTCCCAGTGAGGGTGACGGAGCACTGGGACAGGCTGCCCAGGGAGGTTGTGGGGTCTCTGGAGATATTCAAGGCCTGTCTGGATGCCCACCTGGGCAACCTGCTCTAGGGAACTGCTTTGGCAGGGGTTGGACCCGATGATCTCTGGAGGTCCCTTCCAACCCCTACAGTTCTGTGATTCTGAGATTTTGGGATTCTGAGATTCTGGGATTCTGAGATTCTGGGATTTTGGGATTCTGGGATTTTGGGATTCTGGGATTCTTTGAAGCAAAGCAGCATGAGTGTAGTGAGCATGCTGTTGCTGAAGACACAGTAAGTGAGGAGGCTGAAAGGCACGGGAGCGACGCGCTGCCACAAATGGCTTTTCCCTCCGAGTGAATCGGGAAGATAGCCAAGCCTTGACCTCTGAAAATGAAATTATTAGCCTGGCATGGGAAGAAATGATCCAGAGCCTCCAGCTTTTAAGCCTCCTCCTTCCATCCACCCCAGCTTGCTTTTAACCAAACACTGTGCGCGCCTCTTGCCAAATAGGCGGCATAGTGCTGCTGAGATGCGGACAAGCGTCTGCTGCTGCCCAGCGCTGCCAGTCGGCTTTAATTTTACCAGCGGGCCCTTTGCAGACATGAATCAGGCTGCTTTCGAGGGCTGGACCCAAACCAGGGCTCCACTTGTGAAAGGCAAGTGATTAAATGTTTGAACGGAGCAGCCAACTGGCATGGGAGCAGCCTGCGAGCCTGAGTGGGGCCGTGTCACACGGAGGCAACTTGATTTCTTCACCCTCAGCATAATTCACGAAGATGCTGCAAGCAGGGAAAAATGAAGTCATTTTCTCACCCTTTTGCAAAGTGATGATGAGTTGTTGTTTTTTATTTTTTTTATTATTATTATATATTTTTTTTCTCTCCCTGGTATTTGCAGTTTCCAGCCATGCACTCCGCATTTTTGCATGCTTTGCTGTAAGCTGGTGCACGGATGGCCAGGAAAATGGGTTTGCTGACTTCTCAGAGGTTTGGAGCATGCTATGAAGACCCTGTAGAGGCAAGAGAGGTGAAAGGAGAGTGCCCCAGCCTGACACTGATGGCATCCACCTGAAAATCATTGCAGATCTCCACCTCTCCAGATGCAGTGCTGGCCCCACCGCACTGAGCTTGAGCCAGGCGGTCTGGACACCTGGTGGCCACCTGCTTGGAAGGTGCAACCTGGAGAAACTCATGCTTGAACCCAGCAACCTAATGAGGAGCTCGGAGCTGCTGGCAAACCCCTAGGGTTGCCCTTTCCCAGCAGCTGCAGAGGATCTGCTCATAGCAGAGCATCACTCGGCTTCATCCTGAGGATGCTCAGGAGCTTCAGGAGGGACGGCAGCCCACCAAAATGTGTTTCTATGAGGTTTACCTGATCAGAGGGAGAAATGCTGGCGTTAAGGACGTGACATCTCCAGCTTGGGCAGCAGGAGCTGGGCACCGTGCCTCGGCAAACAGCTGTCTCCCCCTCTGCCCTCTCCCCCAGGGCGCTGTAAGGTTTTAAAGGCCCGTAAATACTTCAGGGAGCGTAAACATCTCAGCTGCCTTCCAGCAACGTAATCGCCCCAACTACCTCAAATCCCCTCGATGACATAACCTGTTAAATCACCTTCGGTTTTCAGTGGGGCTGTAAGCACTTAAACCACTCGTAACACACGGACAGGCGTGTGCTTATTCACCAAAGGGCCTAAGCAGCAGCGTGTCGTTCCAGCTTTTTGGGGTTTGGGGACACGGCACGGGGACAGCCACCAGGCTGTGGTGGAGTTACGGGGTCCAGGTTCGTGTAGGTCTGACCTACGTGGGGCTGGAGCTCGGCCCCGTAGGGCCAGGTGATGCTTTTTGGTGCAGACATTGAGGATGGCTGAATTGGGCTTTCTGGCCAAAGCCCTGGGTTGGTGGTGGTGATTATGGACCCGCACGTCCTCAGGACTTGAGGACTTGAGATCCTACTGATAGGGCTGGTGTTCAGCTTCCTCCTCTCTCCACCACCTCCTGGCCTTTCTGGGGGAAATCCAGTCCTGCGGTGTCACCCTGAAGACACCTCTCCATCTCCAAACGAGCACAGTTTTATGCTCCAAATGCTTTATACTCCAAACGAAACGTTTCAGAGGGACGACTAATTTCTGCAAAGGCAGTCCAGCTTGCACGGCACAGCTGCCCTTTGGTCAGAGGGGTCCCAGCCTAAAGAAACAGGCAAAAACGTGGCAAAAAGATGGATTTTGGGGGCGTGTCTCCGGGTCTGGGCTGGTGGATGGGATGTGACCATCAGCTTCTCGTGGGTGATGGCACGCAGCTACCTGATCCCTCCTTGCTCTGCTCGTCACAGAGGGAGCAGAGCTGTCCCGGGGGCTGTCCCTTTCCTCACACAGCTTCTCCCCGTTGTTTTTTAGGGCCGGATATGTTCTGTGATTTCAACGGCAAGAAGTACAGCCCAGGAGAGAGCTGGCACCCCTACCTGGAGCCCCAGGGGCTGATGTACTGCATCCGCTGCAGCTGCTCCGAGGTACGTCCTGGGCAGGGTGCCCCAAGAAATGAGCAGGGTGCCACCACCTCAGGGCACCACAGGCTGGTTTTGGGGTCTAATCTGACCAAAGAAGCCCCTTCCAGTCCCATGGGGACATTGGATTCATATATTTCATTTGGATAAAGCCCCACGTGCCCCCGTAGGTGTTGGGCTAACCTCATGAGGGAGTTGTCCTCCTCTGCCCTAGAGAAAGGCCAAGAAAGGGGCAACTTTGGGAAGCTCTTTCTTTCGTCTTGGGGTGAATGTGTAGATGAAAAAAAAACATTTTTCTCTCCCCAGAACGGGAACACCAGGTGCTATCGGATCCAGTGCCCAGCTCTGCAGTGCGCCAGCCCCGTCACGGACCCGCAGCAGTGCTGCCCGCGGTGTCTCGGTAGGGGAATGTCCCTTGGGAAGGGGATGACAGGAGCCAAGGGGGGAATTGTTTCATGGTCAAGCAGATCCCATCCCCCAGAGCTGGCACAGCTGGGGCTTGTAGCTGTGAAAAGGGGACAAAAAAAACCCTTATGGGGGTGGGTCGCTCCCTGGGGTCACCACGCCAGTGCTGGGCCATGGATACACAACGTCCTTGTCCCCTCCTGGGTTTTTAAGCCAAAGAAACAGGCTAACAAGCTCTAAAAAGCTGGGAAACTGAGGCACGGCGGCCAGGCAGCAGTGACCACTGCCCTCATCGCTCTTGCCTTCCCCCTAAAATGTCACTTGGATGTGAAAGGACCCTTTAACAGACCTCTTTCTCCACTCCCCCCCATCCTGAAAGCTTTGTAGGGACAAAATGTCAGCTCACAGCTCAGTGACAAACCAGAACCCAGCACGTTAACCGGATCATATTGCCTGCAAAACGGGTTGGATGCAGAAAAAAAAAAAAAAAAAAAGAAACATTTTGAAGATTTTGCATGAAATTCTACTGAATTATTCCCTGCCTTGAATGGGATGACCTCCAACATCAGCCAGAGCCAGATCTAAAGGGCTTCTTCTCCATGGGGCTGGTCTGGGGGGGGGATCTGCTGAGTATCCGTGCTGGCAGGGGCTGGCTCTCACCCTGCTGCTCTCTTATCCTCTTTTCCAGAGCCAAACTCTCCCTCTGGGCTCCGGGCTCCTGCCAGGTCCTGCCAGTACAATGGGACGACGTACCAGCAGGGCGAGATGTTCACCACCAGCGAGCTCTTCCCCAGCCGCCAGCCCAACCAGTGTGTGCAGTGCAGCTGCTCCGTAAGCCTCCAGGGAGCCCACGGGAGGTGGGGAGGGGGTTTGGGGGCTTCTCCTGCACCCCTGCGACGTCCTCCTAGGTTAAAAACCTCTGCTGTGCTGAGCCTGAAGATCTGGTCGCACCATTTATTAGCTGGAAATCCCATGGATGGGTTCAGGGCTGGCACAGACAGGGCTTCTTGGGGTGGGCAGGGGGTAAAACCTTGTCCCAGGAGATGGAGATTGGTCTCTGCAGCATCCAGCTTTTCATGGATTGCTTTTGGATGCTTTTCATGGATTGCATGGATGGATTGCTTTTCAGCTACCTTTTACCAGCCCTTCAGGGACGTTCCTCCTCCCTGAGCCCCCAGCGATGTCTCCTGAGATGAAGCTTGGCTCTGCTCTGCCCAGCCCTCTCCCGCGGGCTGGAATCCTGCAGAAACCTGTCGAAAAGCAGCAAGAATCACTCGGGGGGGGCGGAAGGAAGCAGCCTGGACGGAGGTGATGCTGAAGGTGTGCGGAGCGTGGGCTGCACGAGCCAGGAGCTGAGTGTCAGGAGATGGCTGGAGGAGTTCTTTTTCCTCGGGAGGCAGCAAGGAAGGGCGTCAGAAAGTGCTGGACTTGGATGCTGCCGTAAAAAAGAGGGCGGCACAGACATCACTGATGGTTCCAGGCTCCACTGGGCTGTGCTTTGCTTGCAGCAAAGAATTATTCTGAGCTCGGCCAGGGAAAAAAGAGCAGTGAAAGAACCCAAACCACCTAATTTTTCCATGCCAGGAGCACGCACGTGCTGGTTTTCGTCAGCTGATGCTTGCTTTTGCTGCAGTGTCTGCGATACCTGGCACACCTGGCCTGAGCCCTTGGGGTCTGTGCGAGCCTGGGAGCAAGGTGCCGGGAGCTAGGTGGCAAGAGCAAGAGCTTACACTTGGAAATTATCAGGGAATCCTGGAATATCCCGAGCTGAACCCACGAGGATCATCAAGTCCAAGTCCTACAGCTTTTATACAGCTTCTGAGGCTGGTTCCTCTCTTACCGACCCCAACTGGATGCCAGATCGCCTTCTGATGGGGACAAACAGCATGGAAAGAGCCCTCAAGAGCCCTCAAATGCAACTGTGAGTGCCCACGTGGCCCTGCTTCCAACCCCACCATCACCAGGACCTGCTGGTCCCGCTCGGAGGCACTGGCTCTCGCTCAGCCTCTGTTTATCGGGATAATGCCTTGGATACAAAGGCGAAAATAAAAGGATGACTGTGAGCCTTGCAGCAGTGGGGTCTTGCCGGGCTGTGTCTGATGTTGTCAGCTGTTAGAACAGCTGCGGGAACAGCTGGGCTAAACGTCTTTGAAAACCGTCCTGAGACCGGGGCCTCCAGCCCAAATCCTGCTTTTTTTTTTTATGACGTGATCTCTCCCGCCCAGGGCAGGTCTTCGCTGCGGCAGAAGGAGAAAGGAGAACGTGGTTCCCTGGCCAAGCTCTGCTCCCTGAAGGTCTGACCCACGTGCAGGTCCCTGAAGAGTTTTGTTTGCAGCGACCACCACGAGATCCACCAGATTTCTGCCTCCTCTTCATGGTGGCTTGGCCCTTTGGTGGCAGAAGGAGCTGCTGTGATTTAGTTTTTAAGGACATCCTTGGTTGACCTCTTGCTTTCCATTCACTGAGAGCTTGGTGGCACCCTGGAGGAAATTCCTGTGTGGCCTCGTTGTTGGGCTCTGCTTCTGGACTGCTCGACATCCCCGCCAACCCTTCTGCAAGGCAGCAAAACCCAAAATGTTGCTGATCTGCCATAGGTTGCAGATCTGCTGATCCAAGTGGGACTGGGATGTGCTCAGGTCAAGACTGGCCTTGGCTCGTGGTTTTCAGCTGGTTTCACTACAAATTCTCTCCAAAGCAACCACCAAGCCAGTGGAAGAAAGTCTGCACCTGAACATCCACCCGCAGCTCTTGGCCCAGTGCCTTTGTGCTTGCTCCTGGTGTTATTGGATCGCCCAACACAAAGGGTTCAACATCCCAATTCCCTTCTCCCCCTACCTCCTGCAGGTCCTCGTCCTGGGATCTGTTAGGGAACAGGTCCTTGTGCTGCTCTGAGTTGGTGTTACGGAGAGTTTGCAGATGTGTGGTGGCTGTTTCAGAGCTGGTGGTGCTAACGAAGCCCGAGGACGAGGCACTACCTACCCCGTGTTGGGGTGGGATGTTGGATGAAGAGCACAGCAGGGCAGATTTTCAGCTTTTAGTCATTGGCAATTCGTGATATTTGAGGATGGCTTTTTGGGGTGTTGATGATTCCTGCTGGGTCTGCAATTTGAAGTGCTGCCACCCCGATATTGGGACCATTCAGCCCTGTCTGGACCTGGATAATGCTGACAATACTTTTTTTTTTTGCTCCTGTCCCCTAGGAAGGCCAGATTTACTGCGGCTTGGTGACCTGCCCGGAGCTGCTGTGCTCCTCTCCCCTCACGGTGCCGGACTCCTGCTGCCAGGTCTGCAAAGGTAAGGGGGGCACGGACCCCGTAGGGATGTTGCGACGCTGCTGGTGCTCTAGGGAAGCTTCTAGAACAGCCAAACCCTAGGGAAAAACCCCAATCCACCTAAACTGAGCTTAGCCTTTGCTCTCACAGCTCTCCAATTTGCTGCTGTTTCCCCTAATTCATTTAATATCAGAAATATCTGAAGCTGGAAGGCAATGGTGACCCCCTGGCCATGGCCACAGAGTGACCTGTGGCGCCTCCTCCAAGCTCTCCCCTCTTGCATCCCATAGCCCCAGCCCCTATTTTTTTTGGGGGGGTTGCTGGCTGCTGTTGAAAAGTCAGCAGAAAACTGGGCTGGGGTTGCCTCTCAGCACCATGTGGGGTTGATTCTTCCTTGTGGTAAAACAAAAATCGCTGGGTTTTGCAGAATCACAGACTTTCAGGGTGATATATTTAAGACTGTAATGACCTCACGAACAAGACAGACGTTTTAAAATATTTTTGGTGGCGTCTGTATGGCCTCGTTGAATTCACCATGAGCAAAGAGATTGCTCCAAACAGAAGGAGAATGATTTGCTCTGGCACAGGCAGATTTCCAGAAGAGCTCAGGTCCCACAGAAAGCCCTCGGTGAGGGCCAGACAGTGCAACCAGTGTGCACGTTGGGAAGAGCAGAGTTTGGTCCAGATTGGGTTGGTTGTGGGACACCAAGAAACCCACTTTTACGGAGCTGTGGGCACCGCCAGAGCTTCCCTTGCACTCAGTGCCATCTGCTCAGCGTTTCATGAGAAATGTCTTTGAATTGAATGCCAGATCATCCCCATCACCTCAGACTCTACCTCTGGGGTATTTCCATGCCACCTAATTTCAGAAGGCTACAAGACCAAGTCTTTTTTTTTTTTTTTGGAGCTGAACTCTCATTAACCATCAGTGGGGATAAAACGGGTTTTGGCGCGTGACACAGAGAAGCCATTTCTTTGAGTGATGTGAATTGCATATTCAAAGCTCTCAGGGGTCCAGCACCCTGCAGAGAGCTGGTTTTAGTCAGCTGGACCCCAGAAAACAAACCCTCCTCCAGATCCAGCCCTGCTGCGTTTCACTGGACTGTGTTTTTTCCTTGCAGATGGCTCATACGAGAAGTCCGCGGAGGAGGAGCCCCTGCAGTTAAACAGAGGTGTTGTACGTGACGTTTGCATTTTCAAACCCAGAGCATTGCTTCTAACACAGCTCAAACAAAGCTGTTTGCCCTTGGCCATAGCCTTCACCAAAGGAAAAAATTAAAAAAAAGCCCATAGTAGCTCTACTATGAACCACTGACACTCGGTTTGCAGTTGAGTCGTGCATGGGGGACTTTAGGTGAGGGCTACCAGCACGGGCTGAGACCTGAAAGCACCAGGTGAGGACTCTTGGCCTCTCCTCTGGAGCATCTCTGATGGCTTTGGAAGAGCAAAAGTCCTGTGGGAACTGGAAATCTTGGGCGCTTCTCCTCTTCCTTGGCCAGTGGGTTAAAAGAGTTGAGAATGGAGCAATTTCAGAGGTGGCCAACAGCCAGGTATGACCCTTACCCATGGAGTTAGGTGGCCCAAATCTCTCTTTGGGGGCTTTTCCTCCAGATGTTATTTTTTTCCTCTTCCCCCTGGGCTCAGGGGTGTCTCCCCCCAGTTGTATCTCCCAAAACAGCCAGCACTGGAGCTGGCCGTGAGGATTCCTTCCCCAGGCTGTTTGTATCAGCAGCCCCAGCAAGGAAAAAGCAACTCCCTGGCTGCTGAGGGTTGATTCAGGGTGACATTTCAGAGCTGGGCAGCCCACGCCAGGTCTGTGGGATTAGGTCACTTACAGCTCCCTGGCCCTTCCCTTTTCCATACTGCTGGGTGAGCTGCCAGCATCACACCTCCACCACCTATAAAACCTCCAAAATAGACACAAGGGGACCCTTTGTGCTGCATGTCTTGTCCCAGCATTTTGCTCTTGGAAGCCTGGGATGTTCCAGGGGTTTGGGTCCTGCTGGCTGGCAGTTCCTCACCCGTGTTCGTGGTGCCAGCCAGGTGAGAGGGCAGGATATGTCCCGTCCTCACCTCGCTGATCCTGGGTGGGTCATGCAGAAGACAATCCTCAGCTGTCCAGCGAGTGTCTAGAATAGCCCAGCCTGTTTTAGGACCCCAAATGTCTCCCTGAGGGTGCTGTGTTGGGCTTGGGGTGCTGTCCTGATGAGGGAGGTGACCCACATGCAGCCTAGGAGGTCACCGGGGTGTAGGACATTGGCACAAACTGCTCAGGACCCTTTAGATGGCAGGCACTGAGAAGGTCCCTGAACCTTCCCATCCTGACGGAGAGCACCGTGAGGTTTTTTTCCAGCACAGCCTGGGTCTGAGTCCTGTTCTTTTCTCTGCCTGTCCCCAGAGGCACTCGCAAGACCAGTGCTCGGGGGAAGCGATGGGCAGGAAGCCCCTTGGAGCCACGGCGTCCACCGTTCTCAGCTCTTCCCTGGAGTTCATTCCCAGGAGCTTCAAACCCAAGGGAGGAGGTGGCACCACCGTGAAGATCGTCTTGAAGGAGAAGCACAAGAAAGGTAAGGGACGGAGGGGCCGGGTGCTCTGTCCCTTGCCTGAGATGACTTCTCCAGGCCTCGGGACCCCAGGGAAGCTGTTTCAGCAGCAGTTTTCCACCACTGGCTGCCACCAGACTCCTCCACAGCCAACCTCACTCAGCCATCTCCAACCTGGTGGCCCAGCCCCTGTCCCACAACCTGGACGAATCCCCAACCACAGGAGTAGGGGAAGGTCGGTCCTTGGGGTGTTTTGGAGACCTTGGGACCTGGGAAGGGAGGTGGGCAGCTGGAAGACCTCACGTAGTCCTTCCAGCCCCCCCTGCTGCAGTGGGACAGGGGGGTCCTCCTTGCACCTACCTTCCATGGGGTTGGTCTGTCCTGGGGCCATTGTCATCCCCCTGGAGGGGAGAGCAGAAAATCAAGATGGGGAGACAACTGCATGGAGACAAAGGGGAGAAAGGCAGGTTCCTGCTCCCCCTGGGGGCTCTCCCACCGCTGTGCCTCCAGAAGGGCTCTTTCCAACCCTTGGAGATGAAGCCCTGGAGGAAAGCTTTGGGACCTTCAAAAATTTGCATGGAAAAGTCAGCAGGTGGCACTCTTTGCTGTGCTTGGGGCTGGCGATGGCCTTGGAGGGACCCTGGGCTCCCAGAAGCCAGGAGACAGGTGAGGTCCTGCCCGCAGCTACCCCTCACCTCCCCTGGGGTGCTCGGCCCCATCCACCTCCACCTCCTGGAGCCTCGTCCCCTGCTCCTGGGGCACCTCCTGGTCGGGGTGGCTGCGACATCCCTGTGCCCACCATGCCCCGGGTGTGCTGCTGGTGGGCTGAGGAATTTGGGAGGTTGTGAAAGGTGGCGAGCTCCAGCAGGCCCTGGGCGTGCCAAGAGGAGGAGGATTTGCTTCCAGGGGTTTCAGGCTCTTCTCTTTGTCTCCTCCAGCTTGCGTTTACAACGGGAAGACCTACTCCCACGGGGAAGTGTGGCACCCTGTCTTCAGGCTCTACGGCCTCCTGCCCTGCATCCTGTGCACGTGCAGGGACGGTGTCCAGGACTGCCAGAAGATCTCGTGCCCCAAGGAGTATCCCTGCGACTACCCCGAGAAAGTGGACGGGAAATGCTGTAAAATATGTCCAGGTACGTGGAATCCCACCTGCTCCTGCTGTCCCTTCCGTTTCCTTCGTGGTTGAAAGCCCTAGGTGTGGAGGTGAGGAGGGTTTCACATCACTGGAGGCTTGAATTCAGGCTGGGTGAGCAGGTTCAGCAGGGCAAGCACTGAAACAAGGGCTGTGCTATCCTGGAGGGCTGCCCCACAATGAGGGAACTGCTCTGATCCCCAAAAGTCACGTGCGTTGGGTGGCTGTAGTCTGGAGAAAGATGCCTGAAGAGGTGCGTGCCAGAAGTCTTCAGACAGGTAGATGGTGCCCCAGGCCTCCAGCTGGGACACAAAGTCACGGGATTAAATTGTGGCAGCCGAAAAAATGCAGGTTGGAAATTAGAAGGGGATTCTCCAGCTATGGGGTGTCCGTGGCACCCGTGGTTTGGTTTGAGTTGGGGTTAAAGACCCCATCCCTGGAAGGAACGGGTTACACACAGCTTTTTGGGGTGCACCAGGTGGGACCAGGCTGGTTGGGACACGGTGAGGAGGACCTCATTTTTCATCTTTAATAGGTTTTGGGTCTCTCCGTGGCTTCTAGGTCTTTGGAAAGCCATCCATCTGCAACCACAGTCCTGGGAAAGATAGATCAGGGCATCAGATCTTCTCCTGCTCCCGCTGGAGAATGTTTTCTAGGTTATCCCTCTCCATTCTATGATTCAGCATTGGGTGTTTAGATGATGGACCACCCACTGCTTCCCTAGAGAGACCTGAGCCTCCCCGAGCCTGGCTGCAGAGGCAGGAATTGCTGGGTCATCTTTGATGAGCTCCTTCGGGGTGGTTTCACGGAGGGGTCTGGCCAGGGAGAGCAAGCGAGGGACGTTATCACGTCAAGGAATGGGGGCAAGCGGGCTGCAAAATAATTTCAGCTGGGATTTTTGAGGTTTTCCTTCTGCCAAGCAGGGAGGTGCTGGGACGGCCTCCCCTGGGGAGCGAAGGGCAGAAGCTCAGCTTGTTTTAATAAGGTTTGTGATATGTTTATGAGCAGGATTTATGACGTGGTGCCTGGTGGGAATGGGATGTGATGACTGAGCAGAGCCCTTCCAGTCTTGCGTTCCCATTATAGCAGGTCTCTCCGGTTTAAAGCCTACAGCTTTCTCTGCTGGGATCTTGTCTGCTCTTCAGTCTTCATTTAGTTCCAGTTAAACACTCCGACCCAGCCAAAACGATTTTTTTTTTCTTGCTTTCCAGTACTCCCAGATAGCAATCACACACCCTGCTCAGCCAAGCTACATGCTTGTCCCTTGCTTCACTGCAAGGCATTTTCGCCCGTCTTTTAATTCCGGGCACTTTCCCTCCTCGTGCTCCTTTGTACGTGGGAGCTCGGAGAGAAACACCGACTGCTTTCTGGGTCTTTATTCCTCCTCCTCAACGTGCTGCACACCGTTGGCCATCGAGTGGCTCCGGCGTGAAGCTCCGAGGTTGTTAAACACCTCTTGTGCCTGCGAGAGCATTTAATTCCTTACCAAATGCAGCCTTGGAGGAGGAGAGGTTTGGTGATCAGGGATGGAGACCCTGCACCCAAAAGCTGTGGTTATCCCGCGTTGGGTCATGCTGGGGCTGTAGGGTTGAGTGCTTTTCTTCTGGTTGCTGAAAAAATCCCACTCTGCATCCCGTTAATTTGGGATTCCCATCCCCTCTGCCCTGGTGGATGCGAGGAGTGGCTCAGGACCACCCCAGAAAGCCTGGGGAGAGCAGAATCGGGCCCAAAATAACCGTCCTACTAAAATAAACCCCACGTGTCTATTTATAGCCCAACTTTCTTTCGAGTAGTGTGAAAAGCTCCAGCATCCAAAACGACTGGGAGAACAAGGCTAAATTCAGCTGAGCCGAGCTCCTCTGCGTTCCAAGGACCACAACCAAAGGCAATAAATCTCCTTCCAAAACCATGGGGGATTCTTAATTACTCCAGAAGCAACAACAACAAGAAAATTAGCGGCTCTTCTTCAACGGGGGGGGTGTTGAAGAAATCCCCCTGGGGTCCCGGCGGTGGCGTCCGGGGCCAAAAGAGCTCAGCACGGGTACGGGGAAGGGGCTGGGGCTGGGGCTGAGCCCACCCACGGGGCAGGGACGGGCGCCGTGCCCAGGCAGCCCAGCCGCAGCCCTGGCTCCCGTGCTGTGGGCTCGTCCCTCTCCGCTTCGCTGACGTTGCTTCTTCGGGACGGGGAGCAGGGAACCCAGCCCGGGTTTTCGCTGCGTGGCGATGGCACCGAGCTCCCCGCGGTGGGTTTGGGGGGTCCAGGTGGAGCACAGCACCCTGCCCCGTCCCTGCTGGGGTAGGGGATGCCGAAATTAAAGGGAATGGAAAATATGGGGGTGAGCAGGTCTACGGATCCTATATCAACGTCACCTTTTGCTTTCAATCTTGGTGTGGGTGTTGTGGGGCTTTCGGGATCCCAGCCCAGCTCTGAGCCATCTCCCAGCTCCGGGGAGCAACGCGACGTCCCACAGCATCAGGCACAACAAGGTGCCACCCCTGGGTGCTGAGGTGGCTTCTTCCATCCTTCCTGCCCCTCTGCACGGCCCTAATTAATAAACTCTGCTCTCCTTTGTCCCCAGAAACCCGAGTCAAACCCACCGACGAAATCGTCACTGCCCAATGCGGCAAGAACCCCAACCGCGTCCTGGTGTACATGTTCGTGCCACCGAGCTCCGAGACCTCCAAGGAGGTCCTGAGGACGATCGCAATCGAGAAGGAGCCCTCTGAAGAGGTGGAAATCTACAACTGGAAGCTGATTAAAGGTGAGTCCCGTAACGAAACCAGCCAGCGATGGCGAAAGCGCGTGCAGAAACGCGGTGCTTTCCAAGCTTTGTTCAACTTTTCAGGCTTTTTCTAGCGGTGCTCTCCAGACATCGTGTAGTGAGTCGAAACCTGCTGACAGCAGGCTGGCGTTCCTAACCCTCCCTTTCACACTCTCTTGCTGTCATTGCATGCAAACCAGGGCTTGGAAACCGCTCTTGGTCCCAGTGTACCCAGTGGCACGCTGTAACCCTACCCGGAGGCACAGCACGTGGGCAAACAAGGCGGGGGCTGCGGGGGGCCGTTCCTCAAAACCTGCCTGCTTCCATGCCAAACACGCACGGAAAACAAACAAGCCAAAACACTCCAGTCACTCTGCAGCCTTAGCTTTTGCTCCTTCTTTTTTTTTTTTTTTTTTTTTTTTTTTTTTTTTTTTTTTTTTCCCAGTCCTCCCACTGCTGGGAACAAAGCTTGCAGAGCTTCCCCAAAATGCGTGCGGGGACGATGAGTTTTCCCCAGCCTGGATTTGGACCCGTTGCTTGGCGTGTCCTCCAGCAGTCAGAGCAGGGCACGTAACCTGTGAAACGACACCGATCTGCCCACACACCCCGCTGTGCAGCACCCAGAGGAGCCTCTCTCCACCCAAGATGCGTGGTCCGGTAGAGATTTGTGCATGGTTTTTGGGTGCCCAAAGCAAGACCCAACCATGAGCCTCCATCGGAGGTTCTCCAACCCTTGCAAAACCTTGGGCACTTGAGGTCCGTGGAGCTGGGTGTCTCAGAGAGCAGATATTTGGGTCTCCTGGGTGTGTTCGTTTCACCTTTCTCCCAGAGGAGCCCTCTGGCTGTTCTCCCAGCCTCCTAGGATGGCCACACGTGCGTAGCCATCAAAGAAATCACCTCCAGAGATGTGGAGCCGTGGCCGTCACCGCGTTTCCATCCTCCCCTTGCCCTCCTCCGTCCCGCACGCTGCCCCTCTCCCCGTCCTCCCCCCAGCACGCCGAAGCCTCCCTCACAATGGCACCTTGTAGCAGGAGGACAGCTCTGAGCCTGCACTGTCTGGGCCCCACCGTTTCCTCTCCTCGCCGCTTGGCAGAGGTCACCACCCAAACCTTTCTTGCCACCTTCCCAGGCCAAAAGCTCCGCGTCTGCACGCAGCTCCCGAGCCCTGCCAGCCAAGGACAGGGGAGGCCCTTGTCCCCGAGGCCAACACAGCTCTTTTGCTTGGCAGAGGGAAGTGTTACTATTGGGAAAGAGCATGAGCTCAGGCACATATGGATTCCACCTCGCCATGGTCCATCACTCTACCAACAGAGCAGCGTGTGTGGAGAAAAAAAGCCCGCGAGGCACGCCTGGAGCCCGGCCAGCTGCCTTTGTACCAAACCTACGTGGCCTCCTCCGTTCCTGTGCTCCACGGGGCAGGATTCAGCAGGAGAAGCTGGCACAAATGCCCAGCCCCGAGCTTTGCTCAGCTCGCACGGGTCGTGGTGGGGGCTCCTCTGGATTTTTAGGGGTCTGGATGGCTTGGGGGGGTTTGAAACTTGACTTTCTGATGTTTTGGAGAAGGAATTAGAAGGCAAAAAAAGGAATGGATGGGATCGGCGTGGTTCAGAGGCTGTGCTGTCTGCTTCCTCGTGGATGCCTGGCTGTACGTGGAGGTGCAAAACCCCAAGGACCTCTTCCCCTGTGCATTAGGCAACCCCCAAAAAATTCCTTTCTCTCCTGAAACCCTGCAGCTCCAGGACCCCCAGCGATCCCCTCCATCTCACCACACCGGTGTGCCCTCACGCCTGGTGCCTGCTTGAAGGTCTCCTGCCACGGAAACTCTGGGATCCAGAGCCACAAACCCCTTTCTGTAGGGAAAGCTTCTCCTGACACGCAGCCTCCCTGCAGCTCCAGCTCTTCCCATTCGCTCTGGGTACAAAGCAGCCTCCTTTTCCCCTGATGAATTTGAAGATGCCACCAGCTCCTGCCTGTGCCCTCTCCATTTTTTTCAGTCTTCCCTTGATGTCAGCAATTTCTGGTCCTTAGGTCCTTCCCATAGCTCTGTTCTGGGCTCCCTCTGTGTCTTTCTTAAGTGCAGAGCCCAAATCAGAGCGCAGGGCTCTGCATCAAAGCTCTCCCCTCTGCGTCCTGCTGGTTTGGGTCTCCTACACACCTGCACCCACGTCTCCATCCACCTGCTGATGCTCTCGGCTCCGTGTTCTCCCTGGGAGAATTTTGGAGGTCTGTAGTGCATGGACATGGCTTGTACCAGCACAATTTGGGAGTGACGGACGCTGCCTGGTGTTCCTCTAAGGCTGAACCCCGTAGAAATGCCCACTTTGTTCATAATTTAGCAAATCCTCACACCATTTTCCTGAGACTTCTCTCCCAGCCTGGCACAACGCGCCGCATTTCTGCAGCCACGGTGGTCCCCGCGTGGAACAACCGGTCCCATCCACGCATTTTGGGACGGGCAGAACACCTCTGTGGAAGAGCCTCTCTCTCCTTTGCATCTGCAAAATTAGCAAGGATGGATTGCTGCCTCTGGTCATTAATTCATTCCTCGTGCTCCCTGGTACTGGGATCTGTCTGGGTTTGGTCTGGAGAGCACCAAGAAGGGTGGCAAGTGCTGGACAGCCCCGGTGCCTCTCCCCATCTCATCCCATAAAAGCCTGGGTCTTTGGGCAGCTTCTGCTGGCTGTGAAATGGCACCGACCAGCCATCACCACCCCAAAATTCTCTCGTTCTTCACCAGCTCCATCCCGTGCTGGCTTTTCCGTGGCCGGTGGGCTTTTCAGATCCTCACCACCTCGCACCCTCCGTGCTCCACGTCCTCATTCCTCCGCAGCTCCCCAGCTCCTGGCATTTGTCAGCAGTGACCATCAAGGTCTCAGCCAGCTCTCCGGGGGCTCTCGGGTGAAAATTATCTCGGTCGGTTGATTAAAAGATGTTTATCTCCCGTGGCTTTTGTTTAAAATAGCCTCCCGGTTACTAATGTACTGGAAAGTGCTTCATCAGCCACGGGGGCTACAAGCACACCCTCCTGCTCCTTTCTAAGTATAGACCGGGAGGATTTATTGAACAATTCTGCCTTCCTTGCGTCATTAAGAGTTTTATTATCCCCATCCAGTACCTTCTTTTCTTACTGGTAGGACTCCTTTATCCTGACCCACTCGAAGGGCTTATTAATAGCCCGGCCAGCCGCATATTTCTCCCCCTGCACTTTAACTTCCTGTGCTCATTTTCCACAGCCCGCAACATCTCGTTTTTACGCATCGCTTCCCAGTCGTTACGTGCCCTTTCCGTGCGTAATTGCTGCTGGGAAGGGAGAGGAAAAATCTCTCACCTAAACAAGGGGACCACGCCGCCCCCGGAGAGATGCTGGGCGCACGGGAAGAGGCTGGGCGAGACGCGGGGAAGGGGGGACCAGGCATACCTGCCCCCCTTCGTCACGCCCGCGGGCGAGGAGGAATATCACGAGCCCTAATCCCACGGGAAGGTCGCTTCTGTTGCTAAATTCACGCTCTGCTTTGCTCGGGTCAGAGCTCTGAATCAGTCACAACCCCCCCTTAACGGGACGGTGCTGGCGCGGGCAGAACCATTTGGCTGCGCTGAGGTCAGTCCCGATTTCCTGTCCCGGAGGAGTTTTAGGGCTGGGGGCAAAGGAATGGAAAAATCTTGGTGCTGGTTGCTTCGAGGAAAAGGGAAACGTTTGGGGATGGAGGGGGCTCTGCGGTGTCCCCATGGGTGGGGACTGAGAGGAAAGGGGGGAGCTGGGATCCTGTTGATCCCGGTGGTTTGGGGGAGATCAGAGCTCCTCCAGGGCGAGATATTTTCCAGAGCAACAAAATCTTATTGATTCCACCTGCTCCGTGGTGTTGTAACGCCGTGTTCCGATTTGGTGAGTAACGGCTGTTTGGAAATGAGCTCGCTGCCAACCCCGGAGGCTGGACATCCCAAATTCCCAGCAGGTTTCGGTGGCAGGACCCCGGTGCATCCCTGGTGCCCATCTGGCCCTTTAGGTCTGACGCCTCACATTTCTCTCTGCAGGGATATTTCACTTGATCCAGACCAAGAAGATCAGCAAGCAGGAATTCAAGCAAGAAGCACAAAACTTCAGGCTGATCACCAGGACGGACGAAGGTAGAGGAAAAAAAAAAACCAAAAACTCCCCTCCTGCCTGGCCCCAGCACCCCGAGCTCTGCTGACGTGCGCTGGCCGTGCCTCCGAGGCTGCCCAAATTCAGAGCAAAGCGTCGGGGAGAAGATTTGGGCAAACCCAGCGGGGCCAGGGCTGAGCTCCCTTCACACGCAGAGCCTGCCCTCCTGGTCAGCGGTCACATTTTCACTTTTATGGCACTGGAAAGGGCAGCCAGCTTTCTAAAAGTGGCCGCGTGTTTGTGAAATCCAAAGGCTGCACCTCTCCAAAGCCCGTAAAACTGTTTGATTTTTATATCTAATCCATCTGGCATCACGGGGGAGAGAGAGAAAAAAAATAAAAATGATGCGAAGGATTTGAAAGAAAAAAAAAAAAACAACAAAAAACAAACTCTGAAATATCTTTTAAAATCATTCTTAATGTTCTTGGATGTGCGTAAATGTTACAAAAAAGCAGGAATGCCAGTGCACATGCCGAGAGTGCCTGTGCAGAGCGCAACTGCCGTGCTATTTCCCGCTGGCTGCCTTTTCTCCTGGGCTGGATTAAAATTTAATGGGTCAGGCTGGGATCGAGCCCACTCCCGCATTGCTCAGCACCCATGGGATGGGGTCTTGGGTCGAGCCATCCCGCCCAGAACCTCTGGCTGGGGCAGGTGGGGATTTATTTTCACCTCCAGCCCATTTTCGACATCTCTTGGCCAAACCCTGGGGGATTTTCAAGCCCCCCTGCTCCCAGGTTGGGTTTTGCACCGGGATGGGGTCTCTGGCACGTGCCTCAGTTTCCCGGGATGAATAACCCTGTTGGGAAACCATCCCTCTGCTGCCACCGAGGATTCTCGGAAAGGACTGGCCGGGGATTTCTCCACCACAGGAGGTTCATTCAGGCAGAAAATATGCCCCCAGGGAGGGCTACATTCGGGCTGCGTAATCCTTGCTGGGATTACGCGGGGGCGACCACCTGGAGGGGATGCGAAGAAGGCTCTGAGCCTCCTCCAACATCTCTGGGGTTGAGGGGGGTCCATGGAAACATTGGGATTTGGGGGGAGTGAGGAGAGGGGCTGGGGGCTTGGTGCCTTTTTTGGGGGGTTGTGTTTGCTTTGCAGAGAGTTTGCAGCCCACTGGTGGTGCTGAGGGGGGGCCTGGGGGGGTTTCTCCTCCTTTTTCAGCTGCATTTTCCCCACTGCAGGTCATTGTGAATCCCTGTTAGAGGAGCTAAGGCTGGGGTGGCAGCAGAAAAACAAGTGTAAATGTGTTTTTTTCTGAGCAATCCCCCCCCAAAAATGGGGCTGACAGCGATTGCCCCATGCCAGCAAGGTGTACAGAGAAGCACACCCAACTATGGGCCACAAATCATGAATTTTGGGTTTGTGGAAGAGTCAGAGGACAAACAAAAACCCTTCTCTCCCTGAAATAAAGGGGCTCACCCTAAACCCAGCTATGCTGGGGGGCTGCTTGCCTGCTGCATTACCTGGCCAGGAGTTGGATCTGGCCCTCTGCGCTCCAGCTAAAACACGTGTGGAGGAGATTATCCCCATTTCGGAATGGGAAAAGTCTTTTTGAGAAAAAAACACTGAAAATGGGTGCTAACGAGTGTCCTTCTCTGCTCCTCCAGGTCACTGGAACATCTTCCGAGCCCAGACGTCGGAGCTGAAGATGACAGAGAGCCCAGAGAAAGAAACAAAGAACTTGTAAAGGAGAAACGTTAACCTAGCTATCGATTTATCTACACCCACACACACATACACACCTACCCATATATAGGAAAAAAACCCAAAAAACTCGCATTATTCAGTAGACTGGCACAGCAATAAGAGGTACACTAGTGTAAAGGACAGCAACTCCAGCAGAGGAACCCAACCGAACCGCCACCGCCGCCGCCGTGCTCTGGGGGAGAGCAGCCACGGCCACGGCCATCCCCTGCTGCCAAAAACGCCGGGTGTGCAGCGGGAGAGGCAGCAGAGGGAGGCCTGGTGCAATGTGAAGAGAGGAGGAATTCCCGAGGAGCAGCAGGAGCCAGCAGCCAAGCGGGACAAGACCCTGCTCTGTACCGCTGCCGGCGTAAAGGTGACCTGCAAGGAGAGAAAAAAAACCCTCCCTGCCTCCTTTCTCGGAGGCCCTGCGAGCTGCAAAGGGTTTCTTCGGCTGAAAATCCCCCACAGGATATTTCCTCGAAAGTTTTTTCTCCTCTGTCTCAGCTGGGAGAGTTTTGGGGGGCACTTTCCCTTTTTTTGGGGGGGCGCTTTCCCATTTTTCCCTTTGCAGGTCGTGGCAGCGATGCGATTTTCGGGAGGCCGCTCCTTCTGGCACCGGTGACGCCGCGGAGAAGCAGCTGGGACCCTGGGGTGGTGGCACAAATTCGAGGCCAACAGCAGCACGGCTGCTTTTTTGGGGGACGGGGGCGATGCCACCCCGCTGCTGGTGCCACCCCCGTCTGTCCCCTGTCCCCTCTCGCCGCAGGATGTAAGCTCCGAGCCCCCAAACACTGCACTAAGGTTGCTGCTACGCGTGTTACGATGCTCTGTATTTATCTCTAGCCTATCCTACATGCTATATTCACAGGAGGGGCATCTCCCAAAGGGCCACCAGGACCATTGCTGTAGCGTGGGGAGGAGGGCGTGCAGCGGCGCTGCTCTCCCCCCCCCGACTGGAACCAGCTTTGGGGGATTTTCAGGTTGTTTCGGTTACAAGTATTTATCCCCGGTTTCCTGTTTTATCCCGTTTTGATAAATCTATTTATTTGGAGATCCGGAGCTTGTCGGATAAAGCTGATTAAAGCGTCTTTTTGATTCACCCTCCTGTGCCGGCTCTCCTTTCCCTGCAGCCTTTCTCCCACGTCCATATTTTGGCAGGAGGGGGGTGCACAGGGCAGCCAAGTGGCCCCACTCTTTCATGGCACGATCCCCCACCCTGGGGGCCACCTGCTTTGGCCACCTGGATTTGGGGAGACGTTTTTTAGACCCCTCACCCAGCAGCTGGGGCATCACCTGGGGCATCATCCTGCCCTGGGGCAGCACTCACCGATGGTGTTTTGGGGCTGAGAATTGGGTTCAGGGCTGGCAGGTGGGTTGGGGTTCGAGCTGGAGGCAAATTTGGACGGAGGAGCGTTGCTGGAGCATCACGAGGGCGCAGGCAGCTAGCAAAGCGTCTCCAGCCCCAGCAAACACCCAGCAAGGAGCAACTGGGGCTAACTGGAGCAGCTGGGAGCCCTGCACCATCATCCAGGTGCTGGGGCTGCTCTGGTTCAAGTTGCCCAGGAAAAAACCTTTCTGACCCCTTTTCTTTCTTCGTTTCTCCCAGGACAAACCCGACCCCATGAGATACCCTACAGGGGAGCAGCTGGGGACGTGCACGAGGGCTGGTGACAGCCTCTGCACGCAGCGGGGCCGAGGAGGGGCTCAAGGGGTCGAGGTGGGAGCTCTCCTACGAGGGTTTCAGTGCCTTAGGCTGTGCCCTAAATGACCGTGCCTCCTGCGGGGGATTAGCACTTTTAATAGGATCAGCAGCCACCGCTTCAAAGCCAACATCTCGCAGCCGGTGGCGTCACCTCCTTGGCACCTCCCCGTGTCCCTTGGCAGGACCCAGCCCGCTTCCACCCGGGGCCACCAAGATGGGGCTGATTTTATGGCTTTTTTAATGGATTTTTTGGGGTCTGCAGGGGACATTTCCTGGGGACATCCCGTGGGTCCCACCGCCCCGACCCCGTGGTGTCCACATCTTGGGGACCAGAGGGGTTGGGGACGTTCCTGGTGTGCCCAGGACTGAGGCCACCCTTATGGTGCGTGGAGCCATTTTTTACCTTTTTTACCTTAAAACCATCCCTCCACGTCCTAGGAAGCACAAGTAGGGTGTCAAAACCCATCAATGCCACCTCCACCCTCACGTAGGGTCCTTCTCCTTCGCAGGGCTGGGCACGGTGATGTCCCCTCTCCTCCTAGGCCAGGGCTGGTGTTTGGGGCTCTGCCAGGTTCCCTTGGGCAGGAGATTTGAAAACCCGGCCGTGGTTTCGTGGTTTTCTTTTGTAGGACCCACATCTCCTGGCACTTTATTCTTTAGGACCCACATCTCCTAATATTTCTTCTTCAGGACCCAAATCTCCTGCTGGCCCTCCTGGACCCCTCTCCTCTTATTGGGATCTCCTGGGTGTGCAGTAGGAGCATCCCCTTATGCCATGGCCAAAGCAACCTGAGCTGGGCCATTTTTGGCCTCTTTAGGGCAAATTTGGGCACTGGATCCAGGTCGGGTCCCCAGTACCAGGCAGGTTGCATCGGGTTGGACCCATCCCAGCTGGAATTTACCCCAAAAAAGTTTCAGCTTCAGGCTGATCCATCAGGGACCACCAGAATTAGTGGGTGCATCTCCATCCCTGGAGAAACTCAAACCCTGCCCGGAGAAAGCCCTGAGCAACCCGGTGTAGGGTCAGAGCTCGCCCTGCTTGGGGTTGGACCTCCTGGGGTCCCATCCAGCCTGAAATCACCCGGCGGCTCCGCGCTCCGGGGCTGATGGCAAAGTCAGCACCAGAAATCTTGGCTCTGCCTCCGGGGTCTCGGGGTTTTTTTTTTACGTCAGAGCCGTGCTATTTCATGCTCTATTATCAGGTTAGTCAAAACACGGCCCTAAACTATACGTCCCTATAATTGCCAGCTACGCTCACTTCCTTGGCTCCTGCTGTTTTCCATTGCCTCGGCTTTTCAGTCATGCAAAATCTCCGCTTTCACCTTCATCTGCACGAAACCCCCCTTCCCCGCCGGCGGCTGGGGAGCGGAGGGGAAGCCAAATCCTGCCTCCCGAACCCGGTGTCACGATGCTTTCGGGGCTCTGCCACCCCAAAGAGGGCTCGGGTGGGCTCGGTGCTGCCGTGAAACCCCAAGGTGGGTCCCGGAGCTCTGGGGATGGTTGGAATTTCAGCTCGCAGGTGAACGGGGCCGTGCTACTCCCAGCTCACCTCCTCCCTCCCCAAAGGGATGGGATTTCGCCCGGAGCAGCTCTCCATGGGGTTTTTCCAGCCCCTCGTGTTTCGCTGGGGGAGCGCCGTCCCCGTGGCCACCCTGCCCCTGCGCATCCCTTTTCTCTCCCAGGGGTGAGGGATGGAGAAAGCAGCAGCGTCCAGGCTGCTCAGCCCGCGGGCTGCCACCGCGAGCCCGTCTCTCTCCAGACTAAACAGTCCTAATATTTCCTGTCTCTTCTCGCATAGAAACACGTCTGTAATCGCTCCCTTCCCTGGGTTCTGCACCTTTTTGGATGCTGGAGAGGCTCAGGAGGTACCGAAGCTGGGGAAGCGAGATCACATTTCCTTGCCTCCGGCTCCGTCAAAGCCCGACACCCCCAAAACCTGGAGGCAAAAAAATCTCCCCGGAAAGCTCTGCCAGCACTTTGGGATGGTGCTGACACTGGAAAAAGCCCCCGGCTGCCTGCGAGAGGGGTGAGGAGAAAGGGTGATGAGAAAAACAGGGAAATCCTCGGAGACTCGGAGAGCGAAGCCGGCAGGGCCGGAGCCCGAGGAGGGATCGGAGAGGGAGGAAACGTGAGCAGCGAGGCCAGACCGCATTGCAGGGGCCCTGTCCCAAAATCACGGGGTGGAGGCACCTCTGGTCCATCTGCTCCCAGCCCAGCAGGGCCACCAGGAGCAGTGCGCCCAGGACCATGGGGGCAGCTCTGAGCATCGCCCAGGAGGGAGCTGCAGCACTATAGATCTGTCTGCATCTCCGTACCTCTAGATCTCTGTAATATCTCTATAATTCTGCATCTCCTTATCTCCTTATCTCTATATCTCTGGAACTCTGTATCTCTATAATTCCATATTTCTGGATCTTTATATCTCTATTTCACTATATCTCTGTATCTCAGTAACTCTGCATCTCTGCATCTTTTTATCTCTCTATCTCCATCTCCCTTTATCTCCATCTTCCTCTATCTCTGTGCCTCTATATCTCTATATCTTTATACCTCCATATCTGTGAGCCTCTCTATCTCTCTATCTCTATACCTCTCTATCTCTATACCTTTATATCTCTCTGCCTCAATATCTCTACATCTCTGTGCCTCTATATCTCTACATCTTTATATCTTCATATTTGTGAGCCTCTCTATCTCTCTATCTTTATATCTCTCTATCTCTATATCTCTATACCTCTATATCTCTTTATCTCTATGCATCTATATCTCTATTTCTCTTTATATCTTTATATCTCTCTATTTGCCTCTATACCTCCATATCTCTATGCCTCTACACCCCTATATCTCTACACCCCTATATCTCTCAACCTCTCTATCCCTATGCCTCTATATCTTTATACCTCTCTACCTATCTCTACGCCTCTATATCTCAATATCAGACTCCTCCTCTCACCTCCATGCCCTGTGCATGAGCCATCACCAACGTGGGGTTCCCAAAGGGCTCTGCCGGAGGAGCTGAGAGCATCGCGTGGTGCTCGTGGTCCTCCTGCCCGGTGGGATGCAGGAGCACCGCGCACGCTGCCTTCTGCTGCCCCTCCATGCCAGGATTCTGTTTTTTTGGCCTCATTTTTCGCCCGTGGGAGCTGGTGAGGGGCTGAATCCTGCCTATAAATCCGAAGGAAACTGCTCATGAGTCCTTCTCACCAGCACTGCCAAAAGACCGTGATTCATTCCTTTTTTTTTTTCTTTTTTTTTTTTTTAGGGGTG